TTCAAAGCGAGCTTGATGTACTTAGTTCTACAGCTACTCAAATCAAAGTCTTTTGGAAGTAAATTAGCAATTTCACGTGCATCCTTCGCCCCATACGAGTCATCAGTGGGACTTTTCCAAACGGAATCGTTTGAAATGATGAAAAACAGCTGTTTTCGGGACTATGGTACATAAGTAGTTTCTTTGCCAAGAGAAGCATTACATAGAAGGATGAAACGCACTTTTACATGCGTATTCGATATGATTCAAAGATTCGTTCAAAATTTTTTGGGAAAGCGCATTCAACTCTACTGTACTGGTTCTTCTTACTGAGATCTCGTTTTGACAATTCGCTGATTGCTGTACTATCACTTTGTCATTAGTACCAACCTCGCTTGCAACCAGCTACTCCGCCTATTTTTTCAAAAAATGTGTGTACGGACCAAATGAAGAAAATTTAGACGCCGAAATTGTCAATTTCTTCTCAGAAAGCTTTGCGGGAAGTCGTACAACAGTGGACACTTTGAAAAAGGAGAAAAGTAAGATTGTTTTCCAATAATACGAATATTTTGTCGTAAACCATTCGTTCTATAACAAAACGACACAAACATATCAGGTTGTGAAGAAAGTTGTCGGGTACTTTCAAAGATGTTTTCAAGCTGTTGTAACCTCAGCAGAATAATCCTTTTTAACACATTCACGACAATACGACCCACCGGTGGGTCGTACGTGTTCTGCCGTTACGGACGATAGGACTCACCGATGGATCGTAAGATTCCTGAAGTTCTAGCTTTGCCAGTATGGAATTCTAAGGTGTTCTGGCACATGATTGAGGACACCTTGGCGAAGCTTCAGCCAGAGTGGTCCGGGGGATACCGTAATGTAATGTTACGGTAGGTATATTGTAGGTATAGGTAAGGCAGAGGCTTTAGCTCAAATTTTTCGCAGAGTGATGCTGTTTTTGTAAATTCAAGTCTACATGCACGAGAAATACAGGGAGGACACGGGACTGATGTCAGCCCATCAAAAATTGTCGATGTCATTGATTTTATTGATTTTTCGCAACGTTCAGCAAGCTCAAACCTTGCATACATAGGTTTTTTAGCATGCTGATTACGAAAATATAGTCTCAAGTTCTATACCGCCGTCTTACATCAGTTTCTTGATTCTTACAAAGATTCTACCGTAGTGCTACCGTAGTCCTACCGTGGAAAAATAGTGAACAAAGTGGGCACTATAATCGTGATCAGCACGTGAAATAACCCCAAAACACAATTTTTCATGAAAATCTATGATGTGGGTTCGTACAGAAGGACTACCGTAACCTTACCGTATACTGGGAAAAACTAAAATAAATTATATTTTGATAAACAGCGTCTTCGATAACCCTTGTGGGGAAATTCTTGGGGACATTTTTTGAATTTCTTCTAAAAAGTATTCTCTGGTCCGAAACGGCAGTAATCAAAAAATCGGGACTTGTCGTGAATGTGTTAAGAGCTGAAATTTTGGTGCAAAAAGATGTTGTCTACAAGGGCTCATTTCATTGGCTCTTCAGCAGATCTTCGTTTTCGGCCACTAGACGCGCAGAAGGAAAAAAGGACGATTAAAAAATCGCCTGTTTGTGCAGATTTTCTAAGTCACGAAAAGTGATAGAGGGCTCATTTCAAGCTATAGAAAAATATTCTGGCTGTCACTTGCCAAAGCTACGGCCCGTAGTAAAACCCATCAGGGCATCTCTCTTGAGGCGGGCCGGAGTTGATCTCATCGCGCCTCAGCACATTGCCAGAGGAGAGATTGATTTGTAGCAGATCACTTACTGGATGTTCGCGTTTTCAAAGTGGAAACGTTTCTGCCATTTGTGCATCAGTAGCCAAATGGATAAGAATAATCCGTCCCAAGCGGCAGGCCGTGGTTCGAGTCCGGCTAGCGTCGCCATTTTTGCTACTTGCCCTGGCGACCTTTGATAACGGCTGCTGTCGAAAAAATCGATGATAGCCGCTATCAGAGATTTCACCTAATTGTAAGAAACAACGAGATAAAACAAATACGCAATATTTTGGCATTCATACAGAGAAAAATTACACTTGGAGAAAAATGAGTAGAAAGGTAAATTTACCTTCTTATTATCTGAAGCGGTTCGCTATCAAAAACAAGCAACAACTGCAAAAAAAATGCAAAAACTTTTTTTTCAAAATTCGTCGCGCAATCAGCTGTTCATCGATCCCCACTCACTTAGGCGCCCGAAGTTTTGGGGGTTTTGCACGGCAAAAAAACGTCAGCTGCGATGTTTCGTAAGTTACTCAGGAGCAACTTACGGAGGATTTCTCTGTGCTCTCCTCTTAGCACAGTATTCACCTAATGTCGTCGTCCGGCTCATCTCTGATGACTCAGCAGGGAGCTGATCTCCCTGCCGGGCTTCATCTGAAGCTCACCTGTGGGGTGACCTTGCATGGTTACACTACGGAAACGCGGAAAGTCCTCATCTCACCCGACAGAACCTCATATGAGAGCCTCAGGGGAGATCATCTCCCGTGACCGAGCTTTACTACGGGCCTACGACTCTATAGCGCTATTTGCAAAAAATCTCAAAAAACTTCGAAAATCGGCCGTTTTCTGTACCCGAAAACTAATTTTTGAGTGAGTGATTTTAAAATCATTCATTTTTGCACGAAACGAGGCCAATCTTCGATTACTGCAAATACTAGTACTGGAAAATATCTTGCGCATCTTTTGGGTCCATCACCCAGGTGGATCCACATAGTATCGCTGCGAAAAGAACTACGACCAAAGAGGAGTTTGAACACTTGTAATCCTCGTGCGCATGAAGCAGGATTGAAGGCAGTGGCTCGGGAAAATTGCGACTGCGGGCTTTCCACGACTACATGGCCTTCTGGACCATCTGAGTCCTGTACTGCGCTTGGAAAGTCAAAAAAGTGCTTTATGGCATTTCCGAGCCTTGGAGATGGCTGGGGAAGCGGGGGGAGGGATTCACCCCAAAATGAGCAACCGGCTGCAGGAAACTATAACTCCACCTGTTTTGGCGGTAAACTGTATCGCGATGGCTGCCTAGGCTGATCAACCAATTGCCCCCAAAATAGGTAAAGTTACAGTCTCCAGCAGCTAGCTGCTCCTTTTGGGGGTGAATCCCTCGCCCCGCCCCTCCAGCAATCTCCAAGGCTCGGAAATGCCAAAAAGTATTTTTTTGACCTTTCAAGCGCAGGACCGGACTCAGCTGGTCCAGAAGGCCATGTAGTCGTGGAAAGCCCGCAGTCGCAATTTTCCGGAGCCACTGCCTTTAAAGCGCGCTGGGTTTCAAAGCCAACGGCCTTCTCATTAAAAATAATTAGGTTATAAATGGTTTTCCTTGTTCACTGCGAACTAGCTGCAGAAAAAAATGTGAAATTCTTGGCTTGCAAAGACTTCCATCTTTGGCGTATAGATCGGGCATAGTTCGACGTCGATAAAAACTTGGAAAAATGTGGTGCTGGCAAATCATATGTTTATGACACCTATTAAACCACTGACCACGACGCCTAATTTTGCGTGGCGGCGCTGGACGGCGCGATATTGCAGAACATTTTTGTTCTTGTATATTCTGTGTTTAGTGAACATTTGTAAACATTTTCTTGGACGACGGAGTTTACAAATTCCAAAACCGCCATAGACTACCCCGAATGCAAAAGCTAGGAAATATTTTGTATATGATATGCCTTTGCAAGAGTTGTGGGCCACCGGTGGTCCACATCGTCCTCAATCGGTTAAGGACTATTAACGAAACCAAGTGAACCAAAAATTTGAAAAAGCAAGTTGTGAAACATCACAGCTTCAATTACGACTTAGAAGCGAGATGGGAGAGGGGGGGGGGGGGGGGGAAGAGGGAAGACCTGTTAGACCTAATCAAACAGAACCTTTCCTACAAATGCATAGCTTATTTGCATCCATAGCCCCATTCTACACACTTCAAAGAATGTTTATTTACCACCTTTAATCGTCCCAGACTTTTTGTTTGCGCTTTCTCACCCACATTACTTGCTTCTAATTAGTAAGAATTTACCGTGCTCCTTGTAATTTCGTACCTTCCTATTCTCGCAAAACTTTATCGACCCGACGTTCTGGCTTCAAAGGTCAGGGGTTACATTGCAGTGTGAAAGCGCTTTCGCTGGACCAACTGAGAATTTTGCTACCTGGCCAAGAAAGGATTCCTGGATGCGAATGTAACGAAGAATTTACACAGTTCATATCATATGATTTTTCTGCAATGTTACCTGACTTTAACTTTTTAGGTCTCAAAGCGAGACATGGGCAATTGCTCAACGTCACTGGCAATCCCAGATTTTTGCTGGAAAGGGGACAACAGAAATATTTTCGAGTATAGGAAGCGCTGTGTCCCTCCCAAAATACTTAGTACGCAAAATTTCGGCTTCTTGAACCCCCCCCCCCCCCCCCGCCAAAAATTTGAAGCGAGCTTTGGGCGAACTTCCCGCACGCCCGGCAGGCATTAGAGTGGGATCCCGTACATTTTTTCTGCTCCTTTCCATTTAATACGCTTTGAGGTGGAATTTGGGTGTTACGTATTTTTTTCTCTTGGAAAATCCGGGCCTACACACAAAGGGACATCAAAAAGGATTACAGTAGATATATCTATAGCAGATAACTCTTTTGTTCCTTTGGGAAAGTACCAAGTTTATTCCAAATATGGCGAAAAGGCAGAAACACAAGGAACTTGAGTATCTCACTGACCTCCATATAGCTACAGAGAAACGTATTCTGGCTTTATGGGCACTTTATTTATCGTCTTACAGAATGCTTTGGGTTTTTTATGAATAATATCTGTAGGGGAGGAGGTCTACCATAGCTAAGGTGGTATGTACCAGTAGAAGCTTTAAATGCACGAAAATGCAAAAGTGAAACTTTATTCAAGCTGCGCATTTGTCGTGCCTAAGTGCAGCACAAAAAGCATGACAGTGCCTGCAGCGTTATAGAAATTATTAGTCATATTATTATCTGTTATTAAAACGTTTTCAATATCCTGGTGCAGTACGAGGAGGAGGGCAGTGGTCGCAGCTTCCCCTGGCACCAGTGTTTCCGTCTTGTCCTCTCTGTCCAGGTGCTCCAGGTCGTCCGGGAGCTCCAGCTCTTCCATTGTCGCCAGGAGGGCCACGTCCACCAGGCGTTCCTGGGTTTCCTCGTCCTCCAGGATTACCGTTTCTTCCGGGTGGTCCTGCTGGTCCAGGAGGTCCTGGAGGTCCTCGATTACCTGCAGATGGGATGACTCGTCCGGGTGTTCCAGGTGATCCTCGGTTTCCTGGCCGTCCAGCGTTTCCGGGAGGACCTTGTAGTCCAGGAGCTCCTCGGCCTCCAGGACTTCCTGGTCCTCCAGGGCGTCCATCTGAACCTCTGTTCCCTGGCGCTCCACGACTTCCTGCGTTTCCTGGGCGTCCTGGAGGTCCAGCAGGGCAGTTGAAGCACGGGTTGACTTGCGGAGCAGGAGTTGCTGGTGGTCCGTCAGGGCCGTTTCTTCCTGGCTGGCCAGGCCTTCCATCGCCTCCGGGCTGCCCAGCTGGCCCTGGTGGTCCTGGTGCTCCTCTGGCAGAAACACCGCATCCGCAGCATCCCCTAGCTTGACGTCGAGTTCTAGTGACCTCCTTCGACAGCACCTTGGATGAGAGAAGATTATAAATGGAGGCTACTTATGAGGGAATTTAGCGAACTTGCCTGGGTGCGGGTAACTTCCCTCAAGATGTTACCCGAGCGCAACTTGCAGAAGTCGACTTCGTTCCGCATGAGTGAGTGCACATGCTGCATATAGTTATACAGCATCGGCACCGAGATGATACAGATCAGAGTAGCGACGGTGGAGAGGGTAACCCCGAGGAAGGCGATCCTCTTGAGGGAACGAGCCTTGGTTTCCCAGTGCTTCTCGTCGTGGTCATGACTCATTGCGCTGTGGATTTTGGGCAGTGACTCCTTTTATACTAGTTCTTTGGGTCAAATCCTTCTAACATTAATTATACACTACCGTACATCATTAATTATACATTGTCGTACGTCAGTTTGGGTAAATCGGTCAGTAGTGAAATCTTACAACAAGGTCGCATCAAAACGAGAGTTGATAACACTCCTTGCATTGGTAACGATTTGAATGAAAAGGATAACACTAAAGGGGCCACTCAAAATTTCTTAATATATTTCTTAGTAGTGAGCACACAAAACAAAAATAAGTTCATATTACCCAGGCAACAACAAACAGATATCCATTGCGTAGTTTATATCAACCGTTCCCAAAATGTCCACTCACTTTCGTTAAATGCTGGAAGGATGGTGAAATAAGAGTTTTAAACATACGAAATGCGTTTCAAATGTATTGGCCTGAATAAACTACAGTAGGTTTTCTTAAAGGTCACTTAAAATCTAGATTTTTTGAAATAAATTATTAGTTCTACATTGCTGCTAAGCCCTTTTTGCATGTCAGCAACGAACACACTTTTTTAAATTATTTGTTTGTTACACAAATTAATCAAAAGGAACATGTACCATTTTTTTATATGGCGCTGTTCCACTTGGATAACCCCGATTCTCAATCTCGGATGAGGTTGCTGACATGGTGATTGCAAATGTTAATTTTGTTTTAATACCAGGATTACGGTAGGTACTAGCGTAACCTTAAGAAAAGAGCCGTACCATGATGAACGCATCCAGGACCCAAGTGACCAAGTATAGTGGCAATCATTTACTCAATAACTTACTAATTAAGGTAATAGGGACAGACACTTAACGGAACAACTTGAATCACTGTAAATAGAAATTTTCTTGTAGCACATATGACCATTGAGCAGTTTCCAGTTTCAGGGCCGTGGAATCTTGATGAGACGGAAGTTATTGTGCAGTCATCAACAGAGTATATTGAAGCGGTCGATATGCGGTTTGATGTATGAAAGTTTTCATTTCTTGCTGTTTAAATCTTGCTCATGCTCAGCACTTACGATTTGCAGGGAAATAGCGAGTGGGAATTGAGTTCAATAAAAGCTTTTTCTGTGCCAGCACCTGACAATTCAGACGGAGTAAGTAGGAAGTTTGAACTATCGAACTGATACGTTTTAAAATTGTAGTTTTCATACTGTAGATGATTCCTAACTATGGTGCCTTGAAAATGCTTCATGATTTCCTTCCAGAGCGTCTACTCATCGGTGATCTACCTAGTCGAGTTAAAAAGAAAACCGGTCTACTACGTTCTTGTTATTCAGGTAATCCAACCTTTGATTTGACCACATTCTCCTTAGACGATGGCGTGCACCCAGAATGGTCCATGGTATAAAATCTCAAATTAGAGAGAAAATGTCCCTTTCATAGTTATTTTGTTAAAAATTGTCCAGCCAGATCTAGTTATTAGGTTGGTAAGAGAGGAGGCGAAAATTTTCGGACATGTTCATGCGAAAATTGCTATTTCTCGGCTTGTAATGCATTTACGAACGCGAAAATTTGTAGTTGCACTCTCACATATACGCGGCTTATACCTGTGCAGTGGGAGGAGTTTAGGATCAATAGGGGCGGAGTTTGCCACTTTTCGATCATCTCATTTTTCCTGCTAATTAACTCATTCCATACAGACCTTGCATAAATGCATCTGAGTTCATGTCTACTATATATTGGAATATTTGTGAGTGTTACAGTGTTTACGGAAGGTGGACTTCCGAGCTCTGTCGAAATCCTATGTCTTCGAATTTTCGACTCTATCTTCACAGGATTTCATGGTTGTGATTAGTATGGTCTTGTAGTGTTTGCTTTCCTCTATCCTATGATGTACAGCATGCCCTGACTGGTGATTGCATCGAAGCATTATCTTTTACAGTTGGAACCGAATACTCTTATTCGGATAATTTATTCGAAATATTCCAATAGTCAAATATTCGAGAAAGTCCATTTATTCGATTGTTCGAATAGTCGAATAAATGATAAAGGTCTTTATGCAAATAATTCGTTCATTAGATAATTTCGAAAATTGACTTATTCGAATATTCGTTCATTCGAGTAGTTTTGAAAGATAGTTATTCGAATATTCGAATATTCGAATATTGCATTCAAATATTCGAATAACATTCGATCATTTATTCGAAATTAGTCGAATATTCGATCAAGTTCGGTTATTTAAGTATTCGTTCATTCGAATTTTGGAATGTGCCAATATTCGAATATCCGAATTTGAATAAAATGAAAATCGAAATTCGAATAATATTCGTTCATTCGAAGAATTTTCGAAAATCAAATATTCGATAATCATTCGTTCCAAAAATTTTCGAAAACCAATTATTCGATACTCATTCGTTCGAAAAATTTTCAAAAATTAATTATTCGATATTCGTTCATTCAGCGAAAATTTCTGTTCGCTACAACTATATTATCTTTGTATAAAGGCAATGTCCGAGAACTTTCTTACCAACGTAATACTTGGCCAAGTAAGTTCTTATAAGAGCAGCTCATATGCAGTGATTTTGGCCGAGGAACTTTCCTTTCATCGTTTCCTACGGGACCAATCAGCATGCTCGATTGCATACCAAGCGGGAGATTGAAGCTGAATATCTCAATCGACCATGGAAGTCATATGAGAAGCTGCTTGAGCAATTTCCTAGTAAGCTTAGTGAAAGTCGATACTTTGGTGCCATGCATGAAGAATCTTGTTTTTAGCATCAAAATTTCGTACGGATGGTATCCATTGCATTTATCTCGAAATAGAATGTATGAGTAGAGTTTGAATTTGAATTCGAGCTTTGTCTGTCGTAGCTTCTGCCTCTACGCAAGTATGCAATTGTAAATGAATAGCAGGTTGGAAAGGAAAGAATGTTGTTTTTACAGCAAAATTAATCAAACCAAAAAATAAGGATTACTACTCGATAGAGCAAAATAAGCTCTACAAGGTGACCTTTGAGGCATAAGTCGATTTACACAATGTGTAAAGCCAAATCGTAAGCAACTCATGATGCCAAAAAAATCGGGTTTTCGCCCCAAAAAATCCAACGAATTTCTTGAATGCACCCGCATGTAACAGACACATACACTTATCCATACGTACATTCTTGGTATATTTTTAAACTTTCTTGGTAATAAATTAAGAGGAAATTGGAAAGCATGTGTCTGTTACATGCAGGACCATTCAAGAAATTCGTTGGAAAATGACAAACTCCCAGTAATCCTCGGCTCTTTCCGTATATGCAGATACTATGTACAAACCTATGGAACTTCGACCATAAATTTTCGGCCTTGCACAGGAGCTAGAAATATCAGTTTTTAGCCTAAAAAATTAAACCATAAATGACATTCTTCTTCTCCAACCTAATAGCACTATATATCGTTTTGACTTTTGACTACCCTGAAATCTAAGCATAAGTCCGCCCAACGCTTGAAATTTTGACTTCAAAATTAATTTTCATGTAAACTACGAAAACATAGGCTAGTGTACATGACTGAAAGCTCTTAAAGGCGCCGTCCACCCTAAGTTGCAGGTGTTGAGCTTTTGGCAGCATATAACAGTAGGGCCACCTATTAAGCCAATGCCCAAGTCGCAGCTCAAAATTTCGCTTCGGAAGCGAGAAAATCGCTTCGGAATAGCAAAGATGCACGTGGACCCCCATCCATGCCCGCCCCTCCCCATCCATGCCCGCCCATTTGTGCGCGCTCATCCAATCACGTTCTGGAAAGCCGGCCTATGTCTTCGAAATGGGAATTGTCGGGGTTTTCGCGGATTCTCGAATTCATGTTTGGAATCAGGGACATGAGAAGGCCCTGAAACGACAAAAACCTGGAATTCGAAAATGTGGGTGGACGGTGCCTTTAAGAAGCATTCTCGAGTGATCTTTACGTTAACAATGCACGGTCTTCCCGAAAAGGATTGATAAAAAAAGGCAGCTTTGGCAGCACTGTGTAGTGTCAAGGCGACGAGCAAAACAAAACGAAAAACGAGAAAACGTAGAAGAATTAGAATAGTCAGCATTTTTACATTATCGGAAAAATTCATTTGAGAAATGGTGGTGCTTTCTCTACACAGAAAGCACCACCATTTCTTGTTGTTTTGCAGACTGAATGCTTTTTCAATTTAGAGAAAACCAAGCTTTAAAGCAGAAATATCTACAACGTTTTGAGGTACCCTACTTTGGTTTCTCATCTTTGGGGTTTTCATCAATCAAGCATAGGCAACTTGTTTTCTATTTGATCTCTGCGAGTAGTACGCATTGTGAGTATAAAAGTATTTGATAACATATGACTTAACATGCTGTGTCATTTCGATTAATATAGAAAAAATTCTTTCATTTTACTATTTTTTGGAAAAGCGTGAATTCCCAATAAACTTTCTGAGAAGTTTTCATTTATTTCTTCAAGTAACTATTCAAATGCATTGGTCTCTCCAAATTTTTTCCTATTTTCAGGCGCCATCATTTATCATGACAACATTGACGCTACTCGGAATATTCACACCATTCAGCAACACTCCAGAGAGGCGCGAAAAAGTATGAATTCTCGCAGATCGTTGCCAAAATTTCGTTAAAAATATTGTTTCAGGTGACTCTTGGTCTGAATATGTTCGTGTCAGTCTCAATGATGTTGAACTTGGTTGCTAATATGATGCCAAAAGCGTCGAGACTTCCTCTATTAGGTGGGTCTTTATGAGCTTTTCCAGTGAATGAATGTTTTACCTGTTTTGGTTGTTGAAGTCATAAGGCCTCGGTCATAGTTCACGTCAGTCACGACGCGATTTGGCAATACTCCAATTGTCCATAACTCTCGTGAACGCATTTTGAATAAACAGAAGATAGGGCGTTTTTGATCTACAAAGCTTATACACACTATCTTGTATACCAGTGCTGTATTTGAAAACATCTGGCTAGTTGCCAAATGCTGGCGACTGAAATCGCGTGAAATATGCCCGATGCCTCTTCATAAATTTGAAGCATTTGATAAGACCAAGCTTGCATGTTCATTGTCGTTGTTATTAGATATTTATCAGATTGTTTACCAGTGGCTCAAAAAAGTTGGTAGCGTTAAAATGTACAGATAAACAATTGTTGAACAGTGGGTTGCCCATCAGGAAGCGATGAACGAACTGAGGGACAACATAATTTCTTAGATCCGTATATTTGTCTGGAACAAAACTGCCTTGACTTCGTACTCAAAACAAAAAAATTCTTTGAGAGCATATCCTCAAGTTTTGCGACCCACTGCCTTTTTTGTGCGCAGATATTGTCAGCTAAGAATACAGTGTCAAAGACACCGACAACCTAAGTTTGGGATTTTGGGCGGTAACGCCCCTTCCCATTACGCCCGCCTTCCGTGCGCGCTCATCCAATCACAACCGGCGTGCGGGTTCTCCGGAACGAGAATCGTTGGCGTTATCGCGGAGACATTCGGAAGAGGGACATGAGAAGGCCCGAAACGACAAAAACATGAGAGTCGCGGATCTAAGTGGACGGTGCCTTCAACCGTCAAATTTACTAAATCTTAGGGTTTGAAAAGCACAATCCACCTCAAACCTAAATGAGAATCAGCAGCTTAGATTGCACCTTTCATGTCTCCATTAATTACACAAAACCACTAGTTCATAGTACTCCTGCTCCTAAACATTAAAAGCCCCCGTTTGCAGGTAACTACATCCTTGCTGAGATTTTCGTCACTGCAGCTGCACTGCTCGTGTCCATTGTCATTCTCATCACTCACCAACGCTGTCACACCAGATGTATTCAGCCACCAAAATGGTATATTATACTCTTCCAATGAAGCACGTAATGTTGAAACATAATCAACTCAAAATTGCCAAGCTTTTTGCCAAAAAAAGGTTTACAAAAAAGATACACGTGATAGATGCTCGATACCCCGTCAGGATCACCCGCCCGGACATCTGCCACGGATCGTGCACCTCAGCAGATATCAGCCTGCGTCAGTTGACTCGAGTAGCCGAGCGGTGGAATAACACTCTCTAGTCATGTACAAATAGACTACGACTCTGAATCTCAAATCCCCCTTCCGCAAACGGAAATAATGTGGTTTCAGGCTGTTGAACATTCTCGTGTGTCCGTGTAGCAGACGAAAGATAGATATAGACTGCGAACCTCCTCCTTATTCACTTTGTAGCGATTCACCATCTCTTGAAATCTTGGAGCAACCAGAAATTGTGGACTCCTTGAAAATGGTTGGTTGGTTGCTCTTCTTTCCTTCTTTATTCGAATTAAATACAATCAAACAAGTACATTTTATGGCGACAATGATAAAAAGATAGATTTTGGTCTTTGCATGCTTTTGGCAGAGGACAACGGCCTTTTTGCTAATAATCTCGATGGACTTCTAAAGATGTAATTATTCCATTCAATAGTAAAATTCAAAAGGTAAATGCATAAGGCCCTTGTTATCCCAAAAAAATCGTTGCGAGTACCAGTCATAAGCAAGTACCAGTCATATTTCAAAAAACACTGACACTATTTTTTATAGAGTCAGCCTCCCCTCCTCTATGTGACGTGATGTAAGAATTTGCGATAAAAAACAAAAGTTCCCAAAATGATTATTGCTCCAGATTAAGGGAAATATATTTGAGTTGTAGAGAAGTGATGTGAGAATTTGAAGTATATAGGCTCAACACTTGTTTCTTTAAGTGACATATGTAGGTACAATTTATAATTGACGTTTCGATTTTACCGCGTTCGGAGCCTAGATTTGAAAAATATATATGCTTCATTCGTCTCTATCACTTATCTGTGATTGATATATAAAAAAGAATAAACTCGGAAATTCACTTTTGGGCAAGACATTTACAGCGTCGCTTCTTCCTCTGATAACTGCAAATCGTAGAGAGATGCAAATTAAGATACTCAGGGAAATTGTTACCCTTCCACTTGAAATTTTGTCTTCACCTCGCGGCCAAAAGCGTGTTGTTAGAGACAAGGACGATGTGAAGACAAACGATTGCGTGATAGCATATCATGCTTTCTAGTTCGAAGAAATTTCAATATAATGCTTTTCCGTTGGCAATTTTGGCTGCAAAAAAATTGACGAACTATTTTCTGGATATTAAAGTAGCAAGCGGTCATTCACGTACCAGCATAATGTCAAAAATAGGATTTTGCGTTTTTTTGTAAACAGAGGTGCGACCCCTTCTCCAGCTGCACGATGGCTTGCATGACTTGCTCAAACATATAACATTCCAATGTTTAAAAAGTCATCCGGGAAGGAGAGAACGCCGAAAAGGAAGTTGTTGCAGTGGTTGAGAAAGATTGAACAAGAAAATACTTTCTTAAAGCTTGCGAAAATAAAAAGTTTTTAGGCTTTAAAAGTTTTGGAAAAATTTCGTGAAAGAACATCCATTGTTTTCGAGCTACGAATTGCCTTTGAATTCTGTGGGTTAGGTTTTGCATTGCTTGAAATTGCGTGAAATTCAAAACGACAAATTCCGTGCATATTTTCACATGTTTTATCAAATTCTTTTTCATATTGAAAACCACAAAACAAGTTGTTATGGCCTATGTTTGAGGTATGAAAAAAACTTTTATCGTTCTACGATAAAAGTTACGTCTACTCTACGTGCCTAAAAACTGCTGAGGGACGGAAAGCTTGGGAAAAATACTCTAAACGGAAAATACTAGGTTGTTCCAAAAGTTCTGCTGCTTTGATGTTGAAAAAAATTCTTAACTGCTCCCTATGAACATACTTACATACTTTACTTTCAAAAAATATCATCAGATAGAACAATTCATCTGTTTCCATGCAGAAAACTGCAAAAAACATAGTTTTTGCCGTTTTTTTTGCATTTTTCACAAAAGTCGTAACTTTTCATAGAAAAGCCCAATCAGCACGAACTTGGCATTTTTAGAAAGAGCAGCTCACAAAACCTATAGGAAACATGCTCTCAGATTGTTTTTGAGCGTTTCAGATTTTTGACGATTTATTTTCGAAAATCGGGACCCGTCATGAAACAGCAATGTGGTACAAGGTAGATGCAATTATAGAATAGATATAGCATTCGCGACAGTATGTTACCCTCCGTCAATACAGAGTTTTGCTTCTACTTCTGTTTCTGACAAATTCCCTGGGGCTAATACTCTGAGTGCGTGCCTCCCCCAGAATTGTTCTCACAATCAGATGAATCATCAGCGTAGGGCTGTTTTTTGATCATTTTAACATGTCAACTCCGAATAAGCGCCTTAAATTTGCTGGAATTAACATGTTTAAACGATCGGAAGCCAGCCATGTTGGTTCATATGGGAATTCTGGGGATGCACGATACTCTGAATGCCAATTGTCCCTCTACCTGTGTAGTACACGTGGATTGCACCGCATTTCGAGTCAGATAGACATCTGGCCGGCGATTCGATGCATGGATAACCTTGGTGAAAGGATGCGCACCCCTCGGTTTCAAATCCGATATGACGCGGCGCTGATCGCAGTCGATCGATACACGCAAGAAGTGTCCGCATCCATGAATAGATTCCAGAAAAACCGGTCTCTATTGCATGCGAAGAGAAAGCAATACGCAAGTCTAGACATTTCCACTTATCAAATCACCTGAAGAACAAAGTCGTGAAGAAAGTTTTAGTGAAAATCAAATATTTACCAGTGGCCTGTCTCCACCGGATATTTTGGTCTGGCGAATCTGAGCAATATTTTCGGTATGGATCGATTAATTCGTTCCGCGCAAGAGTCAATTTAACCCACATTATTCCCCGTTTTGCACCATCGATTTTCAAGTCGTAGTACTGATACACATTACCAAGTCTTCAGACGAAACTCCCTCAAAAACTTATGGCCCGTTTCATAATGTAATCTTATCAACTCCACGTCCGCACTTTTGTTGTTCAACAACCGTCAAAACAACCATAGCACTAACCAATCAATATCTAGACGAAGACGAGTCGTTTTACACACTTTAGCATGGGAATTCTCATGTAAAAACAAAAAGGAGAGAACTACCGCAGCTTCACGAAGCGAAATTGAAATAAACATTGATCACTCCCAGGACGCAATTTTCCCAACCGCTGACTCGACATTTTTATCTCATTTTCCGCACACAAATCAAGAAGTCAAAACCTCTCAGCTGAGAAAATATCTCACTCCCGCGCATATCCCAGAAAAACTATTACGCGGTCAATCATTAGACATAATCGCAATTCGCAGTGCTGCTGAACGGAATTTGCCATGAAAAAACTCAACAATCTTCAGCGGCATACAAATATCTTCTTGGCGATATATAACACAAAAAGTTAATTTGTCTTGGATTGCATCTCACAATCGCACACATATTTCAGACCACGTCAGCGCTGCGCTCGACAATCGAACGATTAGAAAGTGAAGATGACATCCGCCTTACTTGGATTCGCATATTTGATCGGATCGATATGTTATGTCTAGTAGCGTTCCAAGTGTTGAACGTAGTCGCTTCAACATTGTTCATGCGATGAGACAACCCTAGTCGATTACTCTCGATTTTATCACTTATCTGCCCACATCATCTGAGTAGATTTCTAACTTCAAGCGATACGCATCTTCAAAATGTTAAGAAGAGAATAAATAAATACGAGTTAACACAGATGGAGTGACAATCATGCTGCTGATGCGAGGGGGATCATGTGATCGAGTTTACAATTATACGGGCGGGGGATAACAAATCAGGCTGAGAACGGTGTATGTGCATAGAAACGAGATACACAACACGAATATGATAAGATGGTGTGAAACAATGCACCCCGATGTCGCTGAATAAAAAAATCGATTACACATAAAACAGGGACAGTAAACCAGCGACCCTTGGAATACCAGTACCAAGGTCGCTATAGAGAAATTTTCTTAACAAAAAAAGAGCGACAAAAATCAAGAAAAAAATAATAACTAGCAGAGTTGAGTAAAACAAAAAAGGAGAAATGAAATATATCGTGCTGTTCCCAGCCTACGCCTACCGTAAACGAATATTTGGATACCGAGCACCAATGACTCGTACCATGATATTACAGTATACGCTAAACGAAAGACGGAACAGACCTACAGGAAAATTGCACGGTGCTAATCGTGGAATTTGATTTAGCCTCTGTTCTTTAGCTGATTGCTCAACCAGTCGAGACCTTCGTACAGACCATCTCCCGATGTAGCACAAGTAGCCTGCAATTAGGATGAAATTACAAACAAGCCAAACATAGCAATTACACATGATTGTGGATCTGAAGAAAAGAACGTACATAGCATGTATTTATAGTAAAGGCAGTGGTTTGTACAGGCAACATCTTTCTAATAAACAATTAAACCCGTTCGGAAAAGAGATTTCCACATTTACAAAAAAAAAATTGCTCGAAAAATAGTCTTCTCGCAGTGATCTGTCTAATTCATGACTCGCACAATTGGTCAACAGAGAAAACTGCACTTAACAATTTTGTCTGTGCCCAAGTGGTTTCTCACTCCACTTAACGTTCCAACCAAAACCAACGAGAAAAAAAAAGTACGGATCTGGTTTCTGACAATGACAGGAGGGCAGGTTGCTTTCAAAAGAGAACCGTTGTTCAAAATGATTGCCAGGAAATAAAGTTAAAGGCAAGGTTTGCCAGCCAAAAGATGAAACAGGTTGAGCTTGAAGCAGCAGATGTAAAGCTTAAAATCACATTACTGGTTAGTACAGGAAAAGATAATACTGAGTCATTTTACACATATGAAACGACTCTCCATAGTACCTAATATTGATCACATGTTCACCTACACACAGACATTTAAGAGATGTGAAGCACCATTTCTTTCTCCCAAATGCTTGACATTAATCATAGATTATTTAATTCGTTTTAATAAGTGCAGATAGTTAGTACTTCCCAATCAATAAAAACTTATGAGTCATCATTATCGATTTACTCACCTGAATGTACCACGACCTGTTTCTCAAAGTATGTAGTCCTAGTTTATCTGTAACTTCAGCGGCATTCATTGCGTTTGGTAGATCCTAAAGAAATGTAATAAATCATATTACCGATCGATAGTTTTATGCCCAAAGGCCACAATAAAACTGAAATATGAGATGGACGGATTTTACGCGCAACTCACCTGTTTGTTTGCGAAAACAAGAAGAACTGCATCCCTGAGTTCATCCTCGGCCAGCATACGCATTAACTCTTCCCGGGCCTCTCCAACACGTTCGCGGTCATTAGAATCGACAACGAATATAAGACCTATAACAAACGACCATAAAATAGTGAAATCTGAAAATGTTTCTCAGAAGCGAAATTTTTTCGATGTTTGATCGGATTTGACCGATTCGTTTACGATAAAACAGCACAGCAAGATCAGAATGCGGAGATCAAATAGGCCCCAGGGCATTCTCATGACAGCAATCTGAGCAAGATACACCAGATTTTCCGTACCTTGTGTATTTTGGAAGTAATGCCTCCACAGTGGCCGAATCTTATCTTGACCTCCTACATCCCATACCGTGAATGAAATGTTTTTGTATTCAACTGTTTCAACGTTGAATCCTAAAAAACGTTTGTGAGTCCAGAGCACAAAAGATCACTTGATTACGTGAGAAAAGCGCATACCAATAGTGGGTATAGTAGTAACAATTTCTCCAAGCTTCAATTTGTATAGGATAGTAGTTTTACCAGCTGCATCCAACCCGACCATAAGAATTCTCATCTCCTTTTTGCCGAAAAGGCCTTTGAACAGGTTTCCGAAGATGTTACCCATTCTGAAAGCCTAGAATGATAGTTTATAGCCACATAGAGTAAACGAACACATGGTAAACGTCGAGGATCAAAAAGCGACGCACAGGGAGATTGAACGTTCAGGCTAAAGAAAAAATGCTGACAAACAGTGCCAACGCACACGACGCACACAATGACCTAAAAATGAATCTTCACGAGGTACCCAGCTGTTACTGCTGGCAGATGGGTGGGACTAATGAGTCAGAAGGCTCGTGACAACCTCCCGACGCCCTCAACATGCCCTGACAGTGCGTCTAACAGAGAAAAGACGAGAAATTTGCATGCTAAAAATCTATACGTGACGTTCAACCACGTCAGCGCACACGCGACCGCAACGCCGACACGCTGATGCGATGACGGTAGCGACATGCACATCTAAACCTGTTGCCAAATGTGTTCTCAGCTGGAAAAGCTCTACCAAACTGTACTTTTTATTGTACTAGTGGAACTAATTGAGGGTGAAGAAAGTTAGTGTTGGTGGTGTTTTCTTCTTAAAAGTGTTTAACACACAGTTCCAACTGAAGAGCATGTTGGGGAAGTTTAGAGTTTTTCTTGTCTTGCATGTTTGGGTCGGGAAGAAATGGTGTGACTAAGTCGGCGTTTTTATTTGTTGTATTTGGTACCTTCAAGGCGTGCCACATCAGATGCCATAAAACATATTGAAATTTATTAGTTTTTCTTTTCATATGTTCAGAAATTATACGCTTTGGCGAGAGTAAATATGATCGCTTCTTAACCTACATCATGTTGAAAATCAATGGGTAATCGGTTCTAGGTGATTGAGTAGTATATGTTTTTTGTATGTCCACACCAAATGTTTCCTGTCGGTTCTACCTCTCTAGCTTTTCAAGTACCTGGTAATCACGCTAAGGCGGAAAAAATAAACTGTATTCATCGAATACATTATAAAATCATTCGCGTTTTTTGCGGCAATGACGGTTACTTGTCCTAAACCTTGTACTCCTTTATACTGTTCTTATCGAGCAGATATTGGTGATATGACCCTAGGCAGCTTATTTTCATACAAGTTTTTTTGCATTAGATTTTCTGACGATAGCTAGGTGTTATAGAGCAAGAAATCTTCTTACAATGATTTCGAGTCTGGAGTAAAGAACGGTAGCTTCGGAATGCTTTTGCTCCATCTTTTCAAGAAGTGATACACAAATTTTTCTGCTCACATACGATATTTAACTTATTTTCTTTACGCCGAGAACTATGGAAAGCCACGTTGGCAACGCAAGAACAGTGGTCCTCTTCGCGAAAACCATTGTTCTGTCGCGCTTTGTTAAAATTCCTGAGCGTTTTTTTATGTCTTCACCGTTCTCTGACTTTCCTCGTACTTACCGATGTTTGGATTTTGGCTCTCGTTGCAGAAAAATGGCGCACCACGACCCTCCTATTCCTGAGCATCTCATACCGGAAGCACCGTTTCACTTTTCTCACAATGGTCTTGACCCTGCTCTTCTTGGATCACTTGGAATACTTCTGTCAGCGTAAGTACTTATCTCCATGCAGCAATATGCTTTCTGTTGTTTGAGTATATTTACTATCGTTTTTTTTTGTTGAGAGCTTTGGTTTTTGTAGTGCTGTAGCTAGCCCACAAGAAGTGGAGCTGTTAGAATTCCAGTGTAACCGCCCAAAATGCATTTTATTTTGTCTCAACACCATCCCAAGCCACTTTCGTATAGCTGAACTCTTCATCTTGTTTAATGAATGCGTTTGATTGTCATTGTTTATTCTCGCTTGAAGATCTACGCTCAAACTTTAGTCGGCATGCAAAAGACATAGGGCACCTCCCCCAGAATTGTTCCCATATGAACCATTCGATCATTTTAACATGTCGAGTTCGAGTAAACGCCTCAAACTTGCTGGAGTTAACGTGTCAAATGATCAAAAGGCAGCCATGTTGATGGTTCATATGGGAACAGTTCTGGGGGATGCAAAATACACGTGGTATGCGATCTATCCGGTTTTCCATTCTTTGCAACTACTCTTTCCACATCATCAAATCTTGACGGATAGAAAAGATATGGGAACATATGGAGTGAAAGTTATGTTCTTTGGGGCTGCTTACTTTGCCGCGGAAGGCAATTACTATCCCATGTGCTGCATTAAAGGCAGCGTCCAGGCAATCTGGGCCTATGGGGATCTCACTTGGAGAGTGATCTTGGGGCCCTAACTAAAACAGTGCCCAAGCGACAGCTCAAATGGTGAACTCACAGCTGAGATATTCGATTCCAAACTGGACCCCACGATCGTTCACATGGATGCATGGCGCGACACATCAGGTTTGCTTGGGTCCTCGTGCGTCGTGCCATGAATCCATGGAATACGATCCCGGGGTCCAGTTTGGAGGCGAAAATCTCAACTGTGAGTTCACCATTTGAGCTACCGCTTGGGCAGTGTCTTAGTTAGGGCCCCAGAATTACTTTCCACATTAGAAGCCCGCATGTCCAGATTTGCCTGGACGCTGCCTTAAATGGAAGTGTGAGCCTTCGAGTGGGAACAAAGTTTCTTGCATAGAACTGATATCAACCGAAAAACTTAATTCATTCATTCGCTGCCATGTTTTTTCATCACGAAAAGAATTCGCTATCTCTTATCTTTGGTCATCTCTGGAAAATGAATAAGTGATAGCAGTAAATGCATTGTCACTCATTTTTCACCACATTTTCTACTTTAGAACTTTCGTTTTAGATCATTTTTATTATACAATGGCTTTTTTTTTGGTAAGGTAAACTGATAGTGTAGTAAATGAACGGTGTGATCATCTTAGGTCTTGAATATAGGTGTAATAGCCTTAAAGGCATTGTCCAGGTCAACCTGGGGGTTCTGGGATTTTGACACAGTGTGAGAACACGGCTCCTGACTAACGCGACAGTTTAAGTGCGATCGAAAAAGGTGGAATCTGAAGCGAAAAAATCGCTTCGGACGAGTTTGGAAATAAGGGGGCGGTACTCCAATCCCGCCCCCTTGACAGGTTTTGACATGGCCAATACACTAGATCTTGAGCATTCGCCACGTCAAAACTTGTCGAGGGGGCGGGATTGGAGTGCCGCCCCCTTATTTCCAAACTCGTCCGAAGCGATTTTCTCGCTTCAGATTCCACCTTTTTCGATCGCACTTGAACTGTTGCTTTAGTCAGGGGCTGTGCTCTCACAATGTGTCAAGATCTTAGTACCCCCAAGTTGACCTGGACAATGCCTTTAAAGTATCACACGATCAAATGAGCATAGCCCGGAAGTGGCATTTTCGTCGCTCAATGACAACTTTGTGTGCTGTCAAAAAGTAAACAATCTGCTAAATCAAATGAACTTGCTTTTCTTCTCATCTGCTAAGAATTTAGACTACTCTTCATCATCTACCGTTTGTTGAAGCTAAAATGGGATGAAGACGCAGCTCGGCGGCGGACCGAGGCACTACTGGCCATGGCAGCAGATGACGAACGAGACAATCTCAGAGAAGCGCAGAGTAAGTTCAGCGAGTTGAATTGCACGCTTTCGACATAGCAAACATGTTCCAGTGGCCGGAGGGCGTCGAAGGAATGTTGTTCGTCGACGTATTCACCATGAAGAAGATGACTTTGTCAATCAGATGCTTGCTGAAGTAGATCCAGATGCAGAAGGTCAGTCATATTTCACATCCAATGAATTATGAAAAATTCATGAATTATTCAATGCGCTCTTATCCCTGTATTTTCTCCTCTTACTAAGCTGTATAGACTATTTGATAACTTTCTCATTACAATCCATTAATATTATATAATTTATTTCCTGCTTTCCTCGACAAACGCACAGAAGAATGCGTATGTCCGTTGTCGCTAGAATTTTGGTCTCTATAGTTCTTAAATCACTGACCTTGCTCACCCCATTCATTTTATCTTTATTTCACTTATTACGGCAAAAAATAAGAACTATTGTTCACTGCTCAAATGCTTTGTTTGCCCCTCGATAAATTCAGTTTCAAATGTGAATTTTCTAGACTCTGAGGGCGAAGGAGTACCGTTGCCGATGTTTGACCAACATGGTGAGAAAATTGGTAAAAGAAAAGCGGCCAAATTACAAGCCAAAGCAGAAAAGAAAGCAATGAGGGAGCAGGTGAAAAATATTCTCTCTTGAAGTAGTCTCATTCCATTTTCAGTTGTAATGTTTTAGGAACTTATCGAACGTGAAGAACGCAAAAAAAGAGAAGAGGAGAGAGAGAAAAAGTTGGAGGAAGAAAGGGAGAGAGAACGACTTGAAGAGGAAGCCGAGCAAGAGCGATTACGGAAAGAAAAAGAAGAGCGTGAACAAAGAGAATTGGAGGAGTATTTGGCGGTGAGTATGACCTCATTCTTTGTTGTTCTTTTTATGTCTCAGATTTATATCACTTCGTGTAACAGGTGGGTGCAAAATAAGGGTTCGTAACCGACACATTGTTTTTTTTGCTTTTTTTTTTTGAAAGGTGGGGTTGTGAAATAGAATCAAGAATTTGTGAATCTGATCTTGTTATCCTTGGAAAGCCGTTCTATGATGGGTTCATTCCATCCCTACAGAATGTTCAAACCGGTGCACGATATGTCTGAGTTTGATTTCTTCAGTTGAAAGAATCTTTTGCCGTAGAAGAAGAAGGTTTCGATCAGCTTGAAGAAGAGGAATCAGCCAACTTGATGAAGGAGTTCGCAGATTACGTCAAAAAGAGCAAGGTAAATACCAAAACAATTTTTGAGGAGCTGCGTAATGGTGAATCTAGGTTGTAAATATGGACGAGTTGGCAGCACACTTTGGACTAAAATCCGATGAAGCAATATCGAGATTACACTATTTTCTCGACAACGGTCTTCTCGAAGGTGTTATGGATGACCGCGGAAAGTTCATATGCATTACAGATGAGGAACTCAATGCAGGTAAGATCTTACGAGGAAAACTCAGAAAACAAAGTTGTATTCATTGCAGTTGCAAAATTCATCAATCAACGCGGCAGGGTAACAATTCATGAACTAGCCGAATATAGTAATAAACTCATTCGCTTAGAAGGAGAAGCATAGTCAAGTCTGGGTATTTATTTTTGCTGGTGTGCTTGTATTAATTGCTGCTGTACTTTCATCTTGTCGCTTCATTTCTGTGATTCTATCAACCATTGTATACAAAGTCTTTATTTTCCATAAAGAATTAAAGTACCCGAAAATGTAAAAGTTCGAGGAAAAGAAATCAGACAATCTGCATTGTTGGGTTACAAAAAGATATCCTGTCACATGTGGTATTACAATGAGCTCATGTTAGGGGAAAAAACGACATAGCTTTAAAGCCATTTGTATTTATATAATTGAATGAATTATGAGACCACTGAATTACAAACAGTGCGCTTTGTTGCGTACCGGGATTCACTAATGCTGCCGAAAACAGACAGCTACATTTCAAGCGACTGAGCGCTATCCCTAGCACTTGAGGGTGCTCCAGCATCACCTTGTGAGGCCATTTCTTCTTCTTGCATTATGCGAAGGCAGGTACCTTGTCCAAATCGTGCATCCATAAGGATCTTCTGGATATGCATTTTTGCAATGGCCTTCTGCAAACAGTGCAGTTATTTTCACTTCAGTTGAAGCTATTGAATCCAAAAATAAATATATTCGAGATTCAAAGATATACAGGTGGTCTCATGACTACTTCGTTTGCATCAGCGGCTCGAATTTGCGCAGTCACCTCGCTTGAAGCTTGCGCTGCGCAAGCGGTCGCATTCCCTGAGCATTTTCCCACGGCCAGCCTTCAACTGCAGCACAGGCATGGGAACATGTCCAGATGTTACGTTTGCAAACGCGGCGTGATCTCCAGTTGAGGAGGTCGCGCAGTCTAGCCGCCGATGCAAACGTCGCAGTCAACAAGATAATCTACGAACCGTGAAATATGAAAAAAGGTTTGAAGGCAAACGGTCATCTGCACACCTCGTCATCATTGAGAAGACTCAAATTTTGGCTGATGAATTGCTGGAACTGGAGATCAGCATCGTACTGACTTTGCTGCATATATCCTGGACCAAGTGAGGGTGAATGGTGCTGTGGCGACGCCACTACACGCGTTTGTGGTCGTAGCTGATCGCCCATCTATAATAAACAAAACTGAGCCTTCAAGATAAACCCCTAACAGTAATTCCTAACCGATAGCGCTATATGACGCGATTGACTTCCTCGCGGTACAGCTTGATGACCGCTGACCATCATCGTGCTAAGTGGCGAATCACCCAATAATGGTGAATCAGAATCTAGAACCAGTATGATAAATGATTAGATTTGGAACGTGGATGTTGATCCCCTACCGTGTTGTTCTATGACGACGGTACGCTCGTCAATGCCATCATCAATGATGATATCATCGCCAAGCTGACCACGAGTGCCAGCGCCACCACTCGAATCTCCTGCTAATGAACCATGCTGAGGATTGCCCACAGAAGATTTGGCCAACACCGCCATACGTTTTCTTGGAGGGCCACTAGAATTGAACATTGATTCGAGGCATATATAAAATCTATGCCATGAAAAAGAATTTCAACAATCAGCGAAGAGGAAGACCATCATCAATGCTGAAACGCCCAAACTTACTTGGAGTCTACATCTGCAACGCTAACAAGCCTATACATTTTTTGGGCGCCATTTGTGTAATAGGTAGTGGGATCAATTATCATTGTCATAGTATCTAGAATTGCAAAAAATACAAATAAACATATGCGAGCAAAAAAGTTCGATAACCAACCTTTCTTCACGCTTCCTACCATGCCAGCGCTTCCGCTAGCAGTCACTGTCAACCCTTCATGTGGAACTTTTTGTACGAATTGAGGTGATGAAGACGTCTGTAAAGTTTCAATAAATAAGACATGTGATGCAAAAGCGGCAGTTTTCGGATACTCACAATTTGTACGCGCTGAGGTCGTTGTACGCTACTTGAGGGAGCTGTGGTAGTCTTTTGTGCTGGACTGAAAAGCAAAAGTTATACTCTCTATTGCACCCGATTAATCGAGTGCCACGTTTTACTTACTTTGAAGCTGAAGCAGCGCGAGGCGCTGTGTCATCTCCTGTGTTGTTATTCCCAACCACTCTTATAGTGGTTTGACCACCACTTGGACTAGACTGTCGAAGCAGGATAAAGCCTGGAACAGTCATTTTCAATCGAAAAGGCGTGAAGCAATTCGGCTGACCTCCGCTTTGCGATTCAGATTGCGCTAAACGTTGATGTGTGGTAGTTGGCTGTGAAGGCTGTTGATAACTAAAATCAAGACATCCACCATCAAAGAGAAATAAACACCTCTACTACTGTAGCTTACCCCGAGATCATTACATCATGATTTACATCATTGAAATATACATCCTGCGCATTAGATGGCGATAGAGACAAATGGGATTGAGTGGAAAGAGCTAAAATCTGACAATCTCATAGCATACAGCCAAGACCACTATCATCACTAAAATAAAAAAAAAGCATAATTTGATAACGACCAACGTACGCGCATCTTCGAAGACATATTCATCAATCCAATGCATCGACTCCGACAGGATATCTCCCTCTGGACATAATGGCTCGCCATTCTGTAAGTACAATAAACGTAATCTCACGACTTGTTAGAAATAAATTGATTATTCGTCAAAAAAAACATTCTCATAGATGAGAGGGTTCCTTTCAAAAATGGAAAGATCAATTAGGTGGTAGAACAAGGAGTACTATTAAGATTTTAAGAATGATGCCTCACCTCTGCACGTTCAGTCTTCCTTTGGATGTAAAGGTCGCGTATTCGATCCCACTCATCTATCAATGAGTTCAAGTCCGCTGAAAATAATTGTAAAAAAGCATGATATTTGTAGGGTTTAGTTATATGCAAGTGTAGTGAAACATATCACTTGTCCCGATACTAAAAAAACTCGCGAAGCTCTCGAACCATTGTATTGTACCATTGTAACATGCTCAAAGGCACCGTCCACCCAAATTCTCGACTTCCATTTTTAGTCATTTTGGGGCCTTCTCGTGTCCCTGATTTCGAATATAAAGCAGAGAATCCCCAAAAATCCCGGGTTCTTGGTTCCTAAGAACCACAGGCCAGTTCTCTGGGACGGCGATTGGATGGTCCGCGTGGATGGGCGGCCATCATTGGAGGGGGCGGTGCCAACTTGGGATCCTCATTCTTCGCTATTCCAAAACGATTTCTCGCTTCCAAAGCGAGATTTTGCGCCGCGACTTGGGCATTGGCATCATAGAGGGTCCCTATCGTAGGCTGCTAAAAGCTCAAGACCCCAAATTAGAGTGGATGGTGCCTTTAAGAATGTTTTTCTTCCACTTTGGAATCAAGCAACCGAAAGGGGTTGCAAGTAAATTTGTCAGTCAAAGCACGCAAAGCGTTCTCAAGCTTCTTAGCCCCAGAACAGAGGATAAAAAGAAGTTAAAAAATAGTGATCGATCTGCAGAGGTTGCTTACATTGCCAATGCAAATCTTCAGCAATCTGATCCCATATTCTCAAGCGGAACTTGTTGTTCTCAGGCTTATCGCGGTAGAACTCGTTCATCGGATCATAGAGACAAGGATTCTCACGCACCGCATTGATCAATCGTAACTGTAACAGACTGAGACTGTGAAGATGTGAAAAAGTGTGACGTAAAGTTAGAATACCTGAAAGTCTTCGTCCGCATTCTCACGTGGTTGTGATTCAGAAGCGGTTCCGCTTAGAACTATCTCTTCATCGATCGATGATTCAATAGTGGGGAAGTCCTTTTCAGTGTGTTCAAAGTCATTTGATACAAGTCTCTCTAAAACAAGACAATCGATTCCTTGAAAATGAAGGCGGCCTCAAATGAGCATTCTCTAAGAGTTCCCTCCATTAAAGAGAACAATTGGTAAGTCTGAGGCGCACATTCAAAAAGAGAGAAAGCAAGCTGACCCAGATAGTCAAGAATATAAGCTAAGATTCTTCACTGATACCCAACTGCTCTATTATTACTTACTCAAACGGGTGCATGACAAACTAAGCATATAAAAAGGTAAGATTGAACTCATAAAGTCAAATTTCCTTTGAAAATTGCTGAACTACCCAAGGCAACGTATCCCTGGTACGAAAAGCTTAAAGTCAAGACAATCTTTTGGGATTTGGCAAGAATGTATCTGAATAGGCAAAACAGACAAAAACACAACCTAATTCAACAAAATTCAAGATGCAAAAGCTGCGCCCTGCCTCTTGCGCAAAAAACATAGGGCCGGGCATACTACCCCAGGAAATGATTCCTGCGACTTCTGTATTCTGCAAATTCTTGTGATCCCTCGACTTCCGATGTGCCGCATTATGGAGCGCTTTGCGAATCAGTACATACTGTTTTTTTTCGTAATATACATTGTTACAGGACCCGGAAGTAATCACAGGAATCGCAGGAATTGCAGAAATCACAAGGATAGCGTGGCCGACCTCATACTCGCTGGAACAAGACGATTCCAAAAAAGTAACGAAGAACCTATTCAAGGTTCCACATAATCTAGCGCTACGAAATGATTGGAATGAAAAGAATTTGGAATTATGAATGAGGAAAAAATACCAGTGCGGTAAGGTGAAACAAAAAATTTGTAGAATCACTGAAAGTCGAAAACGAATGACTTCATGAGGGAAGCTTTTTTTTCGATTCGTAAAGTCAATGGAGTGGATACTGTAAGCACGTTCAAAACCACTCAAAAAGCTAACTTCAACCATGGAATTTTATACTGATTTATTTTTAAAAAGGTGAAAAAAAAAGTTTTTTTTGAAAACGATTTTCAAACCAAATTACACTGAAAGTGTAAAGTAAGAAGGAAAAATTCAAAAAATGCCCTGACCATCGGCGACTGGTTATTTGCACTAACATCAATATTTGCACTCTTAAGCAATATAAGCGGAGATATGAAGCTCGCACCTGATCTGGAAGGAACGTTCTTCAGCTCAGTAAGCTGGTATTCACCGGTACGCGTTGTCGGCGTCTGGCCGGATGGTTGTGAGGTTGCGGTCTGCTGCCGTCGCGCCTGGGGGCTCGCGACCTCCATGCTGAACGAAGGAATTCTAGAATCACCTGTGCAGTGAGGTAGCCAAAGAGGTATAAGAGCTTAAGCTGAGCAAAAAATGAAGAAAATGTTTGAGAATGACGTCGAAGTCGTCGTTGGCGGTTTCTGAAGCGTGCGCAGCGACGTCTACATGGAAAACTTACCAAGGCGACGCCGTTGTGAATCATCGCTGAAGCGGTTGTGCAGCTTGGCCGAGCCGATCTACTCCTTCAGTAGGCTGACCCTGAGGCTTCGGATAGCCGCCGAACGCTTGGTAGTACGCTTACGCCGCGCAACCGCTCCAGGGCCGCGTCGCAAAGCTTCAGAAACCGCAACGACACGCTCGCGACACGACGATGACCGCGTCGCTGAACCGCCGTCACGTCGTCGAATGCGACCGCAGAAGACGCAACGATGACGTCATTGCCCGGCGCGGTCGATAATCGTGCGCAACGTCGCTGTGGGACCGCAACGATCTTCAATAGGAACGTCCTTTAGTTGCCTGGAAATGCGCCCGTTGTTGCGACTAAAGAAGAGAATACATATGGTATGGGGGATGCTCTTATATGGATTGTTATGTTCCGCTCAGAGGTGATCTCAAGGAAAATTCAGATGTGAAGGGCTATAAATGTGTGCTTATTTAATTTGTGATTCACCATTCAATTCTGACTCCAGAAGTCCTAATTTTCCTTATTTCCTTTAGTTTGATGTGTTATAGTTTTTTATATATGCTGATCTGGTGTCTTTGAGGCGATTTTTTCATAAAAATTGATAAGGGAAGGAAACCATGATATGACAGACTTTCAGCTTCGCATTTACAAGATTAAAGTGCAAGGTATAAATTTCGGTGATATTTTTTTCCTACAGAATTCTAGAATTTGCCTTGTACACACCCCGCAGAAAATACAATGTTTTCGTTGAATATTGCATGGATACTTCTATTGCTTAAATTAACTTTTTTATCCACGGCCCGAAATGTATTAGGTTGTAACAGAATTAATGCAGGTTTCCTAAATTTTGTGTTTGGATCACTATAACTTTTTACACAAATAGTCTTTTTGTGCGCAACAAAAATTATTGTAACTAGCAAACCTTTTTCAACTCAGTATGCATTATTGTGTTGTTGTAGCTCACTGAGAAACATCTTATAGCCCGAGTTCTACCAAGAATTTTTTCGGGAAAAACCTTTACTTTAAGGAACCATAACTTACTATCAAACATAGTAAGGCGGCGCAAATATAACTCACTGTGTAGCCTATGGTCGGTTCTGCAGCAGCGCTAAAATCGGAATTGAAAAAGAATTTTTTGCGAAAGGATATTTGAAAATTTTTTGAAAGTACTCATTTTTTCGCCTTTTTTGAGAATTTGAAAAATTGCTTTTCTGAAGCTTTTGAATTTTTCAAAGCTGAACAGGGAGAACGGCTCCCGATTTTTTCAGCCATAAATGTCTAAAATCTATTCTTCCTATATAAAGCGGAAGCTCTGCAGTCTCTTCGCGCTGAGGATTTTTATGCAGGGCAGAAGATCCACAGCAACCGTGGAATTTTGCTCTGAAATTTCTCGGCTCAGATGTTTTCAGAATTCATAGTTCAATATGCATGTATTAGGTCGTTCCGAAAGTAATGTCGCTTTTTTAAAAATGAACGCCACATTTCAAGTAATCAAGATTTTTAAGAGTTTTTAGAAGCATTCGATGCAGCATTTCGTTCTCTTTCTAATGGTTATAATTCCGTGGCATGACATTCAATAAGCTCTCGAAAAATCACCAAAATCTGCGACTCATGTTTTTTGCCATGGTCAAGTTCGGCTATTTTTCTAAATTTTTGTACCTATTCTCCAAAGAAGTGCAAGTAGCAGCTAGATAGAGCAAACCCTATAGGACACAGGGTAATTTTTTACTTTTCCTTAGCTTGCTTCTTAGAGTTTCTGGAATCAATTTTTCAATGGTATGAAATTCCGTATTTGGTCAACTCAAACCTCACAGAACAACAACCGGCAAGCAACTCGGGTGTCATTCGACGCAGCTTTTTCTCCTCTTTTTACCAGTTGTTTTTGGCTCCCGATTCATTGAGTTTTCCGGGATAAAATCATCATAATTCAGGTTTCCTAGGGTACCCCAGGGTGTACCCGAAATTTCCAAAAGTGGCTAATCTGAAGCGGTAAATGCTCATTTGGTTTGTAAAATTAGTGTCAGACCATAATCCACCTTTGTAAGTTTCAAAATCCGAAGATTTGTTGGTGTTTGATGCATTTGTGTCTGAGACAAGCTTGCTAAAAATTCGGTGATTCCATCAAAAAATCTATACAAAAATTATGACGAGCTCTGGAAAGTGGAAAAAAGTTGTGCTGTTTCCTGTAGGGTTTGCTCTATCCATCCATCACTTGGAGTCTTTCCGAGGATTGTTATGAAAATTTGGAAAAATTTAGAAATTTGGCCTTCCCAAAAAGCATGGGCCGCAGATTTTGATGATTTTTCGAGAGGTTATTGAATTTTATGCAGCGAATGTATAACCATTAGAAAGAGAATGAAATGCTGCATCAAATGCTACCGAAATCTCTTACACATCTTTGTTCCACGAGATGTGGCGTACGTTCGAAAAAAGCGACATTACTTTTGGAACGACCTAATATAACATAGCTCACTCAAAAATATTATGTAAATTTGCGGAGAATTTCGATTATATTTGGTGGTTTTAGAGTCACGTATATTAAAAGAAAGAATTTCGAGATTTCGTTTCTCAAATTCATGGGCTTAGAACTTCTAGACAAATTCATTTTCACTGTAACGAGAGAATGCATAAGAAGTTAGAAGAAAAGAGCTTCCAAATGGTATGCAAAACTTTCTGAGAAAGACTTTCCCTTTCTAAACCAGCATTTTTAAAAAGGTGCGCAAAAAATCTGCATAATTCTGTTACAACCTAATAATATCTTCGTACAAAATCCCTATAAAGCTCAATTTGAACTGCGAGATGGTTAGGAATATCTTGTCTCTTCGACGGTGCTAAAAAGCTCAAAAAGCCTTTGAAATTATGACTTAGGAGCTCCGCCCGAGTTTTTGATGCAGCATTGCAAATAATTTAATGAAGCGTCTGTAGAAAATGCAGAATTATTAGTTACTCTTTAATACAGCAGTTTTGACTTATAATAGCCTGAAATTCATGCAAGTTTCATAAAAAATTTGGATCAGGGTTCTTTAGAATTTGCAAATAGAAGACCATTTGACCATACAACAAAAGCTTTTGCAAGTTGTAGTTAGTATGCAAAGAATTTTATTGTTCAAAAATTGCCCAATTTCCACAAATCTTAAATTTAAGAGAGCGTAATTCATTCTCGTAAGCATTAAACTGATGCAAGCTATGCGTCCGATGGTTGGTTGAACACTACAGTACAACTTTATTGCAACAAGTGTAACAGTAAGTAATGATAAAATTTTAAATCTGTGAAGTTTACAATCGTACCAGATCTAAGAGTTATACAAATTTACTTACGAATGATTCGAACATCTTGTAGTTTCACATGTCTCTAAGCCTAGACGCTAGTTCTCAAAGAAATAGCATTTTTGTAAGCCTTTTTATAGTGTCTGAAAGTCCGTTTTTTGTAGTTTTTATGCGCGCTTGTTTTCGCAATTGTTTTGTTCATTGAAAAGTTGCATTCCTCAAAAACAGGAACTCGAAATCCTCAATCAACGTGGAGTAGTCGGATATTCTCTGAAAAGTACGCAAAATTCGAAGAAGCCAAGCCAAGAAATCTGATCCCAAACTTGACTGGTTGATAGGGCCATCCTGTTGAAATTATTAAAGAAGAAGCGATTGTGGATCTTTCGCTTTGTCCAGCTACTGTAAATCTAGTACAACTAGTGATAGGAAAAAGTAGGGTTTCCTCACTGAAGAAGGGAAAAATTAGAGCCAAAAAAGCAATTTTTTGCCCTCTTTAGAAAAAAGTAGCTACTCCGGAATTTTCGTTTATCTCCTCTTGACTCGAAGTTTATCGGTTTTGCAGTACTTTTTGGCATTAGAAATTACATTTTCTCATCTTCTTGATTATTTTTACTAGTGAACAAATATAACTCCTTAACCAGATCTGAATAACGTCTTATTAGCCATAGTCGTAATTTTACGCGGTAATTGCCAAAACGATCAGAGTTTCGCTTCAAAGTGCTCCTGAAACAGTGATTTTCCTAGACTCTCAAACAATCTGTTGTTGGGCAGGGTTTCGAAAATTTTTGTGAGTCTCAACTTGTAGTGCTCTCTTGGTGCATATGGCTATTTTCTTTTTTTCTTTTTAGATAATCGATAGATGCGTCGGGTTTTTTTTCTGGCTGACAATCAGTCATAGTCTCGTCACGAAACAAAATAATTTTCCTTGAAAGGTCCAACATTTTCAGCGCATCGCCGAAAAAAAGGTTCATCGGTTTCACTTTTAATTCAAAGTCATAAACGCAGTAAGGTTTAAACTATGATGGAATTTGAGTCACTCTTATCGTTTGCTTTGTTCCATCTGCAAAAACATCTATAAAAAAGGAAAGGCGACAACTTGATATTTTTGTAACCATCGTTCAAGTGATTGCTGATTTTTTATCTTATTTTCTATGTACACATGGATGTCAGCATTCGCATCCATTTTTTCTTAATGCTTTCGATGCGCAGTGCCTTTGTAAGAATCGAGGGATAGGGGCTAATGTGGGGGTGGGGGGGGGGGGGGGGGGAGGAGGATAAACAGGCAACTGATTATTTCCCATTTGTTTTAAGAGCTTCTTTGGCCAAGTCCAAAATAGTAACGAACGCTAAAAGATGGAATCTAAATAAAATTTTGGAGCCTTCCGGTTCCGCTTTTCCGTCTGCCCAAAAACGCTCACCTTCATTGCGAAGATCAAATTTTTCACGAGTAAATGTCTAGACAATGCCGAAGTCACGATTACGTCTGTAGGACACTGCTCAAACCGGTTCTGTTTGAGAAATCGGACAACTTTGTAGTAGCGACATTTGCGACAAACCAAGAGGGAACCAATAGTATCTGCCCTGTGCATCTAAGGTGCTGTAATTGTGGAAGAAGTGAAAAGAGGATGAAGATTATATTTTCCGCATCAGAAAATGCGTAGTATGTGATTAATACCATATTCTTAGAAAACATACAATCAATAGCTTATAATTCGCGTTTTGTACCCTTCACTTCTCTCTTTGGAGGACGATAAAGTAGATGAGACGACATCTAGGTTCTTTTCCAGATTGTGTTTTGAAATCTCAAGTTTAGCTTGACCTGAAAATTTTTGGAATTATGTCAAGTTTCTATCAGATTCGGACCATTTTGATGATTCATTACTATACATGGCGCTCCCATCTCCACACAATAGACATGCAAATATGGCAGTTACATTCACATTTGAGGAAAAATAACTTTGAAAGCAAATAAAAATAGTTTATTTATGCTAACGGCTTTCTATGCTCTTGCAACGAAAAATTGTACTGTGCATCAAGTCAACTAATACGTATAATGTCTTTTTACTTGAAGTGTCCTCTTCCAAAAATATCCATAACATAAAGAGAGCAATGGTCTCCGAGAACTTTTGCCTAGGAGGAGGGGGGGGGGGCGACAAAATTTTCTTCCAAAAAAGGACGTGGCGTTGGCGAGATGTTTTCTAAAGTTTTTGGCCAGGCTGATTTTGATTTTTAACATTTTGCGAAACATGCAGTTATCTGCAAGTAAATACGTTATTTGCGCAACATCATAACCCATGAAGCTATAGGGCATTTGGAAAATCGTGATGATGGCGCGACCGCGCGCGACATGCACGCACCTTCCGACAACCACATTTTCTTGGAATCACCTCTATTCGAACGGGTTTTCTGCTTACATATGATAGTATTCACACACTGGATGTGACTGAGCTGGATGTTGAGGTGATACCTTTTTGTATGAGCGTTTTATGCTCTTATGGGCGCAAAGACCACAGTCAAATCTGCCGTCACGATTTTATAGATGAACTATACTATAATGTCAAAAAATTGTGCAACTTTAGAAAAAAGTTGAGCGAGGGTTCCCTCCGCCACTGCAATGGCAACCTGAGACGCTGATTCCAAACTCGCCTTCCAAATTTGGGGGTGGTGCAGGAGGAAGCGAAGGGCTGCCGCCTGTATCCGCAGGAGATAATTAGGAGCGCGAGCGCTATGGAGGATATTTTGCCAAGGATCCAAGAAAATTTGGCAATTACAACCTTTAGGAACAAATCTTCGTAATTTTGCCTGGAGATGAGTTAACACAGATTTTCAATGCATATTGGAAGGCGCATTCAGTGGGCCTAAAAGTAAGTGAAAATTCAGAACTGTAGTGGTAACAAAAGTCAACTTCCTTGTAGAAACTTATTATTTTGTGTTTCATGAATTTTTAAGTCTAAAATACTTGAAGTCCGGGGTTTTCATCCAAGATTCATTCTTTTTTTTCTTGGAGATAAGGGAATAGTTTGCTTATTAAGTCAATGAACCAAAGTAAAATGTCATAAAAAACAGCTGGAGACTGTGTCAAGATGCACTATGCAGTTTGTCTCATTACTTCAAAACTATTCTGATTTTAAATTTTAGTAGAGATTTCCATAGGATTTGTCATTGAAACTAGGTTAGTAATCCTTTCGAGGTCGAACACAATAGCAAATTTCATCACATGCAACTTAGATAACCTTATTTCCTGATTACCGCTCCCTAATTTCAACTTCAAATTCAGAAATTGCACTTGAAAAATCACTCCAATCTTTCGCATAACATTGGACTTGAAATTTCTCAGCTTTTTATGGTAAATTCTGAAGACTCAGTTTTTGAAAAAAGTGGTAATGTTTTAATGGTAAAAATAAAACTCGAGTAGAGACAGAGTTGTTTATCTATCCTGCACGAGTATTACTGTAAAATACGCATTTCAATACTGATTCCAAATCTGTTTTTCGTATTTCTGAAAGTTAATTCTAAGAAGAGTTCTATGGGTTTGTTTCCATAGATGTCCTCGCCAAGTTTTCTTGGATCCTCGCCAAAATCTTCCCCACAATGCTCGCGCTCCTAATTGTCTCCTACGGCTACAGGCGGCATGGCATGCCTTTGGTTCCTCCTGCACCGCATCACCAAATTTGCTAGACTGTTCTTGAAGTTACAAGCACTTGTGCTCAAATCTCACTGTCAGTGGAATGGTCAGAAGTTGAACCTTTGATTCAACTGGCTTCGCGGCTGGAAGACGGGGCTTCGTAATTAAGGCTAGGTAATGATCTGAGAGCACGCTCGCGGAGAGACGCAGACGGCGTAGCGGGCGCGAATGGCCTTAATTAATCACAAAGCCCTAATTTCCAGCCGCCGAGCCAATTGAAACAAAGATTAGATAATGCGAACAAGCTCTATATCATTTGGATGCGTCAAAGGTTGCTTACTTCAAATATGTTCTCAGTATCTGCGGAGCACTTCGAATGCGAGCTTATTAGCAAGTTTGCGAAAACTTGATCTTATGTTAGAAACATGAAAGCGTTTTCGGCTTATCTTCCCCTTGCAGTTTATGAAGTTTTCCTGACGCTTTGGCCCAATGGTGAGCTGAACATGGATCTGTCTGTTATATGCACTTTTGCAGAGACGATTCTTTGCAGTTTAAAGGCTTATAATGCTAGTTCTTTACTGCATACTAGAGGTAGTTGTAGGAAGCTTATTCTTCCAAGATTTGAGCTCTTTGTGAAGGAACATTTTTGTACTGTGTTTCTTAGGATGTCGATAGGCTAGAAAAGGGTCGAATGTTCATCGCAAATCTGTTCTTCTTTCAAAACCTATCAGGAGGCGGTCATTACAAACTCTATGACTTTATTTCTTTCTATTTATGATACACAAATTGCGCAGGATTTTGTTGAAACATCAGCCGCAGGAATGTGTCGAACAACTGTGAGTGTCGAACAATGTCACAAAATACACAAAAATGTCGAACAAACGCAGGATTTTTCCGCAATTTTGTTTACTACTGCGAAAGTGTAAACGTTGAAAATCGGAACTTCCGCGGAATTTTGATGCCAAACTGGTTGAAAACCGGAATTTCCACAAAACTTTCCTCAAAACCTGCGGAAGTTCCGAAAAATGCAGGGGTTCCGCAGTACTTTGGCCTGCCAGAACTTCCGCAAGACTTTGAATGTGTTGTCTCATGATGTTGCCTCGAAAACAACTAAAGTGCCTTATCGAACATGTCAGCCGTAGTGCAGAGGATTACAGATGAGTCTCACAGTCAATAGAGTAGGGTTCAAATCTCGCTTAAATGTTCTTTTGATGTTGTGGTTCCATTTTTCGGGACTTCCGCAGCACGTTTACGGAACTTCTGCAGGGTTATTCCATATCTCCTCTCGAATAAAACGATGTGAAACTATCTTTTCTTTGACTGCATGATTCCAAAAAAACTATGTCAATGTCAAATTCTTACCGCGGTATCTATGAGTAAACATTGTCAGAACTTGGATATCCAAAAGCGCAACATATATTGCTCAGCAGTTCTTGTGCTCAGAAGTTTACCAAAGGTTACTATCCAGAGCAGATGAAGTTAAATGCCAAGTAAGGGCACAAATTTTGGCAGTTCTAAGCGCTTTTTATAAGTTTTTCGTGCCAATAAACACCAATTAACATACATATAATTCATTTCTGTATATTCAAAATCAAAGAATAGATATCAGAAAGCACCGGCATGAAAAGAAGACCATTACAATGGTTAATAAATGTAAGCAAAATACAAAGATGGACAATATGCGAAAGCAACTTGCACAGAAAAAATGAGCTGAGGTGAGCATCAAAAGGATATTTCATCGTAGAAGGAAGGAAAGTAAAAGGTAAATAGATAGAAAATTAATCTATGAGCACTAATCTAGCAAATTAATTACCCATCTAACTATTGCAATTTAAATAGTCCTAGGAAAATTTACAGGATTTCTCATATGGAATCAGAAGGTGACAATGTCCCGAGATAGTAAAGGTGACAATCTACAGATGAGCGAGATCCGTATTGGGGCTGCGTCTAGAGCTGCCCGCGGGCCGACGGCCGTTCCACCGCCGTGCCAGCATCGTGCTGACCGGCACACAGACGTACAGCGTGTTGATTGGTACCTTCCGCTAGCACAGTCCTGGCACGGTGATGGAACGGCGCTGGCACGGACGACTTTGGCCGCAGCCCAAGGTCCGCGGGCAGCTACCGAATCACAAGCAGGCGCGGTGTCAAGTGTTCGGTTTTTTGAACGGAAGCTCCCACATCCCCAACCTTTCGTGAACCTTTGAGCCAAGCGCAGGTCCTGCACGGATTGGATATCCCGTTAGTGTGTAAGTAGTTCTGCCACAATTTTTAGTTTCTTCTCCGTCGTGGCTCGATCTGGTATGACAATTCCATCAATCGACGTTGGTTATCCACAACTCGAAAGTTTCGGATGAAATTTTGCGTCTCGTAGATTTTCTTCTGCTCCATTTGGGGAACTAAAATAATTTTTTTTCAGTTAGAGTTGAAATAAAAAGCAAATGTACGTACTTGAATATCTCGATTTGCATTGCCGGAAACTCCTCAAAATATTTGCAATCATATGCTGAAATAAAAGACAATAAGGTGGAAAATTTCATGCGCTGATCCAGCTAAAAAAACCCAAACCAACCATCTTCTCGAAATTCACGAGACCATTGTAGTAGGTTTTATTGCCTTCGTGGATGAATGTCAAGTCCTTGAGTAGGAGTGGAACGAATGGAATTAGTGGTGGTGACATCTGGAAAAAGACTGGTATTTATAAGCACCACTGAAATTCCAAACAAGCACAGAAATTTCTTATGAAACTGCTTTTTGATTTGCTCGTCGAGTTAAAATTGTCGTTTTGTATGGACAGCCTTGAGTCTTTCGATCAGAATAAGTGGGACTTACCTTTGCCACAAGAGCTCGATATGGCCTATGATTTCTGGAAGGATCCAACAGTGATTCGAACTCAGCGAACTGCCGTCGAAGCTTGGCAGGAAGCCGCTGAAGTAAGTAAGGACTTGGAACAAATACAAGTGATAACTCTTTTAAAGAGACCACTTGAATTTTTTTAGGATGAAATGATTGGGAAACAAGAGAAGAAAGCAACAAATCTGCCGATATGCCGATACAGTACAATCTCTCATCAAGTAATAGTAACCTTTGATTCAACAGGCTTGGCGGCTGGAAGCAGCTCGCGCCAGCGGCGCATTCTGCATCTCTCCCGCGCGCATTATTTTCTGATCATTACCTAGCTTTAATTAGGTCACGAAGTCCCACCTTCCAGCCGCCAAGCCACTTGAAGCAAAGCCCATATATGAGTCATTGTAACATACGCGTATTGCAGAGAACGTGCGCTACCTCACGACTTCTGCACTTGAATCTGTTAGCTCTCAGCGATTTCTCCCAGGTTTCTTCCTTCTTTCAGTTTGGATGAATATCAAATAGTATTACACCATATCATTTGTCACGCTTGAAAAGCTTTTACTGGCGAGTTACCAATAATGTGTCGCCGGTTCCCGCGCACAGTGTGCAGGCTCACATCAAGCAAATGATTCAGGTAGTGTTCAAAATGCAGCAATTTTGAGCTAATGGCCCCGAAAATTCATAGAAATCATTTCTTTGATGTTCGAATTTTTTTGGGGTCAAGCAGTGAAAAATGATTCGTTGGTACGTCTAAAGCGTTTACAAACAATTTTTTTTAACGTGCGATAGGCAAATCCCAGTCAAAATGAATAGATATCCACCACTCATGACACGCAAAGACTGGGAGCCATTGCGTCCGGCCAAAATAGGTTCGCGCATGGTAGAGACAGCAGACGGGAAGAGAAACGAAAGAGCGCTCGATCAGAGAGACGCCGATACGTCCGCAGTCTTGCGTGCTACGAATCGCCTTATGAGTTTCCTTCTATGTGGAAACTGTTTGAAGGCTAAATTATTTCGTGATGGAGCAGAAGCTTCACATTAATCGACCATAGCCGAGAAATCCAATTTTACTTCGTTAGACTGTATTGTTCTTCTCATCGCTCAAAGACACTTTACTCCGCTCAAAATGACCACCTGGACAGGAGCTTGAAACAAAATTTTTTTCAAGTGGAATTTCCAGCAACAAAATTTTCTTGGACACTGCCTTGAAAGAAATTTTGAAAAGAATGTGTAGGGGATAATAAAGCCCTCCGATTACTACAGTTCATAAGGCAAGACCCTCTTACTCGTAAATCTCCAATTCTCAAACCAGAAAAAGGGGTACACTTTCAGAGACAAGCAAACATAGTGCACCCTTCGATTCAACTGGGTTGGCGCCTCGAAGGCGGGGTTTCGTGACCTAATTAAGGCTAGATTATGAGACACGCGAGCGACAGAGACGCAGACTACCTCGCGGGCGCCAGCGGCCTTAAGTGGGTTGAAAAGCCCGCCTTTCAGGCGCCAAGCCAGTTGAATCAAAGGATACCTGCGTTGCAGACGTACTTGCGCGTAAATTATGTCCAGGGTGAAATTTAGAAAAAAACGTCATGGCCAATTCTCATGTTGTTTATTTCAGATTCTACCGCCACAGCGACACTATTTTGAATATTGAAGTAATTTAGAAAAATTAGATTCAAATTAGAAAAAGTGAACATACCTCCCATAAATGCGTCAGCCGACTCACAGCAATGTTACTCAAACCCAAAGTGATGGCGAATAGAGTCATAAGATCACGGTTTTCTTTTGCACTAAAGGATAAATTTTTAGAAAATAAAAAATGTGAATGAACAAATTGCGAAACAACCTGACATTATCAAAATTTTATCAACAGTAAGAAATTCTTAGACTTACTACATGGCAATTTTGATAAACTTCCTCAATGTATTGACCCGTTTTTGTGGAAGCGCTAGCAAAACCTCTGTTGTTGCCCAGTATTGTACTTCATTAAATCTGAAATGACGAAGTAATATCAAAGGAAACACAGGATATCCCACAACTACCTTCTCATTAGAAGATCCAAGTTCGAGGGAACTCGGCCAGGAAATTGATCTCGACCAATCACTTGGGTCACCAATTCTATCTCGTCTGTCGCCTAAATTCAAGCATGTTGTATAATCTTTTCTTGTTTACCTTCTAAAATAGTGTAAAACTCCAGAAAAATCTCTTGGCATTGCAATATAAACTGTTCTAGTCCAGAAGGATGATAGAAAGAGATTAGTAGAAAAACCTGTTTAATTGCTGCTCGGAAAGTCCATGTAAAATCCGGACTTTCTGTTGCGCGCTCCCTCAAAAGTAACCTTTGATTCCACTGGCCTTCCCGCCGGAAGGCGGGGCTCTGCGACCTAATTAGAGCCGCTTGCGCCCGCTACGCAGTCTGCGTCTCTCCAGCGCAGTACTCTCAGTACTCAGCTTTAATTAGCTCACGAAGCCCCGACTTCCAGCCACCAAGGCCGGTTGAATTGAAGGGTACTTGAGAATGATCAGTATGACCTCCTACCGTACACCTACGTATTCACGCAAATCAAAATGTACGATATAGCAGGAAGTTTCTTTATGAAATTTCGAAGTTAGTATAAAACTGTTTTTGCAATAACAATGGGCTACTCTAAAAAGAGCGAACCACGGAATTTGCATTCGAAAAAGATATTTTTTGTTACTGATTATTCTCAAAATATGTTTCCTCTACAAAGCACGATTTAGTAGTCGACATCCAAAAAATGATGATAAAAAATGATGCGATGTAACAAATAAAGCTAATGTATATTTTTTTATTAACAGCCATGCTAAAAGTACGCAAAAAGAGAAGCTCATTCCTGTATTATTCAAAAGAAATTTTCTGCAGTGGGGTTACCCACCTCAAAGAGTTGCGTATGCAGAACGAGAAGCTGTTGCGCCAATTCGTGGCTTCCGACATATTCCATCACCGAGGCGTGAACAGACTCTACGGGACCATTTTGATCGAGTTGTGGCACCTTAATTTGCAAAGTAGGCAACCAAATAGCAACTCTCCTCATTCGAAATAGGCTTTAAGCCCCTCATTTTGTCGTGTCAAGAGCAAACGAGCTACTCACCAGTGAATCGATCTCATCTTTGCTGACCACATATAGCTTGCCGTTGAGTGAAAGCATAGTAGAAATGCTAACATCACCATCGTAAAACACGACTTTTTCTGTAAAACCGATCAGATTGGCCTGTTTCAAGATATTAGGTCTTTGTCCCATTAAGTTTTATTCTAAAGAAATATCTTGAGGTAATCACATGAGTTTTTTGATCCTATCATGAACTATAGTGTGCTTTCTGAAGCAATTTTCACATGAGATGTCTCAGCAGTCAAATTCGATGTGAGAGTAAGAATCTACTGCCAGATCATTTCTTCAATGGAATTCGAACTTTTCTACTACAGATTCTCGAAGCAATATCCGGATCCTATAAAAATTTCATTGTCTTTGTCAGTGGCAATGTACAGCTTAGTCATTTCGTTACCTATTATGTGCAAAAGCACACCCAGGGCCCGGCACGCGTTGGTTTGGAGGTTTTTAGGAAACGAAGTCCCCCATGACCCCGCGAAAATTTACGAAGTCCCTCTCGACGTGAAAATTAGTAGGAAAACCCTTATTCATCCAAAATAGCAATAAAAAAGCGAAAAAGGGCATTTTGAGGTATGTAATATAACAAAAAAGCAAAAAGAAAACATTTCGAGTCGTTTAAAGGCTCTGCCATTGGGTATAGTACCATTTTGATGCTGGGAATGTCGAAAACAGGGCTCGGCACAGCTGGCACCGGGTCAAGCTGGATATCGTTTTTGGAGCGAAAAGCAAAGGGGATATCGTTTTTCCGGGGTCCAGTGCGGAGCCCCGCAAAAAATTTCGCGTACTCTCCTTCATGAGATCACAAAGATTGCAAAAATATGCAACACAAACGAAATCTTCCAACATAGATATACATAAGTTTTCGGCCGAAATGCAGACGCCATGCTAAGTCTAAATTTGGCCGTCAGCATGCCACTGACATGCCACAGGCGACATGCCGGCAGCATGAGCGCGGGAATTCAAATTGTGCCAGAAATAAACAAAAGCCTTATTTAGAAGTAAAACGCAATCATATGACACCAAATTTGGTGAGTGCATGCGCGTTGGGGGACGTAAACTATGGCCCAAAAATTTATGAAAACTTATGTGAATTGAAGCCGTGCCCAACTTTTTTCTGAATTAGCTGGCACCGTGCCAGCTGGGTGCCAGCTGAGCTGGCACCGACCCTTTGCACACATAAGTTTTCATACTTTTTTACATCAATTGTATCTACACCCTAAAAGTTTACATACAGAGGAAAAACGATTTCATAATGTTTCCTTTTCGGCGTTTTATAGCCATCTGAAGTTTTTCCGGTCTGCTCCGCAGTCGAATAAGCTGCTCCAATCACAAAGCGCGCCCTGAGCAAATGCGGCGCGAATTCTGTCGATTTCATTTCGACATTTTATCAATCTCATTACTTATCGCTTTTATTTTCTTGTGTCACTTTTTTTGCATTGTTCTTTCTATTCTTCTATTTGTTTTGTTTCAGGCATCGACTTTCGGCTCTGCACATTTCTACTGAGCACGCACCGAGCGTATTGGATGCTCACGAAAGCTTATTGAAGGATTTTGAGAATCCTGGATCGAGCACTACTATGGGGTGAGTTATTTATTTGGTTCTCTCTGTTCTTATGCTCTGTTGCCTCTGTTATTCTCATGCTCTTGTGCCCTCTATCCATCTGTCGTGCTTTAACGCGGGAAAAGAAACTGTATCATAGAACTCAACAAGTCATAGACTTGGTACGCTAGACAGAACAAGGCGTAGAGGGAATGCGTAGCTGTAATCAAAATCCGCATTCTTCGGAAGGTTTTCTTCGGAATTTTTGCTGAACCTGCAGTTTTGAAAGTGCTTTTTGTTTGGTTTGCGAATAATCATAGCGAAAAAGAACAGCGAAATCATATGAGTACCGATTTTAGCCATGATTGGTTCATTATAAGTGCCGAACTGCAACCTGGACTTTTTTTTGTTTCAATTTTAACATATGTAAGTGCGGATCACTTTCTTTCATGCTTGTCGAGAGACGAACTCAGTAGGATATTTTTAGCGAAGTTTGTGCAGTCACAGCAGATATGCCATCCCTCTACGCCCTGTTTTGTCTAGCGTACCAAGTGGATGACCTTTTGGGTTCTATAATACAGTTGTTTTTAGGCGTCTTTCCCGCGCTGCTTAACTGGGATTTCCCTAGATTTTTTTATTTACATTACTGCATCGTTGTAGAGTTCATTTACTCCATTCTGCCAGGGGTTTCGCCGATATTGAGGCGCTACCAAAAGTTCAAAAATGAAGTGTCAGTTCATAGTGCAGTTGCGTAATTAGGTCGCACTTTGTGAAGAGTCACTTGCAACCTAGTATCATTCTGTGAATTATCGGCACATGTTCAAATCATCCTTGCGCTGGTCTTTTGCTATTTAAAGTCCCGTATTTCCGAACCAGATACATTTTGTTTAATGCTTGTTACTTGCGGCTTGTCCGATCTCCTTGCTTTTCCTTAGTGAACACAAAACTTTTTATCTTGGACTCTACATTTCAGTTGGCGTCTTGGAACATCAGCCTTGCGAATGTTCGCTTTCTTATGAGTCTGTCTTTTATGTGCTTCGGTTGTTTCCCATCTGTTGGCTTGTTGTGAATCTCATATGCGCGATCGTTGATGCATCCTCTGGGGAAATGTGCGCTCTCTTTTGTCAGGAGTTAGCAAATCAGCTATTTTCGAAAACCTTTACGGATTGTTATGGTGGCGCCTTCCTTCGTTTCTCTTTGTGAAAACCATTGAGTATGTAAAAAACGGCATGTTGTACTGGGATTCGCCCTTGAGCTCATCTTTGCTGCCCTGACGATTACTTCATTTTACCTTTGATTACTTAATGTATGCTTTTTCTCACTTAAAATGCTTGATATAAGGAGGAGCAATGGCGTTGATGCCTCTGAGTTGCAGCTAATAGAGTTTCCGCATATATATATGGTGCCAAGCTCGGCACCACAAGCGCACTGTATACTGTCAGGTTCACTAACCTAAAGTACTGCTGCAGTTTCACTTTACGCACTGACAGAAATGAAAAGAAAATGATATGCATGACGTGTACGTTTTCTGGAGTTTGGCGGCCATAATACATCATCACAACAAAGTCGCCGACATAGCACTCAGCAACATGCAGACGTATGTCTGTAGCAGGGCTCGGCACAGCTGGCACCGGGTCAAGCTGGATATCGTTTTTGGAGCGAAAAGCAAAGGGGATATCGTTTTTCCGGGGTCCAGTGCGGAGCCCCGCAAAAAATTTCGCGTACTCTCCTTCATGAGATCACAAAGATTGCAAAAATATGCAACACAAACGAAATCTTCCAACATAGATATACATAAGTTTTCGGCCGAAATGCAGACGCCATGCTAAGTCTAAATTTGGCCGTCAGCATGCCACTGACATGCCACAGGCGACATGCCGGCAGCATGAGCGCGGGAATTCAAATTGTGCCAGAAATAAACAAAAGCCTTATTTAGAAGTAAAACGCAATCATATGACACCAAATTTGGTGAGTGCATGCGCGTTGGGGGACGTAAACTATAGCCCAAAAATTTATGAAAACTTATGTGAATTGAAGCCGTGCCCAACTTTTTTCTGAATTAGCTGGCACCGTGCCAGCTGGGTGCCAGCTGAGCTGGCACCGACCCTTTGCACACATAAGTTTTCATACTTTTTTACATCAATTGTATCTACACCCTAAAAGTTTACATACAGAGGAAAAACGATTTCATAATGTTTCCTTTTCGGCGTTTTATAGCCATCTGAAGTTTTTCCGGTCTGCTCCGCAGTCGAATAAGCTGCTCCAATCACAAAGCGCGCCCTGAGCAAATGCGGCGCGAATTCTGTCGATTTCATTTCGACATTTTATCAATCTCATTACTTATCGCTTTTATTTTCTTGTGTCACTTTTTTTGCATTGTTCTTTCTATTCTTCTATTTGTTTTGTTTCAGGCATCGACTTTCGGCTCTGCACATTTCTACTGAGCACGCACCGAGCGTATTGGATGCTCACGAAAGCTTATTGAAGGATTTTGAGAATCCTGGATCGAGCACTACTATGGGGTGAGTTATTTATTTGGTTCTCTCTGTTCTTATGCTCTGTTGCCTCTGTTATTCTCATGCTCTTGTGCCCTCTATCCATCTGTCGTGCTTTAACGCGGGAAAAGAAACTGTATCATAGAACTCAACAAGTCATAGACTTGGTACGCTAGACAGAACAAGGCGTAGAGGGAATGCGTAGCTGTAATCAAAATCCGCATTCTTCGGAAGGTTTTCTTCGGAATTTTTGCTGAACCTGCAGTTTTGAAAGTGCTTTTTGTTTGGTTTGCGAATAATCATAGCGAAAAAGAACAGCGAAATCATATGAGTACCGATTTTAGCCATGATTGGTTCATTATAAGTGCCGAACTGCAACCTGGACTTTTTTTTGTTTCAATTTTAACATATGTAAGTGCGGATCACTTTCTTTCATGCTTGTCGAGAGACGAACTCAGTAGGATATTTTTAGCGAAGTTTGTGCAGTCACAGCAGATATGCCATCCCTCTACGCCCTGTTTTGTCTAGCGTACCAAGTGGATGACCTTTTGGGTTCTATAATACAGTTGTTTTTAGGCGTCTTTCCCGCGCTGCTTAACTGGGATTTCCCTAGATTTTTTTATTTACATTACTGCATCGTTGTAGAGTTCATTTACTCCATTCTGCCAGGGGTTTCGCCGATATTGAGGCGCTACCAAAAGTTCAAAAATGAAGTGTCAGTTCATAGTGCAGTTGCGTAATTAGGTCGCACTTTGTGAAGAGTCACTTGCAACCTAGTATCATTCTGTGAATTATCGGCACATGTTCAAATCATCCTTGCGCTGGTCTTTTGCTATTTAAAGTCCCGTATTTCCGAACCAGATACATTTTGTTTAATGCTTGTTACTTGCGGCTTGTCCGATCTCCTTGCTTTTCCTTAGTGAACACAAAACTTTTTATCTTGGACTCTACATTTCAGTTGGCGTCTTGGAACATCAGCCTTGCGAATGTTCGCTTTCTTATGAGTCTGTCTTTTATGTGCTTCGGTTGTTTCCCATCTGTTGGCTTGTTGTGAATCTCATATGCGCGATCGTTGATGCATCCTCTGGGGAAATGTGCGCTCTCTTTTGTCAGGAGTTAGCAAATCAGCTATTTTCGAAAACCTTTACGGATTGTTATGGTGGCGCCTTCCTTCGTTTCTCTTTGTGAAAACCATTGAGTATGTAAAAAACGGCATGTTGTACTGGGATTCGCCCTTGAGCTCATCTTTGCTGCCCTGACGATTACTTCATTTTACCTTTGATTACTTAATGTATGCTTTTTCTCACTTAAAATGCTTGATATAAGGAGGAGCAATGGCGTTGATGCCTCTGAGTTGCAGCTAATAGAGTTTCCGCATATATATATGGTGCCAAGCTCGGCACCACAAGCGCACTGTATACTGTCAGGTTCACTAACCTAAAGTACTGCTGCAGTTTCACTTTACGCACTGACAGAAATGAAAAGAAAATGATATGCATGACGTGTACGTTTTCTGGAGTTTGGCGGCCATAATACATCATCACAACAAAGTCGCCGACATAGCACTCAGCAACATGCAGACGTATGTCTGTAGCAGGGCTCGGCACAGCTGGCACCGGGTCAAGCTGGATATCGTTTTTGGAGCGAAAAGCAAAGGGGATATCGTTTTTCCGGGGTCCAGTGCGGAGCCCCGCAAAAAATTTCGCGTACTCTCCTTCATGAGATCACAAAGATTGCAAAAATATGCAACACAAACGAAATCTTCCAACATAGATATACATAAGTTTTCGGCCGAAATGCAGACGCCATGCTAAGTCTAAATTTGGCCGTCAGCATGCCACTGACATGCCACAGGCGACATGCCGGCAGCATGAGCGCGGGAATTCAAATTGTGCCAGAAATAAACAAAAGCCTTATTTAGAAGTAAAACGCAATCATATGACACCAAATTTGGTGAGTGCATGCGCGTTGGGGGACGTAAACTATAGCCCAAAAATTTATGAAAACTTATGTGAATTGAAGCCGTGCCCAACTTTTTTCTGAATTAGCTGGCACCGTGCCAGCTGGGTGCCAGCTGAGCTGGCACCGACCCTTTGCACACATAAGTTTTCATACTTTTTTACATCAATTGTATCTACACCCTAAAAGTTTACATACAGAGGAAAAACGATTTCATAATGTTTCCTTTTCGGCGTTTTATAGCCATCTGAAGTTTTTCCGGTCTGCTCCGCAGTCGAATAAGCTGCTCCAATCACAAAGCGCGCCCTGAGCAAATGCGGCGCGAATTCTGTCGATTTCATTTCGACATTTTATCAATCTCATTACTTATCGCTTTTATTTTCTTGTGTCACTTTTTTTGCATTGTTCTTTCTATTCTTCTATTTGTTTTGTTTCAGGCATCGACTTTCGGCTCTGCACATTTCTACTGAGCACGCACCGAGCGTATTGGATGCTCACGAAAGCTTATTGAAGGATTTTGAGAATCCTGGATCGAGCACTACTATGGGGTGAGTTATTTATTTGGTTCTCTCTGTTCTTATGCTCTGTTGCCTCTGTTATTCTCATGCTCTTGTGCCCTCTATCCATCTGTCGTGCTTTAACGCGGGAAAAGAAACTGTATCATAGAACTCAACAAGTCATAGACTTGGTACGCTAGACAGAACAAGGCGTAGAGGGAATGCGTAGCTGTAATCAAAATCCGCATTCTTCGGAAGGTTTTCTTCGGAATTTTTGCTGAACCTGCAGTTTTGAAAGTGCTTTTTGTTTGGTTTGCGAATAATCATAGCGAAAAAGAACAGCGAAATCATATGAGTACCGATTTTAGCCATGATTGGTTCATTATAAGTGCCGAACTGCAACCTGGACTTTTTTTTGTTTCAATTTTAATATATGTAAGTGCGGATCACTTTCTTTCATGCTTGTCGAGAGACGAACTCAGTAGGATATTTTTAGCGAAGTTTGTGCAGTCACAGCAGATATGCCATCCCTCTACGCCCTGTTTTGTCTAGCGTACCAAGTGGATGACCTTTTGGGTTCTATAATACAGTTGTTTTTAGGCGTCTTTCCCGCGCTGCTTAACTGGGATTTCCCTAGATTTTTTTATTTACATTACTGCATCGTTGTAGAGTTCATTTACTCCATTCTGCCAGGGGTTTCGCCGATATTGAGGCGCTACCAAAAGTTCAAAAATGAAGTGTCAGTTCATAGTGCAGTTGCGTAATTAGGTCGCACTTTGTGAAGAGTCACTTGCAACCTAGTATCATTCTGTGAATTATCGGCACATGTTCAAATCATCCTTGCGCTGGTCTTTTGCTATTTAAAGTCCCGTATTTCCGAACCAGATACATTTTGTTTAATGCTTGTTACTTGCGGCTTGTCCGATCTCCTTGCTTTTCCTTAGTGAACACAAAACTTTTTATCTTGGACTCTACATTTCAGTTGGCGTCTTGGAACATCAGCCTTGCGAATGTTCGCTTTCTTATGAGTCTGTCTTTTATGTGCTTCGGTTGTTTCCCATCTGTTGGCTTGTTGTGAATCTCATATGCGCGATCGTTGATGCATCCTCTGGGGAAATGTGCGCTCTCTTTTGTCAGGAGTTAGCAAATCAGCTATTTTCGAAAACCTTTACGGATTGTTATGGTGGCGCCTTCCTTCGTTTCTCTTTGTGAAAACCATTGAGTATGTAAAAAACGGCATGTTGTACTGGGATTCGCCCTTGAGCTCATCTTTGCTGCCCTGACGATTACTTCATTTTACCTTTGATTACTTAATGTATGCTTTTTCTCACTTAAAATGCTTGATATAAGGAGGAGCAATGGCGTTGATGCCTCTGAGTTGCAGCTAATAGAGTTTCCGCATATATATATGGTGCCAAGCTCGGCACCACAAGCGCACTGTATACTGTCAGGTTCACTAACCTAAAGTACTGCTGCAGTTTCACTTTACGCACTGACAGAAATGAAAAGAAAATGATATGCATGACGTGTACGTTTTCTGGAGTTTGGCGGCCATAATACATCATCACAACAAAGTCGCCGACATAGCACTCAGCAACATGCAGACGTATGTCTGTAGCAGGGCTCGGCACAGCTGGCACCGGGTCAAGCTGGATATCGTTTTTGGAGCGAAAAGCAAAGGGGATATCGTTTTTCCGGGGTCCAGTGCGGAGCCCCGCAAAAAATTTCGCGTACTCTCCTTCATGAGATCACAAAGATTGCAAAAATATGCAACACAAACGAAATCTTCCAACATAGATATACATAAGTTTTCGGCCGAAATGCAGACGCCATGCTAAGTCTAAATTTGGCCGTCAGCATGCCACTGACATGCCACAGGCGACATGCCGGCAGCATGAGCGCGGGAATTCAAATTGTGCCAGAAATAAACAAAAGCCTTATTTAGAAGTAAAACGCAATCATATGACACCAAATTTGGTGAGTGCATGCGCGTTGGGGGACGTAAACTATGGCCCAAAAATTTATGAAAACTTATGTGAATTGAAGCCGTGCCCAACTTTTTTCTGAATTAGCTGGCACCGTGCCAGCTGGGTGCCAGCTGAGCTGGCACCGACCCTTTGCACACATAAGTTTTCATACTTTTTTACATCAATTGTATCTACACCCTAAAAGTTTACATACAGAGGAAAAACGATTTCATAATGTTTCCTTTTCGGCGTTTTATAGCCATCTGAAGTTTTTCCGGTCTGCTCCGCAGTCGAATAAGCTGCTCCAATCACAAAGCGCGCCCTGAGCAAATGCGGCGCGAATTCTGTCGATTTCATTTCGACATTTTATCAATCTCATTACTTATCGCTTTTATTTTCTTGTGTCACTTTTTTTTGCATTGTTCTTTCTATTCTTCTATTTGTTTTGTTTCAGGCATCGACTTTCGGCTCTGCACATTTCTACTGAGCACGCACCGAGCGTATTGGATGCTCACGAAAGCTTATTGAAGGATTTTGAGAATCCTGGATCGAGCACTACTATGGGGTGAGTTATTTATTTGGTTCTCTCTGTTCTTATGCTCTGTTGCCTCTGTTATTCTCATGCTCTTGTGCCCTCTATCCATCTGTCGTGCTTTAACGCGGGAAAAGAAACTGTATCATAGAACTCAACAAGTCATAGACTTGGTACGCTAGACAGAACAAGGCGTAGAGGGAATGCGTAGCTGTAATCAAAATCCGCATTCTTCGGAAGGTTTTCTTCGGAATTTTTGCTGAACCTGCAGTTTTGAAAGTGCTTTTTGTTTGGTTTGCGAATAATCATAGCGAAAAAGAACAGCGAAATCATATGAGTACCGATTTTAGCCATGATTGGTTCATTATAAGCGCCGAACTGCAACCTGGACTTTTTTTTGTTTCAATTTTAACATATGTAAGTGCGGATCACTTTCTTTCATGCTTGTCGAGAGACGAACTCAGTAGGATATTTTTAGCGAAGTTTGTGCAGTCACAGCAGATATGCCATCCCTCTACGCCCTGTTTTGTCTAGCGTACCAAGTGGATGACCTTTTGGGTTCTATAATACAGTTGTTTTTAGGCGTCTTTCCCGCGCTGCTTAACTGGGATTTCCCTAGATTTTTTTATTTACATTACTGCATCGTTGTAGAGTTCATTTACTCCATTCTGCCAGGGGTTTCGCCGATATTGAGGCGCTACCAAAAGTTCAAAAATGAAGTGTCAGTTCATAGTGCAGTTGCGTAATTAGGTCGCACTTTGTGAAGAGTCACTTGCAACCTAGTATCATTCTGTGAATTATCGGCACATGTTCAAATCATCCTTGCGCTGGTCTTTTGCTATTTAAAGTCCCGTATTTCCGAACCAGATACATTTTGTTTAATGCTTGTTACTTGCGGCTTGTCCGATCTCCTTGCTTTTCCTTAGTGAACACAAAACTTTTTATCTTGGACTCTACATTTCAGTTGGCGTCTTGGAACATCAGCCTTGCGAATGTTCGCTTTCTTATGAGTCTGTCTTTTATGTGCTTCGGTTGTTTCCCATCTGTTGGCTTGTTGTGAATCTCATATGCGCGATCGTTGATGCATCCTCTGGGGAAATGTGCGCTCTCTTTTGTCAGGAGTTAGCAAATCAGCTATTTTCGAAAACCTTTACGGATTGTTATGGTGGCGCCTTCCTTCGTTTCTCTTTGTGAAAACCATTGAGTATGTAAAAAACGGCATGTTGTACTGGGATTCGCCCTTGAGCTCATCTTTGCTGCCCTGACGATTACTTCATTTTACCTTTGATTACTTAATGTATGCTTTTTCTCACTTAAAATGCTTGATATAAGGAGGAGCAATGGCGTTGATGCCTCTGAGTTGCAGCTAATAGAGTTTCCGCATATATATATGGTGCCAAGCTCGGCACCACAAGCGCACTGTATACTGTCAGGTTCACTAACCTAAAGTACTGCTGCAGTTTCACTTTACGCACTGACAGAAATGAAAAGAAAATGATATGCATGACGTGTACGTTTTCTGGAGTTTGGCGGCCATAATACATCATCACAACAAAGTCGCCGACATAGCACTCAGCAACATGCAGACGTATGTCTGTAGGTACACGAAAAATGTTGCGCGAATATGATCGACATCATGTTATTAGATTTCCAAAGCTCACCGCAAAGCCTTTAGATCGAGCATAAAATCAACTAGTTTGCTTTGCTTGACCAAGCTGCTGCAACACTGGCAATTCGTTTCTCTAATAGGCTGTACGCGCAGTCATTTCCGTTTTGGTTCATGCCTTCACTTAGTCACTTCTTTGGAGCACAGAGCTTTGGAAATCTAACAACATGGTGTCGATCATATTCGCGCAACATTTTACGTGTACCTACAGACATACTTCTGCATGTTGCTGAGTGCTATGTCGGCGAGTTTAATGGATAGCAAAATTTGATGATGTATGATGGCCGCCAACTCCAGAAAACGTGCACAATCATGCACATCATTTCGTTTTTCAATTCTGTCAGTGCGTAAAGTTGCAGCAGTATTTTAGGTTAGTGAACCTAACAGTATACAGTGCGCTTGTGGTGCCGAGACTGGGCGACAAAATTTGCGCGTGAACAGTTTCCTGCGCCTGTATTGCCGGTCAAGATGTCGGCATTTCAGGAATGGCTATTTGTTCATCGCAAATTTTGTTGCCTAGTCTCGGCAGCACTGGAACACTATGTCGAGCGGGAAATCTGCTAGACATGTATTCAGCCACTCCACTTACCCATACAAGAGTCACCTTGAGATCTAAACAAAGGTTAAAACAAATTCGATGATATAGCGAGGAGATTCAGAGATTGCTCCATAGTTCTCACCGAATTCTCAGAATATTATTCCAGTGTTTCAAGCTGTATCGAATCAAACGAAACAAGAGGAAGCAGTGAAACAAAAGTTGAATTTACTGAGGTTCGTCTGTCTAACATCTTGCAAGCAACAATTTTAATTATGAAGTCTTTTTGAAGCGTTCAGAAACTTTCTTGGTGTGGTGAAGACTGTTTCTTTCTCGCCCTCCTCTCCTTCGTATTGTATAAGAAGATCATACATGTTTCAGTCGCACTTTGTCGAAATCATTTAAAAGCGCTTCGTATTGCTGCAGTCATGGATCCGGAGTGGTCGATTTTCCACAACCTATTGAACGGGAAGGAAGAAGTCAGCTATTCATGAATAGCCGAACACTGATTTTTGTGAATAAATCACTTAAAAGCTCAAAAAATCAGTGAAAAGTTGTTAAATGAAATCAGCATGCGTGAAAACTCTATTACATACTCATACAAAATCTAAAAATAATGACGGGTCTTCAAAACAGGTCAAAGGGGACTTCGTACGAAATTTTCAAGGTCAAAGGGGACTTCGTTCTGAAATTTCCTTGGTGCCAGCTCATGCCGAGCCCTGGTCGAAAATCTCCTAGGCCGACCAAATCTATAGCCTCAACAATCCTGCGATGCAATTTTCGCCACATATTTCAAAGGACACCGCAAGTGATTGGAGCGCGATATCTATCAAGGTGTAGAATTATACTAGTTTTGACTCAAAAAAGGGGAGAGGCAACGGTTTGATCCGCTCTCTTCACTATATGAAAGATTTTTGACCGTTCTAATCGTCCAAATCAAAAAGGTCCAAAACTTATGTGAACTCTCCGATATTTATGCTCCGAACCAACCTAGTTGGTTTGGTAGTTGGTCTAGAAACCAACAAATTCGAGAACGGATATTAGGACACATAAGTTTCGGGAACTTTTTACATAACATAGTTTGGAGTAATATTGTATACATATAGCCCAATTCCGGAGCCATATGATTGTTTGTGCGCTGTAAACAAGCCATTTGTTTGTTGTTTGTTTTTTGTTAGTCTTGCGTTTGAAATTCGCGCGCTTGCGAAAGAACACGTTCAACTTGTGAAACCTGACATGTTCGTCGTGTTTTTTTTTGGCGCTTCCTCTAGGACCTCATAAAAACGATGTCCCCGTTGCTTCTAACTCCAAAAACGAAGTCTAGTTTGACCCCAAACCATCGGTGCCGGGCCCTGAGCACACCCCATCCATAATAAGCGTGCTCTTCTGCGGGAGACGGTCAAGAGGCGCGATTTCTCTGGCTGTCACCAACTTAAAACTCCAGTCTAGTGCTATGCGAGTCTTTAAAAATTACCGGATAAAGTGCATTAGCTTACTCTCCGTCTAAGGTCACCACTTGCTGATTTTCATGGTTTTTGCTATAAATCGGACTGAAATACTTACGAATTTGTTCTGAAATGCATTTTCATGAGTTTTTGACCTTCAAAATGGCTGTTTTGAATTTTTTCTAGAGTATCAAGATTGAACAACTCATGCAACTACCTAATATATCTTTTTCTAGATTTCATATACTTTTAGAAAGTTGCAGAACACTTATTATGTGCTATTTGGTGTCCAGCTGGCAATAAAAATCGCGCCTCTTGACATACACCCCTCTTCTGCTCACTGGTCATAGAAACGCATTTCTTCTGGATAGATGTTTTTAGAGCCCTTATTGGTACTTTTCTAGGCATCGAGAGAAAGAAGATTTCATATTTTGAGTAAGCAAAGTCCAGGATTTTGCGCGGAATATGGACATTGTGTGCATTTGCACATAATGCTTTATGGAATAGATAGTTCGACTGTCACGTAATCTCCAGTACTTCGTCATCGATCACTGCGATGGCTCTAGTTCTTTGATGGCGATCAGTCTTTTGAACAGAAACCTACGAACCTCCACTGCTTTTCACCTCAACCAGCGCCAGTTCTTCTCCATGTGAACTCCGTAGACGACTTCGCACAAGTTCACAAATCTCCACGGCTGTCTTGTCCATACGAATTGGTAGCGCAAATGATGTCGTGTCCGAGAGGTGAATGATTTGATTACCTAAAAGAACAAGACAGCATTTGAGCAAAAAGTTATAGTACGAATCAAGACGAAGGCGGGTACGCATAAGCGAAGCGCATGCGCCGCGGCGAGCGGGACAACCATGAAACCTCCACCTTCGTCCGGGACTAGATCTTAGTTAGTGTATAAAAGTGTGCACTTACAGATATCACTCGGAAGGACAGGATTCGGCGACGGAGCCATGGTAGAAAGTACTCCACATTCAAGGACTACTGCTGGATGTCGAGCCAGAGTTCTTTGGGCGTCTTCCCTGAGATCACGAAGCGCAGAGATTCGAGCAAGAATGGGGCCCATTCCCGGTATTGTTCGATTATCTTCCAGAACATGACAGTAAAGTTCCTAAAAACGGTCTGCAGATGAAAATCTTACGGATAGCTGGTAAGAAGGTTCCTACCTCCACAAAAGCATTTGCTGCTGGGTCCAGAAAATAATGGATACCTAGAGCATTTACCCATAACCATAGAAATGTTACTACACGTCTTCGCGCTGATAGACGATGTTCAAGATCATCAAGGGCTACTAGCGGATCCGAGTGAGGCTGAAAGGCAACATAATATCCAACAATCCAAAAAAACACCAAAGCTACGTCCGGAGTTCCGCGTGCCAGCTGGGCCAACGCCGTGCCAAGAAATATGAGCACGCATCCGGTACTGACCGACCGACAATTCAAACGGCCATGGAAGTGCGTTGGCGCTGCGCTGGCACAGCATTGGAACAGCGTTGGCACGGCGTTGGAACGGCGCTGGAACGTCGCTGGCACGAACAACTCTAAACGCAGCTTAACCAGCGCCCCTACCTCGGCAGAACGTGAATAATAGTGTTTGAGGTAGTTACATAGTGTATTGGTAGGTAGGTAGATGATATGGGTTAACACGAGATCTTCTAAGAACACATCCAACTCAGCACCATCCTCTTGTGCGTCGACCCGTGTTTCGAGCACATACTCGAGCATCTTCTCGGCTAAGCCGGCCATGACGGAGTAGCTGGAAAATTGCCAAAAATTAGTCAGAAATAAACAAAAGATAAAATGGATGATACAGAAAAACAGATGCGCAGCGTGGGATGAAATAGAGAAAGAAGCTTGCATATTCTGATATAAAAGTGAAGTTTGAAGGGCTGTCCTTGCCCTGGGTGACTGGTTTCTTGTGTCAGAAAAACATGAAATTTCAATTAAGCTACTTTTAATCAAAATTCTCCCACGATTCGATTCATCAGTAGCCGAAAAATTCAAATGAAACACTCGCCCACACCGTACTCTTTCGGACCAATCATTGTCCATGAGCGGTGTGGGCAAACGTCCAGAGGTTGATTTTTCAGCCGAGAATAAATCTCATGAGTTAACATTTCGAAGGTTTTTAATCAAAGATGATGCGCTACAAACATAAATTTCGTACAATTGCTACTTTCAATCATTCATTTGCATACTATTATATGTGTTTTTTTGTAAGTATTTTCTACTAAGAAAGTTTGCTACAAGTTTTCAAAAGATTTTTTGGAAAAGTTTCTGTGATTTGTAACAGTTTGAAATTTGCTGACAATATTCTCAATAATTACATAAGGAGTATACTTAGGACTTGTAGCAAAGGGATGGCTAGTGGTGAGGCTGCTTTAGTGTTGCCACGCGGGTCTGTATGGTACCTCAGACTTGAGTGATGAAGCTTTATTGAGATACAAACAAACAATAAATATGTAGATGTGTGAAGTGTCTCCAGAGATGTGTCAATCTTCGGACTGCTTCCCACGATACTTGTGATCCTTCAGAGACGTCTTGGTGCACAGGAGACTTGATGCTTCTGGTCCAGAGTACTTGTTGGATCTAATGTTACCCGGAGAAGACTTGTGCAGGAAGATTGCCTATCGGAGACTTGTCGTCCTCACAGCGAACTACTTGTAGAGAGAATCCTCTTGGTGAGCCGGAGACTTGTCGTCCTCCCAGCAGGCACTTGTGGAGAGAATAACCTCGACCTCACTCATCCATCGGTATTTATACCTTCGGACTTGTTTACTTGCGAAGTCATTGTTGACTGAAGAGAGCACTGATAAGGTGATGGAAGTGAGGTTGCAATGACTTGTCCGGCTGATCCTCGTGAGACTCTTCTAACTACTACGATATAAGGCAAAATGAACACAAATGAACAATAATATATACATTATGTACAATCTACAGCATCGTTGGCGACACCGCTAAAACTTCTTATAGTCGCCTTTGGCGACACTCCCGCCACGCCAGACATTCTCCTCCTAATTGCTTCCTTTGCTGTACTCAATTGTTTTTCGTGATCTCATATTGTATCGCTTGCACGGTTCATCCGAGGAGTCGTTTTCACTTGTTCTTTTCACAGTTCTGTCTTCTAGCTCTAGAGGCACCAAAAGGTTTACTGGTCTGCGTACTTGTTTCCTGGACGGCAGAATCACAACAGCCTCTCTTATTTCACCATCTTCGCTTTTTACAAGCTTTGTTATACGGCCCATTCTCCAAGAATGTCTGGGTTGCACGGCGTCCATAATGAGAACACAGTCGTCAACGCGAGGGAGCGCCTTGGATTTGTTGTGTCCCACTTCCAACTTGTGTTTCTCTCGCAGAGCTGTGAGGTATTGTGTCTTCCAAACTTTCCAGAACTTGTCGGTAGATTTGCAGGAGCTTTCCAGGGCTTGAATAGTTTGCAATTTCGTGCTGAGTACCATTTGTTCTTCGGACGGCAGATATGGCGGGTCTTCCGCATTTGATATAGATGTTTCGATTGGATAATTGAGAATGATCTCATTCTGCACGAAATCAATGGGTCTGATGATGGTTTCGTTGCACGAATCTGAGCTCATGTAGACTAGAGGCCTTGTGTTGAGTAGAGCTTCTATATCAACAAGTGTAGTTGACATTTCTTCGAACGTGTATGTTGATCCTTTCAAAGTCTTGTACAGTGCTTGTTTTACTGATCTTATCAGCCTCTCATAGAATCCTCCCTGCCATGGTGCAAATGGTGTTATGTGCTTCCATACAATTTCACGATCGCTTATATCCCTGGTAGCTGCTACCTCGTGCTCCAGATTCTTGATGCCACTATCTGCTAAGATTTCTTCCCCCAGGAGAAATGTAGGAGCATTGTCACTTGTGATAGATTTTGGAACTCGTCTTCTTCCGAAAAACCTTCGAAGCATGTTGAGGAATGCTATGGTGGAAAGGTCTGTTACTACGTCTAGGTAGATAAGCCTAGTCACCATGCAAGTGATAATCGCTCCGTAACATTTACTTGTGCCGCTTTCGCTGGTTTTTATTGTCAGTGGGCCGAAGTAGTCCAATCCGACGTGTTGAAAGGGACATGTCTGCTGTACCCTTACTTGTGGCAAGTCACTCTGATTGGGGTACTTGTACGGTCGATTGTTGAAGCGCTGGCATTCTACACATCTTCGGATGATACGAGTAACTTGTGCGCGTAATTTTGGTATCCAGAATTTCTGGCGAACAAGTGCGATTGTATGGCCTATGCCAGGGTGTCCTCTACAGTGATATTCCCGAATTATCGCTTCCGATAGCCAAGAATTTTGGAGAACGATGTAAGGAAATTTTGCTGTATCATGCAAGCAGCTTTTTCCCATGCGACCGTGGCATCTCATGAGACCTTCCTTGTCCGGTTTTATATTGAGTTGCGTTAACGATTTCAATACTGCTGCTGTACAAAATGTTCTTTGATGGACTTGTATAACAATCTTTCCCGCTATTGCAATTTCTTCTCCATCAAGGTACACATTGTAGCGTCCATTGTGCTTTCCAAGCAATGGAGGAAGACGGATGTTGCTCTGTGGTCGTTGATTGACTCTTTTGACTACAATCTTTATGAAGCGTAACATTCTTGCTGTGATCCTTTTGATCGTAGAGAATGGGTGGCCTCTTAAGTCTTCAAAGATGTCAGAGTGTTGCGGATCGACTGTCACTGACACGGCTTGGTTGACGAGTGCCAATTCAGCTGGCAAACTTATGTCGCCGGTCTCCTCAGTCATTTGAAATAACTTGTAATTTGCTAGCCAGGCTTCCGGTGAATCTCTCAAGAAGGGTGGTCCTGTCCACCAGAAGTGGTCCTTGAGTTGTCCTTTACTCAATCCTCTTGTTCCGCAATCTGCTGGGTTCTGTTCAGTAGGAACATAGCCGTAGTAGATCCTAAGACCTTTACTTGTTAGATGATCGTCTATCTCTGTAATCTCTTTCAGTCTATTAAGAATCATCACTCCTGCATCCTTGAGTGGTTTTTTCTTTATCCAGTTGTAAACGATTTCGGAGTCGGAAAAGAGATATACCTTCTCGATTGCGGTAATAACTTGAAGTTGAGTCACAACCGAATTTATCACTCTCATGGCTAAGGTGACGGCATTTAGCTCCTTTTTTGGTACTGTAGCCTCGTATTTAATCGATGGTAGTTTTCCTTTCGCCAACAAGAGACTGGTTGCAGTTTCTGACTTTAGATAGACGCACATGGCTATAGCTTCAGCACTGGCATCAGCAAATGCAGCTAGTTCTACTTTTGCATGCTTCCTGGTCAAAAATCTTGGTATTTCCTTGCTGAATCCTCGCATACTGTCGCATATTTGTTGCCATTTATGTGCACGGTCTCTATCTAACTTGGTATCCCAGTCAATCTTGTCTTTCCAAAGTGACTGAAGAAAGACTTTTGACTTGTGGATCAATGGGAGCATCCAACCCATAGGGTCATAAATAGACGCTATTGCGCTAGTGACTGTCCGTTTGGTAAGCACTTTTGGTGCGATCATGTTGCATGAGACTTCAAGTCGGTCCGTCAAGGAGTTCCAGCGTATTCCCAAAACCTTTGGCGATAGTTCCGACGATCTATCTCTACTTGCAATTCTATTCATCACTTGTTCTTCATTGCTTACAAATTCGCGTAGATTCATGCTGAGTTCTTCGAACATCTGCTTCATTTTCCGGTAACAAGTTGAGGCTTCTTCAACTGTATCTAATGTCACTACCAGGTTATCTACATAAAGATTGTCTTTGATTTCGTCTATCATCTTGTAGCTATCTTTGTATTGATCCAGGTGGTAGTGTGTGGTTGCCGCCAGAAGAAAGGGAGAAGCGTTTAGTCCAAATGGAACTCTTGTAAATCTCAGCATGATGATGTTGCCTTGTGCGGGAGGTGCTGTATAATCTCGGAGCCACAGGCATCTAGTGGCATCGCGATCTTCCTCATGCAATCTTACTTGAAGAAACGCCTTCTCGACATCGGATATCATGGCAATACGTCCGATTCGAAAACGTAACAGTATTCCAAACAATTGCGGCAAGATGACTGGGCCTCTATGTAAGGCATCGTTGAGTGAAAGACTGTTTCTGTAGTGTGCAGAAGCATCGTAAACGACTCTTAATTTTGTGGTCGTCTTCTGTGGAGTAATAACAGCTTGATGAGGCAAAAAGTGTACGTGTTTGCGGTTTTCCTTGTCCTGAGGAACGTATTCAAGGATGTTGCGATTCAGCTGCTCTTGAAACACCTCATTATACCGATCTAGGAGATTTGGGTCTTTCTGAAGACTGTTCCACAAGCTAATAAGTCTTCGTTGAGCTATAGCTTTGTTATCAGGTAGCTCCATGGCGTTCTCTTTCCAAGGTAGACGGACATAGTATCCATCTTCGCGCTTTTCTATCGTCTCTCTGAAATGTTGCAGGACAGCTTTATCTGCTCGAGTTCGCTCGATGTCCTCTGAATGGCAGAATCTTTCTGTACCGGCCGCCTCTAAAGACCAGAACTTCTCCCATTTTTCTTGTTCATGGTCATCATCATTAATGTTTGAAATGGTGTTTACTTGTGTCTCTAAGGTCCAGTAACCGTCCCACTTGTCTGACTCCTCTGTGCCTGAAATTTTCGATGTTTTGACTTGTCCTGATATCAGATATCCCAGTCGTGACTCGATTAAGTGAAGACCGGAGGGTAGGTTGATATGGGGTTTATCTTCTTTGATGAAAGACCATAACTTGTCACACCCCAACAGGATTTGTGGCTTCATATACTTCTTGCTTTCGAGCATTTCAAGTGGGATATGCTTCTCGCGCAAGTGGGCGATATCTTCGTCGATTAGCGAAGGACTTTCGAAGGATTTGGATATCACATCGTACGTGAAGAGCTCCAATGTGATTTGCTCTCCGTCTAGGTCCCAGGCTTCAAGTTCTACTTTACGACACAGATTCTCTTTGACTTGTTCTGATCCGAACGTTCTCAGGCGTAGTCTGGTCGACCCCAGTGTTCGCAGATGCAATTCTTCAGCGAGTTTACTGTCAATGAAGGATAATTCTGCGCCTGTGTCTAACAAGACAGCGATTCTGCGTAAATTTTTCGTTTTTGGATCTACTACTTGGATTACACCTGTTGGTAAGTACGTGTCGTTCGCTCCGTCTGCTTCTTTTGTTGTTTGAAGTTCACAGATCGCCACATCATCCTCTTCCTCAACCTGCCTTATTACTTGATGTACGTTTGAGGACGCCAATGGAGTAGACTTGTGTTGGCGGCCCTGGAAGCCCTTCGTTTCTTTTTGTGTTACCTCCTTCTGTTGTCGGGTCGATACCGTTTGGTTTCTCCCCACTTGTGCGCCTTTAAAACAGCAGGATGTGTGATGAGCACCTTGGCAGTTGAAGCATAAACGTTTCTTGCATTCTGCTGTAGTATGACGCGGAGATGCACAGATGAAGCATAGTTTATGATCTCGGAGGTACTGCGATCGAGCTTGTGGTGTGGCGTACTTAGTGCACGTCATAGACTTATGTTCTTCTTTGCAGTACATGCAAATTCGTTTGAAAGCTTCCGTTTTCTTCTTTGAAGGCGAGGAATCGTATGTTACATTTGCTTCTTTTGTGAACGCTTGTACTTTTTCTTCTGTTGTGATGAACTCTTCAATCATCTTGAGTAGGGTCTCCATGTTAAAGGCGACTCCATTATGTGCGTACTTGTTTTCTAGCACTTTCCTTTGCAACTTGTTTGGGAACTTTGAAAGAACTTGTTTGATGACCCATTGGTTATCTACGTATTCTTCCTTATCCTTAAGTTGCGCAATTATGGCTTGGATATGTTCCAGTAAAGTACGCTGTTCTTTGACTGAAACTGCACTCAATTGAAGCTTCTGCAGTCTATCATAGAGGCGGTTGACTAACTCCTCCTTATCTTCATACTTGTTTTTCAAGAACTCTATAGCTCTGCTATAGTTGTCCGATGACACGCGAAATTTCTTGACTGCGTCGTGAGGTTCTCCCTTAAGTGAATTCAGCAGATAGTTGAACTTGTACAAATTTGGCATTGGTTGGGAATTCACGTTCGTATCGAACAACGTCCAGAAGTTGTCCCACTCCCAGATATCTCCATTGAATGTTGGTATTGGGAGAGTTGGTAACTCTACCCTTCTGGTTCCAATGGCGCTATCCACTGTTGCATTACTTGTGTCTCTCGTTGGATGCAAGGGAGTCTTATTGTAAGAAACGAAGGCGTTCAGTCGTGCTTCCAAAGGAACTGTGTAGTCCAGTGAGGAGCATAGCATCATTTCCGCTTTACTTATGTATTCGTCGAAATCTCCTCTTTCTTTTTCACTCAGCTGATCGCAGCTGTCTATCGTTGTTGCATAGTCTCGCATCAGTTGTTGTATTTTAGTGTTGCAGGCTTCGATAGCCCCTATCGCTTCTTCTAAGCGTCTTCGAGATTCTCTCAGAAGTATGGGTGATGACTCTTCTGCAGGAAGTTCCACTGTCTCGAGCTTTTCTTCTTTAAAATGTGCTATAACCGTCTCTAGCTTGTTGCAGTATCGCGATAAGAGGCGTTTGTACGTTGGTAATTGTGTCGACATCTTTCGCGATAGCTTGGCTACTTGTGCTCAAAGGTGAAGCAGGAACAACTTGTGCTAAACTTGGAGCTAAAGGAGTCGATCGAAGAATATGGTGAAATGCGTGCCAATATTCAAAATGCAGATCGACTTGATTTGGATGTTGTGAGGATTGAGGATTCCTAACTGTGATGCGCAACAAGCAGCTGGTAGCACTTGTAGAAGAAGCTAATTTGCAGGAACAGTGTAAAGACTTGTTGATTTGAAACTCGGTTTCGACTAGTATCAATTGTGGGCCTGCTACCGTTGAGCCGATGCACCATGTAGCAAAGGGATGGCTAGTGGTGAGGCTGCTTTAGTGTTGCCACGCGGGTCTGTATGGTACCTCAGACTTGAGTGATGAAGCTTTATTGAGATACAAACAAACAATAAATATGTAGATGTGTGAAGTGTCTCCAGAGATGTGTCAATCTTCGGACTGCTTCCCACGATACTTGTGATCCTTCAGAGACGTCTTGGTGCACAGGAGACTTGATGCTTCTGGTCCAGAGTACTTGTTGGATCTAATGTTACCCGGAGAAGACTTGTGCAGGAAGATTGCCTATCGGAGACTTGTCGTCCTCACAGCGAACTACTTGTAGAGAGAATCCTCTTGGTGAGCCGGAGACTTGTCGTCCTCCCAGCAGGCACTTGTGGAGAGAATAACCTCGACCTCACTCATCCATCGGTATTTATACCTTCGGACTTGTTTACTTGCGAAGTCATTGTTGACTGAAGAGAGCACTGATAAGGTGATGGAAGTGAGGTTGCAATGACTTGTCCGGCTGATCCTCGTGAGACTCTTCTAACTACTACGATATAAGGCAAAATGAACACAAATGAACAATAATATATACATTATGTACAATCTACAGCATCGTTGGCGACACCGCTAAAACTTCTTATAGTCGCCTTTGGCGACAGGACTTCTTTTAGGTACACAAGAAACTTCCAACGGACAATTCTGAATTTCCGACGGGATGTGAACGATTGCATGAATGATGAAGCACAAGCGAAGATGAACAATGTGCGACGATGAATCGACACACGATTAGTTAGCCTATTAAGGTCACACTTGTTCTGGTTTCAACACTAGAAACTTATAAATGGGAACTTACAGCAATGCTATTCGCACGCTACGATCTCATTGAGGCGGTCGGAAAAAGAAAAAACGTGGAAAAAGGATCTCACCAGCATTGTCCTTTGCCGTTACTTGCCAGCCCACCCTCAATGGCAGCGCCACGAGGCAGATTGATCTTCTCTAGAACTAGCACATCCTGTCCATGTTCTTTCAATCGCACTGTGTTCGCCTCGACATCTCGGAGGATCCTGTAACGAAGAAGCATAGTCATACGGTAGTTGGATCATGTATGAATAAAAAGAAGTTAGCCCAGATAGGCAGCAGCATATGTAAATCATTCGTCGCCGAGACAACTACAGCCCAGTACGGTACACGAAAGCATCGATTGAAAAGAGGTACGGTCTGGGCGAGAATTGAGCAAACTATATAAACCTGCACAATATATGAACCGTGTACGGTAGGCAGTGTTTGTCTCAAGGTTTCATTTTATCAAAGTTTCCTGAATAGAAAAAGACATCCTCATTTCCAGTGCAAATAATTTTTTCACAAGTTTTTGAGAGGGAATCTGCAAATCTGCCACCTGAACTTCAAATGTAGATATTATAAAGAAAGCCTTAACCAAGGTATTACCTAAGCGACCCCATATGACTGATGTAGCCGAGAATTGCAAAAACATCTCTTGCCCAGTACCGTACGCAAGACTTGGTCTGCTCGGTAAGTATACGGTCTGGGCGAGAATTCAGAATCGGTTTTTTCCGCTACGAATAAATCATATGAGCTGTTCATGAGCCGTGGTAACCAAATTATAGGCCACAGCTTAGCTTAAATCCTCCCAAACATTCACTTCAAAAACGCAAGCACGCAGATTTGACGGACACTGCCTTAAAGCATATCTCGCAAATAAACTTCGTGATGCGTCGGTTATTAGCCCAAAGCGTACTTTTTTCTATCATCATTCGAACATGAATGGTTTGTTCTAGCCATAGAAACAAACCGAAACAATCGTGATGCGATTAGGCAATAAGAACACGTATGAAGATGGTTTCACTGTTGTAGAAAAGGAACCATTTGCGCGACTGCAAATGCAGCTTTGATAATAACTTCAATGATGCGCAAAAGTATTAATTTCACAAGTGAGTTGTTTGAAAAGTTTATTGTATTTTGGAAAGAAGAAAAGAATCAGGCGAGCTAGCGGAGAAATCTATCAAACGCACAAAAAGCGTTAATCCAAGGCGTTAATGAAACTAAAAACCTTCAATCTTCATGGTTTGCAGTAAATCTTTTGAAAAAAATTTAAATTTTTCTAGCCAAAATGAGTTAGGAACCAGCCACAGTTAGGACCACATTGTGCACCGTAATCTTTACAAAAATACAGTTGTATGCAGTAATTGCAATATTATATACAACTGAGATGTGAGCTTTTCGCTATTGCACCACAAGATCACTAATACAGTTCATTTTTTATTGTTTAATTTATTTTTCCCCAAAAAACTCTAAGGCCCGTATGCACGTACATCTCCGCGGGGATGGGAGGGGATCTGAGAGGGGAAGCGCCATATTTCACTGCTCTAGATATCTTTCTTCTTTCTTCTCTATCGTGCTTATGAGGGTTCTCATACCCTTATACCTGCGCATAATAGATGCCAGTTTACTGCTATACAAGATTAAATATTCACTATTTCTTCCGATCCCCTGGGGATCCCCAGGGGATCATCTCACATCTTCAAAGTCGTTTATCTTCCTGAAAAATGAATGACCCGCAAAATTGTGCTGAAGATATACTACGATACTGCTGAGCATGTTTTCGACAGAAGAAATTGAATCTGAAGATTTTGATTTTTTCGATAATCCCTGGCTTGCGAGCAGCGATTCATCGAAGATTTTGATATCTTGAGGTTTCACTCATTTCTACCATAAACATGTTTAGCAGTCTTTAGTATATCCACAATACAATTTTAGAACATTTTCATCGAGTTTTCAGAAAGATAAATAACTTTGAAAATGTGAGGTGATCCCCTGAGGATCTCCAGGGCATCAGACAAAATAGTGAATATCTAATCTTGTATGGCAGTAACCTGGCATCCGTTATATGGAAGTATCAGTGTATGAGAACCTTCAAAACCAAGACAGAGAAAGAAGAAGAAAGATACATAGACTAGCGAGATATGATGCTTCCCCTCTCAGATCCCATCCCCTCCCCGCGGGGATGTACGTGCATACGGGCCTAAAACAAGTGATTCAGGTCCTTTCGTCTTTCGATCACAGTTCTGACTCAACTCTCATCTCGTAAACTACTCTTTCCGAGCCTAAGAATCAACACCCTCGAGTACGGTATTGGGCGACAGTCTGACCAGGATTTCTTGACCCAGTATTTTTGAAGCTGGCCCCTTGGCACAGACCCACGTAGGAATTTCACGTACCCTTTGAAGTGACAATGGGTGCAAAAGAATCAGCTTTCACTACTAAACAAGGATTTTGAGGAATCTAATAAGGGAGCGTAGGTCTTGCACCGAAAGCTCTAAAAAATCGAGATGCTCAGGCGGATATTCAGACCCGTGAAAAATTTTTTTGCTGTTTATTGCAATATACCTAGTGTCTCATCATGCATATTAGGAATTCTATGGAACAGAATCAAAATTCGAAAATTATTGAAAACTACCAACTTTTCGTTGAAAGATTAAAACGCAAATGAAAATGGAGGGTGTTAGATATTCCAGAATTTTTGACGAGCGGTAACAAAAGAAATATTTAAGATTTCATGTTTATCAGCATCAGCATTCATCGCCGATGCATAGTAAAAAAATTGTTGATAGAGCACTAACAAAAACCGCATGATTTTCTCTCTCTATCTTGTTTTCAATCGAACGAATTCATTGAACATGGAGGAAATTACGGGTTTTCCAAACATAAGCCTTGCTCCAAAAAAATTTGGAGCAAGGCTTATGTTCTATCCCAGTATGATGGAAAGTTGTCGATCGTTTTCAGTTCACTTTGTTTGCTGAAGGCCTGGTGGACACAAAAGCTGTCTACTAAGCTGCTCTAAAACAACTGTTGCAAAGTCATTAATAAATTCCCAGACTGCAGAATCAGTCTTGACTTCTTGATCAAAAGTAACATTGTAGTTGAAAAATGGTTTCAGGCCGTGGAAATCAACACAGTTCAAATTTAGCTCCATTTCCGTTCCATTTTAACTTGCAATTATAAATTGTCATCGAGTTGGGCAACATGTAAATATTGATTTTTGCATGAAAAATATAAATAAAGATTCAGGAAACTGGTGAGCTTGTTGAAGTTGCGCTCCAGAGTTGCCTGTGCTCGCGCCAAGCGTGCCAGCGTCATCGGTCGATGATTATGGGGCTAGTAAACCAGGGCGCTGGCACAGTGCTGGCACGGGGCCAATACAAGGCAATTCTGGCATGGCCTAAGAATTCTTCTACAGAATTTTCGCAGTTTTGCAAAGAGATTGCGAAGAAAATCAGTTGATTCAAGAATAAAAAAAATTCTTACCTATTGAAATCGTGCTTGTCGACGGTGAGAAATTGTGCATGATCTTCTCTAAGAGTGATCGTAGCCGCTCTCGGACTATCGTTCACCAGCGCCAATTTGCCGAAATCGTCGCCCTCTTGAAGCGTGCACACCACTCCCTGCAATTGAGACCAGACATTCAGCAGTTCCACTCTCAGACCCCCGGCACTATCAATCAGGCAAAGCCAGTGTGAGACTTCAAAGTGAACTTGATAGGCGACGTTGATGATCAAGGTTGCTTGAATCGTTGCATTTTGCGTCCAGAATATTATGGAATTTTGTTGATCGAAAACAAAAACATTTTTTGGGAAAAATAGAATTATTATAATCCCAGACTTCCTTCCTTAAATCGAGCGTTTAGGAATTCTTTGAGTCCTTTTTCAAAAACGTCCGTAAAAACTCAAGTCACGCAGACTCTTAGTTATATTTGCTTAGTGAATTTTTGATTTGGAGAAACTGATTGATCAAACATTATTATTGAAATTTTTGCTGTTATTTTCCCAAAGCAAATGGAAAAGATTCACCTTTATTGATTAAATAACCGAGATTTAGAAAAAATGTATGTTCGAAGGTTGATAGCGTAAGACTCAGTAAAAGATCTGAAATGTTAGGGAAAAACATTTTTGAGTGTTTATATAGAATCAAGTGAAAGAATTGGTAGTTGACTGAAAACCGAAGTTCTCAGAGTATCCATAAATAAGATAAAGAATTTTTCGAAAATGGCTAAGCAGATAATGAATAGAATGTGAGAAAAAATGTAAAAACACCAAATTTTACACCAAGTCGGGTTTTTAAGATTAGATAAAGTGAAATATCCACCTGAAAATGCAAAGTCCATGAATACTGCAAACTTATTTTCACTTTTATTTTGTCTTCGTGTAAATTTCACAAGAAAACTTGCGCTAGAAACCTCAGCACTTCTACGCCAAAAAGTTGTTGTGGTTTTCGAGATTTGGATTATTTTATTAGGTTGGCACGAAAGTTCTTGCGTAATTCAAACAAAATTCAATAACTTTTCAGAGACTAAACATAAATTCACAATCTTGTATGCTAAAAATATCAGAAGCCTTACGCTTAATGATGAATGTTTAAGCATGAGATTCCGTGAGCTGGACATCAAGAACGAAGCTCTCGAATATGGGGCTTCAAATTTTGCGATTTTGAGTTTGGTGCCAGAAAATCGCGCAGTGCCGCTAGCTAGCTGAAAAAAATCTGTAGAATCTACTTACACAACAAAAGTCCATATGTTACTTTGGAAGGCTTTGATCTTGCACGGTGAAGCAAAAACAAAAATTCGTGAAATATGTCATTTTGCGGAAAAAATCCCCTCATGTCTGCAGTTTTCCGTCGAAAACACTTTTTTACGATCGAGAAAACGTCGCAGGGCTCTAAATAGGCACTATGTCTAATTTCTGGTTGCAAACTGCGTTTCTGTGGAAAAATTAGAGAGAAATGAGAAATTTCACAAATTTTTTGTTTTCGGGTTTCCATGCGAGATCAAAGCCTGCTGAAATAACGTATGGACTTTTGCTGTGTAAGTAGATTCTACAGATTTTTTTCGGCTAGCTAGCGGCACTCTGCGATTTTCTGCCACCAAACTCAAAATCGCAAAATTTGAAGCCCCATATTTGAGAGCTTCTTTCTCGATGGCTAGCTCATGGAATGTTGTGCTTGAACTTCCATCATGGAGCGTGAGACTTCTAATATTTTTAGCATACAAGATTGTGAATTTAGGTTTAGTCTTTGAAAAGTTATTGAATTTCGTTTGAATTACGCAAGAACTTTCGTGCCAACCTAATATATACTAAGTCAAAAATATGAACAACGAGACTATGCTGGTCAAGATCGAAACGGAATTCATCAGTTTAAAAGACCTTTTGCAAGTAAAAAAATTTTGAAAAATTCTGGGCAGATATGAATGCATTTTCATGCGATGCGTTTTCACCGCTGGCAAGCGATAAAAGTGTGACATTTACTAGTTTGGGCATTATTTGCTGAAACAATTGACTCTTTCAAAATTGATATTTTGGATTATGATTCTCTCCAAAAAGAGAGAAAAACGAAGAAAAAAGTTGCAATTTTCGGTGAAAATCGGGAATTAGAAAAGCACATTTTGAAAACCGGTTTTTTCAAATCAAAAATATTTTCCAAGATAAGTATTTCTTGTAAAACTGTAAGAGCAGCTTCGGAGAGGAAAGAATGGTGCAGCGAGAACTAGTTACGAGCAACAAGACAGCATTACCTACTGCCATGACCTAGAGCTTATGCTAATACCTGTGCCGCAAAGATTATTGGCTAAAAAAACAATACAGAACCTAGTCATGGCACCTGCTGAGCATAACTTTTGCACAAAATTGTCAATCTTGTTTCTGTGCAGTGTCAGCTTATATAGGAATGGCATAAAGAATCTGAGAAATTTTCCAGGTTTTCGATGTCTTATCATATTCATAAAAAATATTTGTGCCCGAGGTTCGGCGAGTTAGGACAATTTCTCATTTTTGCAAGGCATAGAATCTTCACAATCGTTCATACTTGTACAGTTTTCAAGATAAGAGAAAGAGAATATTCGATTTATGAAAATTCCTTCGAAAATTTTTAGACCTCTTTTACTTTATACCATATTTATTATGCTGTGATCATAGATCATACATATTTGTGGTTTCATTTTCAATTGAACAAAATCTTTAAAAGTAGACTGCAAATTTAGGTCCGAGAAGGCGCCAAAAAAGTACATCCCTCGAACGAAAGGTAGTCATAAATCAGACTCAGAATCAAAATTTTATTCTTTTGACTTATTAAACTGTCATTTTAGCGACCGATGCTTTGAGTAGATTCGACAAAGTTCTCTTTCAAAAAAAAGCATGTTCTAACTATCAGAACTAAAAATTATTCAGTGAAGACAGCGAGATTCAACCTGACGGCGGTAAAAGATCAAACCTCGCATATTCTGAGTTGGGCCGTAAAAAATGCATAAAAATGGCAATAAATTTGACACTGTAGGGCTAGGTTGATGCAAAAGCCAAACAATAAAAAATTTTTGAAAAAAAGTGCAGAAATGCTAACGATGAAGGGGCTTTGGTGAAACCAGCTAGAATGTTTTCTCATGTAGAAAAGGTCACAAAAAAGAAAAAGACTGCAAGCATTATTGAATCTATTATATTTTTATTGTTTGAATTTCGTAACATTTTTCAATTAAAGATTTTAAAATTTTGAGAGTCCATCAGCAGCGACATGCCAATAACAATTTTGAATTTTGCACCATCGGAAAGTGCATTTTCTCTCACTGATTTCAACCAAAAATGAAATCCGATGGAAGAGTCAAAGATTTGCAAAAGTCTTTAAACTTACTTTTTTAGCTGATAGAACTTTTCGCTGACAGGATCTCTTTAAGAATTCTCAAAGTCTCCAGTTGTTTTTCGTTCGCTCAAAAATCAGAAAATCAAGTGGAAATGATTCTTTGGCAAAAAGTTTTCACATTTGAAAAGAGTTGGTCGTAAGAAGTGTAATAAAACGTAAACTACTATAGGAGCCAGATTTTATTGCGAGCATTCAGCATATTTTACGACCGGACTTGAACCCCGCCAAACATGAATTTTTGTCTACGCAATTGAATATAAACAAAGCATAGATATACAATTTTTAAGAACTTAGGAATAGGAAGCGTCGTCACAGTCTGACATTTACAAGACTGTTGGTTCCCTTTTAACAACAATTTTTTGTTAATTTGTTGATGGGACAGGTTCTAGCAGTAGTGGATTGGAGTCAATTCAGGATGGTCAGCCTCCATTCATAAATGGACATACAATTAGACTCATTCTAGATTGATTCAAATTCACAGAAATTTTATTTCCTAGCCAAAATTGCGTAATTTTTATCTGATGTACAGTAGCTTTCAAATCCCAACGTCAGCTTTTTTAGGGGTCAATATCCCTCATGAGGGTCATTTTGCAGGGATAACTTTGATTTGAATATACAGTATGAACATCTCTCATTATTGTAGGATTACGGTAGGAGCTTCGAAGGGGGGGGGGGGGTTTGAGCTATTAAGGGCCACAATTTCAATTTTCGAAGAGACCAAATAAGCTAAAAACTCCTACACTAAGGTGACTGGGATCGCTCATTCTGCATTTGAGTTTTGTTTCAAAGGGAATTTTAGTATTCGATGTAAAACCTAACACACTTTTTTAGGGTCAAATTCACATTGATTTTGTCCTAAAGTCAAGCTGTAGTGGTTTGTTGAAAGTCAAAATCAACATCAGTTCATATATTGATGTATTATATTTTGTTAAAATAAACGACAGATTATGATAGTTTCATTCTGAATAAAATACAAAATCATTTTGTATTCAGTACTGCGATAGTTTTACTTTCAAGTCAGAAGCAGAACCTTATCTCGTGAATTACTTAGTTTATAACTTTATTTTACAGCAGTGGCGAACCGAGCCTTCCCACCCCCCGATGGGTCGCAAAATTTCTGAAATTTACTTACGTGAGCAAAAATGTGCGATTGACTTGTTTATTCTTGTAAACACCTGAGATATTTTTTAGAATTTTTTAAAAATTCATTATAAAAGCTTTTTTTCGGAGGCGTGGCTCACGCCACGCACCTTCATATGAAAAATTCTTTTGCCGCCCCCTCCCCCCCCCCCCCGAACGGAAATCTGGGACCGCCACTGTTTCACAATTTTTGGGGTTATACATACAATCTATTCAAAAGTTGATACAGTGATAAATTGCGACAGATTTTTGGTAGCCAGGGTTGAAAATCTGCTAACTCAAGAACTACTTTTCTTCAGTGACTACAATATCAAAAAGTAACAATGAAAAGTTGAAAAGACAAGGTTATCAAGAAAGCCAAAATTCGTCTCTTATTACTTCAAATAAAAAAAAATTTCATTCAATTTTTTTGAGTTTCAAAAAACCGCCGATGTTTTATGGCGACATACGATCTACTTAATAAAATCCTTATTTTTCAGCCTTTGTTTTTATTTGCCTGCATCGAGAAAAAAGAATAGTCTGAAAATATCACACTTAGTCATAAAGACGATATGATATTCTCAAATTCTATGATTGATTAAGTCTCGTCTTGACTGAAAAATAGCGCATAAAGAGAAGAACTGCAACGAAATAAAACAATGGCGACGGCTGTTACATTTTATCGCTTTCTGCAAAAATTGCAAAACTCAGTGGAACCTCGGATTGGCGAACTGACAAGGTGAATTCAACCCGAAAAATCTAATTCTGAAAAATTGACCTTGAACGTTTATAGCCATTACTAACACTACACAACGATGCTTTTCCCCCTAAAAAACGCTCATACTTGAAATTTTCAGAAGACAGCAAGTAACTGAATAGACTCATATGTAAAGATAGCTGGAACGTTCTCGGAAAGCTATGTTCCAGTGTGAATTAACAGACATCATCAATCGTTTGAATTGCTCTTCGTTCCGCACATTGCTGTACGGAGAAACAGCTGATGCAGCAAAACAGTAAAAGAAAAAAGAAAAACGCACATGTCCTTGGTTTGCATGAGGATGCAAAGTATACTTCAGAATATATTGTTTTGAAGCGTCAAAAGTGCTTAGGTTTTGAAAAGCGTCAAATCATATTTTTCATACTCCAAAGTTACATAAATGGATGTCTCAGATAAATTTATCGGAAATTCCGCAGGACAAGCACAATTTGCAGAAGCTCCGCAAAATTTTACAAAAGTTCGATTACAGTTACGTTTGATTACAAAGGTGGAAACGTTAAAAAAGAGAACTTCCACAGGGTTTTTACATCAGAATGATTGAAAACGGGAACTTTCGCAGGGCTTTTTACATAATGCTGCGAAAATTCCGAAAAATTCCAGCGGTTCCGCAGCACTTCGAGTTGCCAGTACTTCCGCAGGACTTTAAAAGTGTTACGATGTTGTCTCGCCAACAACTAGAGTGCATTGCTGAACATGCCTTTCGTAGTGCAGAGGATAGTGAGTGAGTCTCATAGTCAACAGAGCAACATTCAAATCTCGCTGAGGTGTTCTCACTTGCTGTTGTAGTTCGCATTCTTTGAAGAACTTCCGCAGCACCTCATTCAAGAACCCCCGCAGCATGTTCACGGAACTTCCGCAGGTGACCTTTCCCAAACGTTCTGCGGAAGCTCCGGTTGGTTGCCTGAGGTGATAAAGAAACATGAGATCTTTGAGACCTATAAGACTAGAACTAACATGAACATTTCATTTGAGGTACTTGACTCTATTTTCTCAAAAATCGAATTAGTGTAACATCATGAAGCAATCTTAAGCATTCCCTCAAATTGCAAACACCTATGTATGTGCGTGACAGTCGCCGAGATTCTTCTAAAAAGTTTGACAGAACATTTTAAGATGAATAAAGTGGTTTTTGTCATGCTCTTTCTGACCCTTGTGATTTTTACTTCTACTTTAGACTTCTGAATTTTTTTAGAAAAACCGACTTTTTGCAGTTTGACGACAAGAAATGTCGAGAAATGCAAGAATCAATGTTACAAAATTCAAACACAGTTCTAGTAGACGGAGAGGAAACGAGGGACAATGTACACTAAGAAATGAAAAATCTGCATATTCGAAAGAAAATAAGATAAATAGAATGGAAAATAAAATTGAGTACTACGTAATAAAAAGCGCGGATTTTCCTTGGATTTTGAAGAAAGCGTTTTGCTCAGTAAATAAGGAGTTTACAACGAAATACGTCTTGTTCCCTTTCCAACTGTCCTTTTGAGACAGATAAAAACTTTGTCATTGATCAGAGTTTCGCAATTCAGCCACTCAGACAACTGATCGGATCTTCGGCAGAACGTTTGGAAAAGTTTCGCCGGGTCATCTGCGGAAGTTTCGTAAATATGCTGCGGAATGTCGCAAATGAGGTGCTGCGGAGTTCCGAATAGTGCGAACCACAACAGCAAAAAAGAACACCTGAGCGAGATTTGAACCTTACTCTAGTAACTGCGAGACTTATTATCCTCTGCACTAAGGAGGACATGATCGATAATGCACTTTGGTAGTTGAAGAGACAACATCGTAAGAGATAACACATTTAAAACCATGTGAAGGTACTGGCAGGTCCAAGAGCTGCGGAAACGCTGGCATTTTTCGGAAGTTCCGCAGCGCCTTGTAGGACGTTTTGTAGAAGTTTCCCTTTTCAACCAGTCTAACGTGAAAATCCTGCGGAAGTTCTCATTTTCGAGGTTCCCATTCCTGTAGTAGTAAACAAAGTTCTGCGGAACCGCTGCAAATTTGGCTCGTCCTGAGGAAGTTCCGGTGAATTGTCTGAGTACATTTGTGCGCAAAAATTTGCTGTTGACCATTTGATTTTTACATTTATCTACCACTTACCTTAAGGTATGAAGAGGATCGTCTGTGTATATAATTCTTTAGCATATAGGGTACAAGCTGCTTGGAAGAATGATTCAGCAGAAGGATACTATTGTAACGTCCTGCTTTTCAAGAGGAGAAAGTGATGGGCTGTCACAAAGTGACATTTTTATTGCTTACCCCTGCAGTACTGCTTGCATAGTTTGCAGAGAAGAGTGCAAGAATCGAAGAAAAATTCCATGATTTTCAATTTCAATCGATTGTTTGAAATCAAATTGAAAGATTAGAAATGATTTGGCTAAGCTGTGAAAGTTGTGAGCTTGTGACAAGAAAACTGAAAAATTCGAAGATGAAAAAGCTCTTTTCGATCCTATTCACAGATTCATAAAAAGCAAACTCGAAACTGTGTGAATGCCTTGAATGTTTGCAAAAGAATGCACTCTTATCGCTATGATAACCAAACAAAATTAGCACTTGGTTCAAAAGAAAAAACAGAGAAACCCTCCTAGAAGATCAAAAAATAATACATCCTCTCCTTTCGTATTGGGAAATCAAAATGCACGGCATAGAGGAAATCCCTTAGAAAAACAAAAAAACATTTTTTGAAGGATGATAGTATCATGAAAAAAAATCATGTTGAAAATCAATTATATGAATTTTTAAAACTCAAGGTTGTAATATTATTTGTTTATGTTACATACCAGGACTTGACACGAGCTGGCACCAGGGAAATTTTGAAATGAAGTCCCTTTTGATTTTGAAAAGTTTCGTACGAATTCCCCTTTGTCGTAAACCCTAAACGTAAAAAATCCCCAAAAAATGAAACGACTAAAAAAACGTCGTGATTTTTGCGTCTTCAGCCACAAAAACAATATCCGCTTTGCTTTTTGTTCTAAAAACGATAACCAGCTTGACCTGGTGCCAGATGGGCAGAACCTTGGTACATACTATATTATTAATTTTTCAAATATTGAATAGTCAGTACAAATATTGTCATTACAAACAAAAGACAACAGTCTCAAACATTTTGAAAAATTTTTACCTAGTCTCAAAAACTGTAAAATTTTTCCTACCTTCCCATGTATACTAACGTCGACACTTCCACGAAGTATGATGTACCAGTTCTTTCCCGGTTCTCCTTGATGGAATAGGACGGTTCCTGCAAAAAAAACTTCTTTTCAGATTATGAAAAAGTTGATAATGCTTGAAGGCTTGAACTACTCATTTAGGGTTTATAATCAACAGATGAAAATAAGAATACGGCTTATAATGCGGACCAACTGGTTGCATTAAAATTTTGGAGTATTGCCAATCCACCCATTAAGGTCAGAATGTTTCGCTGTCAGGTTGCAGGCTTGGTATATATTGCATTGTCCTCATGCGCTTTGTTTGTTTACAATTGGACGAGTTTTTACTTGTCAACTATTTAGTATGGCAACCGGGTACTTGTTCTGCTGAGAATAACACTATCAAATCAGCTGTTTTCCAAATCCTCAATGCGATCAGAATCTAAGGTACATATCTGAAGACCTTGGAATAGAATTCTTTTATAAAGGAAACAAAATGCTGTTAAAAAGAACGGAACCTATATCTCCGTATGTCTCAATATTATGTCGAACGACTCAAAATCTTGTTGTTATATCAAATGTGTACCTAGAATGTCTACAGGGTGCGGCAAAAGTCTGGGAGCCTAACTTTGCAGTACTGCAATTACAAAGATACTGATGGTTTTGATTTCAATTTTATGCCACATGATGCTGCTGTCATCCTCTACAGAATACACTTCATTTGGCTGGAAACGGCTGCCATATGTTTTTGTAAGAATGGAAATTACCAAACTAGTATTTTTGCAATGCGAAAAAAACCACAATTTTTGGTATTTACAATTTTTGCTGAAACTAGAGATGCTGTAAATATTTTACAAAACTTCGATGCACATAACATAAAAGAGGCTTTGTGCTATTGTATCCTAGTTTTGCTTTTGCCAGGGGCTGTTCTTGCATGAAGGGAAAATAAAAGTTTGGGAATGTTACCTACGTGCCAGTGGAACTCCGTCTTCAGAACAAATTTAAAAGCTAGAGAATGCTCAACAGGCACTGGAATCAAGGTGTATTTTTTGCATACGTCTTCTAAATTAGAATCTATTGAAATTCGGCCATGAAAACACTTTTTATACTTTTTAAACGATATTTTCAAGCTTTTATTAGCGCAAATGTAGCCAAAATTCCGGTATGCGAAGTACACATGCTTCTAATTGAAAATCCAATATTTTTATTCCTAAGCAATGCAAAAAATTCTTTTGGAAGTATGTTGTAGATAAAAGTTTGCTCTATCACGCTGCGCATTTGCCGATGTAAAAGAAGCAGTTATTGTGAAGGCGTGAGGCGAATTCCATTACGACTACCTGCGTGCCATGACAGGTGGACTTGCCAAGATTTTGTAGGACTGCGTGGAAGCCAAAAGAGGCAGTTTTGCAATTCAAGAACTGGGCTGTATCTGCAATGGTTCGAATTATATGTGCGCCAGATTTTTCGTTTCTAGGTACTTCCCTTCTCGTTTTGTACGAAAAAGTATCAAGCTCCCAGACTTTTGCCGCACCCTGTAGTATCACTAAAAAGGAAATTCCTTTCTCTTTGAAAAAACACACAGTATATGTTCAGATAAAAAATTTACTGGTTATAAATTGACCGATTCGAGAGGAGGAGTTTGACTTTGGTAAAAAGAAAAGAGACAAAGTGACATCGCTCGAGTATAAATTCTCAAGACAACTTGGATTATTTTGTAGCGATATCTCGAGTCGAATGCATGAGAGCCTTATGAATCAATTGCTTCGTTGAAAGCGTCTTCGATAAAAGCAGTGAACGCGAAACATAGGTTAAATGACCAGTTCTTTGAATAGCTATAAGTATTTGAAAAAAAAGTCATTTTGAATACTTCATAGAGTTGAATACCTTTTGAAGGAGGAGATCATAAGCTAAGAAATCTTATATGATACCATATAAGGCTTTACATTCCCTTTATTACTGAATAAAATTCGTTGGCGTTTCTGGGACATGTTTTATATAAAACAAGTAAAGAGGGTTTGCTCTATTATCGTTTCAAAATACATTGACTGAAGTGAAAAACTAAAATATTTTTGAATTTCAGTCTTTTTGGGAACCAAGTAGAGCCGGAAAATCGGAAGCCCTTTACAGAGCGAAAGAGAAAAGAAATAACTAAAATTCGTAGTTGAGATTTCGTCAAAAACATTGAGGACGAGAGCAAAATACGGAAGAAGTTTCTTACTCATATGTCTAATGCTAGAGAAGCTTGCTGACGGCTACTTCACACTGCTATGAAGGCCGTTTGTTCTTTCTCTAGAACGCAAAAGAAAGAAACTTGAAACGCTGTAACATTCCAAGGCTTTGTTTCAGAGAAATAATAAATATGGAGAAGAGAAGAAAAGTCGCACTTAAGTGGAGAAGGAGAAATGTAAAATGAGAATCACATTGTATTGTCTTTTCGATTTCCTCAATTTGCATAAAATTATTTTTTAGTCGCGTCAAGAAAATCCTGCAGAACTTTGAAATCATGAAATTACTTGAGCTACATCAGTCCTTTACTGAAATATTAGGTTGTCCGGAAATTAATGCAGGTTTTGAATTTCAACCGCAATAAGTCATACACTTCTCATTTCTAAATAGGTTGCAAGGTACCATTCGATAGAGCAAAGCAAGCTCTACAAGGTGGCGATCTTGCTTTAACAACAGCTCTGATCCACCACGAATTTCGAGCCAGAAACTGAAAAGATTCAACTGCCTAAAAAATTGAGAAAAATCGTAACTCAGTTCATAATAATCCTGCAAAAATTCTAACTTGCTCACGTAAACCCAATCCACATAAGACATCCATATACGCGGTTGCCGTATTTTTTTCTCCGTTAGAGATCAAGAAAACGGAAATTTTCATGCATTTGCCAAAGTGGTGCTGTGCCGCCCCCACATAAGTAATTGTATACTACAAACCTGTAGAAGTAAAAACGTAAATTTTCAGCTCTTTACAAGCTTTAGTTCTTGAGAAATCTGAATTTTAGCTTGAACCGTTCTTGAGAAATCTGAATGTTAGCTTGAACCACCTAACTAATGAAGGCTTTATTCGATATTTCTCGAAAACTAAAGCTTGTAGAGAGCTGAAAATTTACGTTTGTACTTCTACAGGTTTGTGGTATGCAACTACTTATGTGGGGGCGGCACAGCACCACTTTGGCAAATGCAGAAAATTTCCGTTTTCTTGATTTCTAACAGAGAAAAAAATACAGCAACGGCATATATGGATGTGTTATGTGGATTGCGTATACGTGAGCAAGTTAGATTTTTGCAGTATTATTATGAACTGAGTTACGATTTTTCTCAATTTTTCGGGCAGTTGAATCTTTTCAGTTTCTGGCTCGAAACTCGTGGTGGATCAGAGCGTGGTGCCGAAGCAAAGTCGCCACCTTGTAGAGCTTGCTTTGCTCTATCGAATGGTACCTTGCAACCTATTTAGAAATGAGAAGTGTATGACTTATTGCGGCTGAAAATCCAAACCTGCATTAATTTCCGGACAACCTAATACACTGAGAAAATTTTGTGTATGGAAGCACTAATTACCAAATGATTGCTCTAGGAAACATTTTTTTTCTTGAGTTCTATTTCGAGAAGTGAAAAATGTTTGAAATCATTTACGCACAAGCAGGTAGGTACACGAAGCTTTAGAACCCGAACAAAAATGAAATTTTCTTGTTATGAAGTTTGGATTTGTGCGCATACTTACATTTGCGGAAAAATGATTTCCCAAGAAATTCAAAAATTCTCATTCTCTATTAAAGACATTGCAACAGTTCGAGAGGTCAAACTCTAGAATGCATCCATATTCCATTTGTTTTCAAATTCTCACATTTCTTATGCAGGATGAAATTTTTCTTGCATCGTTATGTGCGTGCACCTACTCAAGAAAAAAAATTTTGTAAGCAAATATACTGTAGATTGTGATGGATAGATATTTTCTAGCCATTTTGGTATTCTACACTTTTCTTGAAAACAATGTTTGAAAGAGAAGACGAGATTTTAATTTGTGTAAACAGACAAGAGACACTGCAGTTTGCTTTTGACCATGTCAATTCGGAACTGTATAAATAGTTCTCCTACTCAGTTCATAGTAAACAGATTATGCATAAAATATGCAGAATCCTTACCCGCATGGGTATGATGTTCGTAGCCGATCACAGTAGCCAGTTCACGCTTTACCATCGTGCTCAAGTGAGAGAGGGCTTTGACATGGAGCAGTTCTTCATAGACCAATTCCAATTCTTCTGGAGTGCGGTCATGGGGCCTTAACAAGAAAATTAATAAATCTCAGGCTGTATATAAGTATAGGGTTTACTTACAGCTTCTTGAGGATCATTCGGAAGAGCGCATCTGGTCCAACTGTACTCAGAAAGAAGACAGCATTGGCAAGGTCTTCCCGACTAGGCGGATCTTCTTTCAGTCTCGGATCCAAAGACGCATATCTTCCTATGGATTTCTTCCGATCAACAGACATAATCAATAAAATCAATAATTTCCAAGAGCGGGAGTAACTTGGTGGTTTCGGGAAGTTTTTGCGAATTCACAAGGGAGGGCGAGCAGCGGACCATTAAAAATGCATGGTCTAGCAGTGAGAACCCCCAAGGTCATGGGCCAATTAACTCGCAAATGAGGTCTAGGCGCTTACCAGGCAATCCATTTGTTATCCGACGATCGCTTCTACCACTACCGTCATCCACCCATCGATAACATACCATTTTATCAACAAACTGCAGCTCGTTTGTTACTGAAATATAAAAATCATATTTCATTAAAAGTAATTGAGCAAGTTTGCGTCCCTGGGTTTTATACGGAAACTAAATGGAAGACCTTGGCTAAATAATTGCCCTAGCAGCTCTTATGATCCACTAGCGGCTGAGAAATTCGACGTTGAACTCCAGCCCAGACCGTATTTTCTGCTGCAGAGGCGCAGAGGTCCGCGGAAAGGTTACGGTATGGACTGGAGTTTGGATTTGATTTGCTCGCTCGGGAATCAATTATATGAGCTGTAATTGGGCCACGGCTTAGCTAAAGACTTCCCGACTGATGTCCACATATGAAATTCCAGATGACCAGATTTCTCTGCCCGCTTTCAAGGTTGAGTGGTGGATTACTCACCATGGCAGATGACGTTATGTTCTAGCAGAGTTTGCCACATCCCACTGATCTGTAAAAAAAGCGAATATTAAAGGGAATTTGCATTCCTACTGCATTCTGACAATATATTATAAATTATGTCTTTGGTCCTAACTCCTACCCACAAAGGCAAAGTCATAGATACCGTGCAGGATCTGCGAATTTCTACCGTAATTCATCACGCCTTAAGTAGCTCTACGATATTTAAAGATGGCAAAATTTTTTTTTCAAAATTTCAAAGAAAAAAGGACAAGTTTCGCACAAGTACGAGCGCCGTTATAGAAGTCATGGAATGTAACAGTGTTGGACCGAGCGAGAAGAAGGGCGACGGCGTAAGGGGGGGGGGGCGAGTTTTACTAAAGATTTCTACAGGAATTATAAAATAGCAGCTTGGTCTTCAAATAGTCAACTGCTTGTAAATTTAAGCTTTTTAAAATATTTCTACGGACTTTTCAATTTCGCTTCTGTCATTTTTGGCGAAAATTTCGAGGAAGCAAGCTTGCTAAAAGATTGTTAGAGCAACTTTCAGTAACAGCATTTTCTTATGTTGGTAAATGGTAATTTGGTGAAATAAATTATTTGAAAAACAAGTATCAAAACCGTAAAGTCTGCTGCTGAAAGCGCTGTACGACGAAGGATGTTCTCGAGTGCTAGCTGAGGATTATGATTCCGTAATTATACAGTGAATTGAACGAACCCTTTCACTCGTGAAATGTCAAGGACACAAATTATTGCGCAATTTTGCGAGCATGTCAAGGAAAACTTTGTCAGCCAGAGAAGAATATCCTGTGGCCGTATTCATCAACGAAACCCGTGAGTTCCGGAACCCACTGGGTTAGTGGTTTTGATGAATATCTCTTCCCTGGAGTAAAATCGATATTCATCAAAAGCACTAAGTGGGTTCCGGAACACACGGGTTTCGTTGATGAATACGGCCACTGGTATAACACGATATCTTTTCACTACTAGAGAGCTTGCGAAAAAATAGTTTTTTGGCTAGACCTATAAAAAAGCCAACGTAGAAGTTCATCTTATTTCTTCGATTCTTACAAAAGTCTTTCCATAGCTTTTGGCTAGTTCGGAACTGAAAAACTTCCGTACAGAAAGCTTTCGCGCAAGCTCGGAAAGGGGAGGGGGAGATTTCTGACAGATTTTTTTCAACAATAGTTCTAAGAGAATGATGGAATAAATAGGAATACTGATGAATTATTGCCATAAAACTTTCTTCTGACTGAATGGAATTTATTTTTCGAGTAGCAGTTTGATCAAAACAAATTTATTCACTGACGGCCAGAGATTTTACAGGAGAGGGAGGGGGGAGGGAGGATGCAGGGACAGCAAAAAAGTCTCTTCGCAAATATGAATAAGATGCTGAAACTCTTTATGGGATCTTGTCACCTACGTTCGTGTAAATTTTTTCAAAGCCAATTTTTATGAATTTACAAATTGCAATCAGTTTCAAATGTTGACAAGCTTCGCATAATTCTACAGGTCATGTAAACCCTTATAAATCTTATTACCACGAACTTCGCAACCTATTTTCGGCAAGGAGATGAATAAAGGAGGTAGGAGGGGGTCCAATTTGAAAATAATACACTACGCGGGTGATGCAGTTATATGCCACATACATGGACCTATACCCACAAAGGAGAATATTGCGAGAGTTTGGATCCAAAACAAAAATTTGGTGCACAAATTTGATGTATGAACTTTGAGGTGCGCGAGCGACAAAAAAGTACGCACACAATGCAGATACATTCGTTGCAAAGAAACTTACTCGCAAAAATTTGTTGCAAAAAAGCTCCGATAAATTTGCAGAAACTTTCTATAGTACTTGAGTTTGACTCCGTGTACTCGAGTACTTACCTGAAACCTCGACAATGCTGGAGAGTGAGCGCCAGTTGAAACTGATAGATCCAGTAACCAATCGACCATTTCGCAACCGATCATACAATCCGCATAGGGCTGCAAAAGGAGACAATAAAAGCAAATATTAAGTTATTGCACTTTGATTGCTTTATTCACGCTAAATAAAAATAAATGACTTTCTGGAAAATACAAAATAAGTGTGGATGACAGAGATTTTAAGGGGTGGGTTCGCAAAAAGCAGTAGGCCAAAATTTGCGCAGCAACATAGTTGTTTTGTTTACTTCCATGCTAGATTGTAGTATGGTAACATTAGTGCAAGTGCAAAGAACTTTTTCGGAAGTAACGAACTCATGAGATAGAAAGAGGCATGGCGAAAGACTGTATCACAACTTAGGAAGTGATTCCTTACTACAATGGCTCCCTTCATGCTAAAATTTTTTTTATAAATTATGTTTTTTGAATGGCACATTTTTTCTCGAGATGCGCGGAGGAGACAATATCTGATGCTTTTAGCTAATATATCTAGGTGAATGAGTTATTTTCGAGAAATGCAATCTACAATGAATGGAAGCAAATCTTCCGAAGGGCAAGAAGACACGAGACAAAAAGGGGTATGGCAAAACATAGTAAAAAAAATCTCACATTTCAACATTTCCGTCACTCCATTATGCTAAAGATTTGTATTTAAAGAATTCATTATACAGTGTGGATGATAAAAAAATTATCCAAGGGGCGGGGTAGTCACGACACAAAAAGGGAAGTGGCAAGCATTATCATAACTTAGGCACTCATTCCTTACTGATGTCAAATAAATATTTTTACAAGTTCAATATGCATTCTTCCAAATTCAGTATGTAGTATGGATAAAAGAATGTTCTCCAAAAGGGGGAGCGGGAAGCACTCAGTGACAAAAAGGGGCGTGGCAAGAAGACGATGTCGAATTTGACAATGAGAGGTCATTCTATGTTTTCTTGGCTCATGCTGATGACAGGATAAGAGGAAGTCTTTATTCTGGCCAAATAAAGAAGAAAGTTTTCGGCGGAAAGTTGAGGGACAAAAAGGGGCGTGGCGCGTGGGTGGGGGCCAGATATTAGCACATTTACTAATCTATCCCGCTTACTAAAAAATGGTCGGGTGTTATTAAAGAACTTTCCAAATGTGACAAATTTCGGAAATGGAAATCTACTGAATTATGATCGAAGCTAGATTTTTTACGTGTATAAAAAATTGGAATGTAGATTCGTGATTTTTTTTGTTTGATATGAAGCAACTGAACAGAACTCAGTGAATTTTTTCGAAATCGATAGATAGATAAAATGTGATTTGACGAAATTATGCAACTCACCACTTTATGGATGATCCGCTCTCGTACGAGATGTGGAGCTTGTGTGAGCATAGCATGCTTCAGATGTGCTCCAACTTCGAGAATTCTCGATTCGAATGACTGGAAACATTGTTCGTTGGTGACTTTACGGACTGGCAGCTCAGACAGAGTGCTGTACATAGTGTGTACTTACAATGGAATTATTGAATTCGATAATGCTGCCCTGATCGTAGGAGATCTGCTTTGGCAGCTGATTCAACTCGTTTTGCATGGCGGATACGTCAAATGTCGATGGACCTGAAAATGAAGTGTACTGCACGTAAATTGCTAGAAGACTGCCACTCAAGTCGTGCATTGTTTAGAAAATTTAGTCACAGAAAAATCGCCTGGAAAAATTCGGAAGGAGCATTCAAACTATGGAACACTTAAATAAGCTACCTCAATTCATTTCGAAACTTTTCCAGAAAAGTTAAGGGTGTACGAATAACTTCTCATTTTTTGTTCGCGGTTGCGCCTTGTTTGAAAATGACTAGATCTGATCCTTGAGTACTCGTATTAGCTTGTGAATATTTCATAGTCAAACTTTACTGTAAAACTTTACCTATACTTACTTATAGATATAGTTCATGTCCAGGTAGATTTACGTTCATTTTTATGTCATTTATAAGCATGATAGCTATGCTGAATTCAAAATCGTGCTTCAAGGATCGCAACCATGTGAAAATTTGACTAGTTTGGCGTCAGGACAGCGCGGAATGGGCGTGTTTGTCTGTCAGGGCGATTGGCTGGTGCATCTAGATGGGCGGGATTGCCTACAAGCCAATAGCCACTGAGTGTCTCTCATCTTGACGATTGGCTTGGACAGCCAATAGTCCTGGGAGGGCTGACCGACAAAAATTCCTATTTTGCACTTTCTGGTCGGCAAGCTTTGACATCTGTGCAAACTTCAAAGGCGCCGTCCACCCTAACTGAGGGGGATGAAATTCCAGTAATATACATATAACAGTGGGACTCATACCTAACCTATCAGGCCAAGTACCACTGCTGAAAGTAAATTCCGAAGCGAAAAATTGCTTCAGAAGATAGACAAAAAGGATCGAGAACGCATTCAGAGTTGTTATAAAGCTACCTAAGCCGTCCAAAATCAAAGCTGAGCTTTAAGTATTCAGAATTGTCATGAGGCGCCATAGCCGCTTCTATCTTCTGAGCGAGTTTCTCTTTTATCCTCTGCGGCGGGACTGCGACTGCTTTGTTGGGACCTCGCTGTTATACAACATCCAAATCTCATCATCCTCAGTTTGGTTGGACAGTGTCTTTAACCCATTGACGACAAGGTGGACCACCGGTGGCCCACGCAGTTTCTGCCGCCAGGGACGATGTGGACCACCGGTGGCCCACACCCCTTGCAAAATCATTTCCTTTCCAGGTCTAGTATTTTTCCGCAGTTTGGTATTTTTTCCAATTTTCTGCACTCTTGGAGCCTGTAGAATTTGTCGTCTAAGAAGATGCTTGTAGTTGTTTACAAAACACTCCACATTTCGTAAATAATCACAAAACTTCCCACGCCGAAAATGTTGTGCAAAATCGCGTCGTCCCACTGCGCCGCCATGCAAAATTAGGCGTCGTCGTCAATGGGTTAAAGCACCGTTTCGCAGACAGCACGTCCATGAAGACAAAAATGGCGAAAAATCAGATGATCACAGATCTTCGCATTGATTGTTGTAGGTGATATTTAATCATTGTTATAAGTAAAATGCGAATTGTCCATGGGATTCGCGTGCTTTACAAGATTCGGGTGAATCCGGGTATGTGCGGGATTCGCGAGAGTTGCATGACTTGACCATAACTTTTCGTAAAGGTATAACTTGAGATTTACAAAAGGATTTGCAGATTTTCACTCAAAGATGTTCAGAAACTGAGTGCCAACAGTTACACTGCCCAATACATTCATTGATCCTAAGTAAAAGGAGGATATTTGTGGTAACCCCAATTGCTGCTCAAGCGGAGGTGAAAAGCCGGTAATTGACAGCGACCGAAATAGAAGTATGAAACCACATCTGATTCTAACTAGAGAAGTAACGTTAAACGAAATGGCATTTCCATATGACATGTATACTGTCTTATAGAGCTTGGAACTCTGAATTCCAAATCTGCTTTTGAAAGCTAGAAAGCGATTTTGAGAGGGAAGCCGTGGGGATTTTCAAAGCAAGAACTTGAAGGCGCGGCTACAGCGAAATCATTTAGAACTGTAGTCCGTAAGCTTAAATGGGGCATAATTACTGCCAGGGAGTTTTATGCAGTTAACCCTCAGTCTAAGGCCCCGGGCAGACTTCACGCGATTTGATCGTCGCGACTAAATCGCCAAGATTTCCATTCATTTTCATTTCACATTCAAAAATTTCGGGCTGGAAAAGTATCACAACCGAAATGCAAGTTGATCGGCATAGAATGATGTTGTAACGGGAGACGGCCCATCTGAACCCACCTTCCCCTACAGTAATCTAGAACTAGGACGCGCGCGCATGCGCTGCGATGACTGCGGACGAGTGCTCCGCGAAGGGCTCGTATTTTCGAAATTCACCAACTCTTTTCGTGCGGCTCTTGCATTGTGGAATTCAAGCCAATCATGCTGACCTTCAACCAAACACAGCTACCATCCTCTGAATGTCTGGTATTCTGAGCCCTACTTCCCAGCAGGTATGTTTATGAATTATGAGACATTTTCGAAGTCTTTTCATTTACATGATTAAAAAAACTTCTCATGGATCTCCTTTGAATTCCTTCGGGACTTTGTTTTTTCTTGCTTTTTTTCCACTCAAATCCCTTGTGTGTGCAATCCTTATGACGTCGTGCATCGTCACATCATATTGCTAATGTGAGTTGCTTGATGTTATTGAGGAAAGCCCACGTAATCAAAGTTTGTGTAACAACTCTTTCTCAATTCTAACAACTCTAAAGGCCAATTGTAACTTAAATTGGTGATCTACGCTAATTCGTTATCAGATGCGTATTTCCTTCTGACATTTCAGTGCAGCTCTGTAGCTTTCCAAAGAAATTATCATCTCCTCAAAATTCTCATTCTAGTAAAGTTTACGAACGTGCATTTGAAATTTTTACGATATAAAAAGCATGATGTGTGGAGCAAAGAAAAGGTCGCTACCAAAATTAATCCATGTAGATCACGCTACCAAATGAAGGTGATGCATTTTTATTTGATTGCGTTTTTGATATGGACGGTGTAAAAAAAACTTCATACTCATCATAAAAAAAACGTATGCTTCCGTACTGGCATGCATGTAGTGCACATTTCAATTGAATGCGACTAGATGATGCTGCAAGGAGGCAGACGTAGGAGAGTAGAGCATGCAATCGAACTAAAAAAACAGTAAAGAAGTCGAAAAAGACATTGAAAATGTCTCATAGATCAAAAACATACCACCTTAGAAAGTGACCGGCGATTTAAGTAGTGTGGAGTAGAGCGAATAATTAAGTTATTGAATTCCAGGGAATTTGGGGAATTTAGGAATTTTCCAGAAAATTACCTCCAGGGTCTCATTGTGGAGTAGGTTACCAGCGATGTGAAACTCGTCCGCCTCTGCAGCGCGTCTGCCCAGGTCAGCCGCTCGCTCCCGCGAGCTAGCCAATCATGGAGTGACCTCTAATTAGCGCTGACCTCTTATAGCCGTCGCGATTGGGGCAGGTTCAGAAGGGCCTACACCCGTTGTAACAGTTGTCTCGTCGCGATTTAGTCGCGACGACGAAATCGCGTGAAGTCTGCCCGGGGCCTAATGAGGAAAAGACCTCAACACCTGTTTTACCTGAGCCAAACCCCCAAATTTTTGCCTCAAAAAAAAAACTTCATAACTCCATCCCCAGAAGCGCTTCGCAGATATCAAACGCAAATTTGGAATTGCATTCCACGCTCTGTAAAATAGCGTACATTTCATATGGAAACACCACTTCGACCAAGTACCCTTCCATTATTAGCATTATAATCAGGGTCAAGCGTGTAGTATGGCATGCCATACCTGGGGGGTCGTATTGAGGGGTAGGGGAGGGGAGGGGGTCGTTATCAGGTAGTTGATGTTAGCGATAACATGATATTCGTTAGCAATGTCAGATAGGCGCTGTGTAAAGTATTAGCACATTGATGTTTTGGCCTACCATCGTATACATACACTAAGCATGATAAAAGAGCACCATAAGCCCAAGAGCATCATTTTCGTAACTGGAATGTCAAATAACCCCTGTGGATCAATTTTCAAGTGAGAAGATTATCTTCAAACATGTTACCTTCGTTTCAAAGGTGAGTTAACTACTTTCTGCACTTTATACAAAGAATTACAACTTTTTTGCCGATATTAGGAATTTCACTTCGAATAACATCCAAACTATGGAATTACGAACAAGCCAGAATCTCATTTGTTCCATTTTCCGCTTTCAATATCTACACATTTTAAATCATTCTTCTACTGTGTAAAGAAGAAGGTTCAGCAATAGCAACGATATAAAAAACGCAAAGATTTGAGTAGCTTAAAGGTATGCGGCACAACCCCTAAAAAGCTGTGGCCGCCACAGCTTTCTAGGGGTTGTGCTACACCCCATTTACTTATTTTCAAAGAGAATTCTAGGAAACAGATTAGATGCGGTTCGATACCAAATCTCGTAGTTTTGTAGAAGTGATTCGAGCTGAATTCGTTTTCTTTTGTTTGAGCAATAGTTGCTGGAAGCACAACCACTGCAAGCAAAAAATGGGACAAATGAAATTTTGGCTGGCTCCTAATTTCATAGTTTGATAGTTATTTGAACCAGAAATCATCTTATAGGCTAAAAGGGAGTAGTGCTTTGTACTGACTATAAAAAAAGGTAGCTATTCGCTTCTAAAATATAGTTGATCATGTTTGAAAATGGCCACTTCCCTTGGGTGGTCCAATATTGGGAAACCTCAGAATTCGCTAAAGCGTGGCCCACATGGATATATGACATGGTAGTCACAAATATGTCACTAGTTATGCTATGTAAAGCCTTTATGTCATGCCTACAGCAGGCAAGCGAAAATGGGGGGGGAGGTACCGAGGTAGAACTCAGAGAGGGGGTGGGGGTCGTTTCCGGCGGTTGTGTGCCACACCTCTTGCTCCACCCTGATTATAATTCAGCTATGAAGAGCGCAATATAGCCAATTTCGAACAAGGCAGCTGATAATGAGATCGATGGCTGTTTCAGCGAAAAACGACGCGCCAAGTCAACTAGTCGTATCAAGCATAAACTGTGTCGGGGGCCCCGGAGTGCCACTCGATCCACTGCTGTCAACAATAATCTATTCACGAATTATCATGTGCTACCAATTTTGCCGGGGTCGCAATCGCGCTAGGCTCTCGACCTTGCCATCTGATGCGGATTTTGACAGATAATTTCACTAGCGCAAAAATTACACGAATGATTGCTACACAGGGAAAAACTTTTCGCAGGGAGAATCGTGCTAATCGAAAATGATGCATCGTAAAAATAAGCAACGATTTCGCCATAGGTTATATGAGGCGAATATAAAACGAAAATTGTGAGAAAATTTGATGTCGTGGCTAGAAAGTAGCGCTTTATAAAGATTTTCGAAAAAATAAGAGCCTTATAAACCCACTAAAAATGAGAAGAGATTCAGTAATATTTCAAGTGAAATTAAAGTTCAATCGAGAGCACTGAAATTCAAAAAAGCTAAAGATCAATCCTTAATGATTCAAGGAAGACTGAAAAAATAATTCGTCCAAAATAGATGTTTCAGAACTATCTAGGTTTTGTATAAGACATTATGATGTAGTCTTGATCTCTTAGCGTATTTTTTAGGTCCATGTAATTAACGCGATTTTAGTCGCCAAGCAATCTGACAATTTGCCAAATGTCTTCAAATTCTACAATGGCAGACTATAAATACATAGCGTGTACAACTCTCTTAGATAAGTAAAACCTATTTTTGTGCATTCAGGCGTTCAAGCTGAGTTTCGTACACTTGGATTATCGCCAAATCGCGTCACGACCATTAGCGCCCAGAAAGAAAATTAGGATTTGCTCCATTTCTTTTCGTACAATTGGTGATGATTTAAAGCATAAATCTTCTAAGTTTACACAGTAAAACTTGATATTCCGACTATATTAGATTTAGCCGTAGTTGCGCTTTGTTCCCATTTAGTGCTTTGATACAGACTATGCACGATGCCCATCGACACAGTTCCGCTGCCTTTGAGTCGTGTATAGCCTCTGAGACTCGAAGGCATCGCGCGTATGTAGCCTAGCAGAAATGAACTATCGATGCGGTTAGCGATGGCCAATACTTGCGCTGGAAATAGATGACTAGGGAGCGCATCGCGTTTTGTTCAGCGCCTCATGGCTACTCTTCACGCGCAAGTGTTGTCACCACTGTAGAGGAACTATAAACCATAATATATATGAAATTATATGCAAAGGGAGCAACCTGCCTACATTGACAAATCTAGATAAGTGGTTTTTACACTTACTTCACAAAATCGAAAGGGAGGAATTGATAAATTCGATGTATCAAAGCTTGAGTTTTTACACCAACTAAAGCTGTAACCTGTTTTAAATGAAATTAATTTTATGTTTAGTGCGGAGAATACTGTATTCATAGATCGTTTACAATGAAATGTGTTTACTGCTATAGAGATATCAGAGCATCAAGCTGTGCTAAAAATTATATATTTGCGAATTCCAATGTTAGAGAGGGTTATATGTTCAAAAATGAATGTGTAACTAGACGAGATCCGCGACGCACAAAATTCAGAAAAAAAAACAAAAATTCTTACCTTCTAGATACTCTCGTGGATACTGTAACTCAGGAGTACTAAGACCATTGACACGTCCGTTGATTTGTGGCTGAACAACTCCACCATCAGGTGGCAAACGATTGCCGGCGAAATGCGATGGAGCAGCTGAAAAAAAAAACGAGAACTCGTCCGAAGGAGCAAAACCAGCCGCGCAAAGACAATGCAACGCGAGCAATGTAATGGGCTATTCAGATGAATTAGCCCACGTGCAGAATAAAGCTGTCAGGATGATTTATTAGTGAGTGGGCAGAGTCTTCGAGAATACGGGAAATATTTCCATGAAATTGGTTTATAGTGACGCAAAAGTCGCAAAAAAGAGGAAAATTACCTTGCTCTTCTGACAATAGATCCTGCATAACTACGATGAATGGTTGTAGATGATCTGCGTGTTTCTGTAAATGATAGAGCTATATGACATCAATTATAAATTGCAGCATCAACTTGTAACTCAAAATTTGGAAAAACCGAAAAAAATGAGGATCAATATAGAGCCCTGCGGTGACGACAACAATTGCGCGCCAAATAAAAGCCTAAGCTCACCTGCCAACGCGCCACATGACTGCTTTTTACGTGTATTATTTGTTGTCGTGACGAAAGAGCACTATATTCGTCAAAGAATCTACTAGACTACATAATTTCAAGTTGATTTATTGAGCATATCGAACAATGTAAAATTTTTAGCCATTTTTTTTCGAAAAAATTGTTGACCAGCTGGATTTGAGAGAAATAAACGCTTGAGCGTGAAGATTGGGAATTCATATTAGCACAGTGATCTTCTTTAGTCGATGTCGAGCTCGCGATTTTTAGTAATACCGCCCGCATTTTTTGAAAAAAAAACGACGCGCAGTCACCCGATTGTGACATCACCGTATCGTGGCCATATCTCGCTTCAATGTGGACGAATGCTTAAACCAAGGGCACCATTCGGTTCACCTCGGCGCTGCGCATCTTCTTATATATAAAAATGCCCGCTTGGACACAGGAGTCCAGAATCACGAATCGTTTTAGGTTTCTGCTACAGTAGGCTGCCCAATATGTGCAGTCAGTAACCTACCTAGGCAAAAATCGGAACGATTCGTAGAAACTGGCCTCCACTGTGTTTGCCAGAAGAAGCGCGCTGAGCTGAATCGAATCATGCCTTGGATTAAGAATTTGTCCACTCTGAAGTGAGTTATGGCCACGCGACGGCGATTTCACATGAATCGGGCGACTGCGCGTAGTTTTTTTCAAAAGAAAATACGAGCATTACTGTATTGTTTAAAAATTGTCATTCACTGATTTTCATTATTATTTCTGATTTTTGAACAATTAAAGAGACTTACATTATATAGGCTAACAAAATGACGCTGGGATATCCGTACAAATTCGGCTTGCCGGGTTACGATAGCTGAGCAGCAATGTCGGTCGATGTCGAGTTCACCGAAAAGCGAGCCGGCAGAGAGCGAACAAAGCGGAATGGATTCTAATGTCTGAAAAAGGTAAAGAATGTCTCAAGTTCCAAGAACTATTAACTTCAAAAGTAAGCCAGCCAGCTGCTGGACAAGCTCAGAAAGTAAGAACAACAAGTATAGATTTTATGGTGTTGAAATTTTGTAGTGTATGGTTTGATGTAACATCGCATGTCCGCCGCGGGTGAAAAGTTTTTTTTTCTGTTTAGAAGTGAAATTTGATTCCCACGACGCCTAGCACATCCTCTCAAAGTTGATTTGCTGTACTTTTAGAATAGCAAAAACAGAAAGCATCAGAGGACGTAATCCTTTCGTATTAGTTGACAAATGACAGACTGGATATATCAAGAAGCTGAACGGAGCTGCAACGGGTTTGCGCTCAAAATACATTGGGAACTTTCTCAGCAGATTTGTGCAGGAATTACAAAAAATTGCAAACTATTTGACGTCTGCAGCATTCGTAATTACATACTGAGATATCAACGTCTTTTCATATTTTTTCAATCATTCAGCTCTTTTTCCAAACCTGGAGACGCTACGTCTAAGGACAAGTATTCAAGGACTCCAAGCAAGTACGTATTTTGAACTTTTTTAAAATAATCTAGTCAGGCCTTACTGAGGAGTTCCGCGGAGGGCTAACAAACATTCTTCATCTCCGTCTAAGGGTAGGAATGAAACGGAGTGTTGATTTTGCCTTTTATTTTCTAATTATCACAACAGAAGTTCCTGTCCATAACTTTTCACTAGTTTAATTGCTGAAGTTTCGGACACAAATACGTTTCTGTTCGCAATATCAGAATATGGTGGATTTTTATTACTTACAAGCCAAGAAGATCATCAAGGTTACACATGCGGATGTTATAATGAGCACTTTTATTCTACAGGGTGTCCCAAAAGTAAACACATACTTTTTGTTTTTTAATAACGCTCTTCCCACAAAGTCTTTTGCTTGGCTAACACTATTTGATAGAGTAAGCCTCAACTAAGATTGCACTATGGAGCAAATCACTCATTGCTCTTCATTACGGTACGATTACGGTGGGAATTTTTAGTATACAGTGAGACTATGAATTAGGCCATTTTGGAAAAAAATCTCAAAAAAATCTGAAAATTTGAGCTGAGATGTCTTCTGACACGCTGATTTCATTAAACAACTTTCACAATTTTTTGAACATTCTATATAATTTTTATCACATTTCTGAAAACACTGAAAAAAGTTACTACGGTTTACCCGCCATAATCAATGAAAGAAAGTTTTACGGTACGTGCGAATTTCATATTCATAGTCAGCGACTCAATTCAGGCCTAATGATGAAGTTTTCGGGTCGTTGGGTCTATTCTAGGGCAAAATGTAGCCATTAGTGGCTCAAAATCCTCTTCAAAGCTTCTAATGTAACCTACACTAATGAAGAGTGTTGAGTGATTTACTCTATACTGTAACTCTATGCTGTAAGCTGCTCTATTCAATGGTGCTTGGAGTGGGCAAAGACTTCGTGGGAAAAGAGTTATTTCCGAGTGAAAAGTGTGTAACCTTTGATTCAACAGGCTTGGCAACTGGAAGGCGGGGCATTGTGACCCAATTAAGGCCGCTCGCGTACGCGACGCATCTGCGTCACTCCCGATCGCGTGCTCTCTGACCCTTAGTTAGGTCGCGAAGCCCCGCCTTTTAGCGCTAAGCATTTGAATCAAAGAGTACTCATTTTTGGGACACCCTTATTACTGTTTTGATCATATCACTTTCTATGGAATTTTTTCTGAGCGCTACCAGTTGTGCACTACATTATAAAATTTGCCTGTTGGTTTATATGTTTGTCGCTGATGAAGAAACTATTACTGATCTATTTAAACCACATATTCTTCTTCAAAGCGCTTAATGGTGAAATTTTTTATCTTCAACAGCGTCCGCCCAAAATCTATTCACCCCAGGTTACTACTTATCCTACCAGCAGGCCCTAAAAGTAGAAACCGCGTTGGCTCGGTCCCCTAATGTTGCCTACAAAGGAGATAGCGAACTGGATCCTCTTTGCGCTCCGCTCTTTTCCTGCACTCCACCCACTCACGGATTGCCCTGTGACGTGCTCTGACATGACAAGCAACGTCGAAATGCATAGTTTGTGATGTGGCACTGTTGCACACAACAGTTTCCTGTTGCACAGGACGTGGCTAGTGCCGGGGGACTCGTCCATGTCTGCCAAAATAGGGTTTCAGAAAAGAACAATTGTGGAGCTTTTTGGTAACTTGAACGTCACAACCGAAAAACAACCGGCGTCGTGAGTAGGTCCGATAACAGTAAACTTGGAAGACGAAATTTTGGGTGGACTGCCTTTAAGGCTTATCTTATAGCATGCACCGTCGATTCGTTGGCCACACGGATTGCTCAAACGCTGCGGACCACGTGCGGTGCGGCTTGATTGTCGCGAGAGCACGACTTGTACAATGGTGAATTTGTACTGGGCAAGCGATCTACCTCGATCATTTCAAACGCTTCAAAAACTCGTCTGTAAAATGAAAGCATGTCTGAAAATACTGATACACAAATTTCCAGATTTTTCTGGATCTTTTTTGAACGGCTCAGTTCACAGTGACGCTGCATGGTGGAAGTTCCTACCGTAATCTTATAGTAATGAAGAGCGATGGGCTTTGCTCCATACTGCAAATCTAAGTTGAAGCTTACACTATTGAATGGTACTTGAAGCTAAGCAAAAGGCTTCGAGAGAATTAATCATGAAATAATGTGCACTTACTTTTGAGAAATTCTGTAGAAAGAATTTGAGAAATTGGAAGAAAAATCGAACTAGGTGTACACTAAGGAAAAATGTTCTTAAAAAAACCAGTGTTCTTTTGATAGAAATGAAACATAAACATTCATTGCTTTAGCTAGGTGATCTTTGCTTGCATTTGCCAGTGAAGGGTTTTGCAAAAGATAATATCACATGCAGGTGTTTATGGGATTACATAACGCCCGCAACGTTGTCATAATATGGGCTTGTTTCTCAAGAATAAATTCTTGAAGAGCATGCTTTTTGTAGAATATATTTTTGAGAATTGATAAGTACTTAGCGTCCAGACGCAGAATGGGCAAAGAAAGCAAACAGCATTTTGAGAAAAGTTCCAATAAACCTTAGGTCAAAACTTTGACGCCATATCGAGAGAAGAATGCAAAGATATGTGCGAAATATGATATTTGCAAACTGTTGCTTCGTATAAGCCGAGCAAAACATTCCAACAAGATTTTTTCATCTAATTATTATAATAATGGTTTTTATTTTGTAGGAAGATAGTGGAATAATTTAATGTATCAAAATAGAACTAAAATCAAATCCAGACGAGTTCAGCAGTGTTCTTTGCTTGATAATTGTTTTTGTTTCCGTTTCTGGAATAAAAAAACATATTACGAGAAATGATGTCACTCACCGAATAATAACCAGGTAGAAATAGTTGAACTTCACCAGCTAAGAGCAAATACCAGTATGATGTACGATCGCCTTGATTGAACACTGAAATGAGAATGACATGAAATGAACTAAGGTCTAGAAACTTTAAAACAAGCTGGCTGAACAAGCAGCTACGCAGCCACAAATCCGCTTCCTTGCTATTTCAAACATGGAGAATGGAGGATCTTACGAGAAAAGCAGCTTAGAGGTTACTTTGGGAACAAAATTTCTCACCATGGAGGAAGAAAATCTTAGTTAAGCTTCAATAAAAACGAAAATCTCCAAAGGACACATAAAAAGAAAACTCTCAAAAGCAGCCAAGAAGGGAAGACGATACTCAGACGCTGCACAAGGATAGGGACGAGAAAATGGAAATTCAATTCCGAGTGAAAACGTCAAAACAGCAGCAGCAGCGAGAAGAAGACGAAAAAGAAGTCATCAGCAGCAGGCTAGAGAATGCCATTTCATAGCGGATATAGGTCTTCAAAAGTGCAAAAGTTCGTAGATGGCAGCAATGACAGCAGCCTGCACTTGCACACGATGGACGAGTTTTTGCAACATTTGGCATTCATGACGAATATTTCGTGCCCTGTAAGGCATAAGGGGTCAAATAGCGGATCTTTCTGGATTAGAAAGTAGAAGAAAAATTTCAAAAAATTGATTGAAACTGGTCTCAATAAACTGGAAGTGCATGATTGATATTTATTTTTTGAAAAATCAAGAAGTAACAAAAAATTTCCTTCGGATCAGCTGGCTTGGCGGCTGGAAGGCGCTTCGTGACCTAATTAAAATTAGGTGATGACCAGGAAGCACGAGCGCGGGAGAGACGCAGACTGTGTAGCGGGCGCGAGCGGCCTTAATTAGTTCACAAAGCCCCGCCTTCCAGCCGCCAAGTCAGTTGAATCAAAGGCTACAAAACGAACAAGGTTAATTTTTTTTTTAATTTTCGTGCATCTCCCTTTTTAGACGAACACTTTAATGTAGGTCCTCTCTAAAACTTCTATTCCCGTAGCTAACTCCGCAAAGCTAAGAAAGTGCAGTGCGCACGATACAATTTGATAGTATTGAAGACTAGCTGGCATACCCGGCTCCGCCGTATGCTCCGAATAGAAAATTCCATTTCTCAACCGATCCGAACCAAACTTGGCACACATACACTTCGGGCCCCGGCGGGTGTCACAGTCCACTTTTCGTTATCGATTGATGCCGATTTTATCGATTTTTTTGCAAAGTTTGAGCTACAGGGCCGTGGGGATGATCAGCATGCTCGATTACACCCCCTGCCAAATTCCAGCCCCCTAGCTCAAATTTTGCAAAAAAATCGATAAAATCGATAAAAGTAATGCAGGATTTTAAAAACTAATATTGTATTCGCAATCAGCATGCTCGATTACCCCCCTGTGCCAACTCCCAGCCCCGTAGCTCAAATTTTGCAAAAAATCGATAAAATCGATATCGATCGATGACGAAAAGTAGCCTATGACACCCGCCGGAGCCCGTAGTGTATGTGTGCCAAGTTTGGTCCGGATCGGTTCAGAAATGGAATTTTCTATTCGGAACATACGTACAGACAGACAGACAGACAGACAGACAGACATACAGACATACAGACAGACAGACAAACAGACATTCAGCTTTATATATAAGATAGACATTGTGCACTGCGGTGGCAACAACATTCGCGCGTGAAACATGGTCATGTGACACAAAGTTCAAAACTCTCGCTTTGAGGCCATTTTTCTTACCTTTTGATTCATTGGGATTGGCATTTGAAAGGCAGGGCTTCGAGGCCTAATCAACGCTAGGGAATGACCAAAGAGCACGCTTACGACAAAGACGCAGACTGCGTTGCGGGTGCGAGCAGTCGCCTTCCAGTCGCCAATCCCGTTGAATTGAAGGGTACGCGCAAGTATTGTAGGCACCGCAAGAGCACTGTATAGACCGCCAAAATCCGCTGAAGTGTATGTGCTACAATTTTATTTTGGATTCTTATTTCGAGAGATGTATGTATATGATAGGCCTAATATAATCTACTTTTTATAAGAAATCTGAAGATTTTCACATTTTGCACGGAATGAGAAAAATGATCTATAGTCCTTACACTACAACCCGCTAATTTGCAAACGTTTGGCACTGACTTTCTCATTAGAAGTGGCTACGAGCGGAGATATCATCAATAATTCAACAGTTCGCCCTAATTGCTCCGTAAAAGATTGAAGCACACTCACCGAAGCCGTCGTGACTAACAAATAAATGATTTGTTTAAATTAGGAAACGACCTTAGAGGATGGATAAATATCGGCGCTCAAAGGTGATTGAGGAGAGGGGGAACGAAAGGGAGATCAAGTATTGGGATCTTTATATAAAGAATCATTGTGCTTACAAAAGGTGAGATTGCGAGAAACCGCGCGGCTCCCGCAGCGAAAGAGCCTGCAAATCTAGCACCTTTACTTGTTTACTAGTACCATGGAATAAGGAGAGCTTGTGGATGTACGAATGAAGAGACAAAAATTTTTTCGGCATCAAAAAAGACAAGTCATTTCTTATTAATTAATTTTTATTATTTATTAAATAATAATTACAAGTAATTTCATTTCCAATTGCTCTACATCCTTGATCTCCCTCTTTTATCAACACTTGATTGAACCAAAGCCGTTTACCAGATTTTCTGAAAATGGAGAAAAAATATTCCGTTTCCACCTGCTCGACAAATCATTTCCTTGCTAAAATTTCCTTTGCGCATTGCTTGATTTGATTCGATAAATAAAAATAGAAAATATTTATAGATTGGTTGAAAGTTGAGAAGAAAGGATTCTTGCTGGAAATTTGAAAATATAAGGATTTTTACATTTATTGTACCTCTATAACAGATGTATTTGCAGACTTTTTGCTGGTATTTCACTTCCATCTATAGGTAATCAATATAGATTCAATTTTCAAATTAAAATATAATTTTAAGTTTTTAATTTTTTTTTGAATATTAATAGTAAATTTTTCGTAGGTAAATAGTAGTTTTCCAGAAGCATGAACTACTCAAATCTGACCAGAACATGATAGCTTCTATCAAGAGCACCTACGTTTCCTTACATACCCACATTTGCCTTTCTAAATAAAACCATATCAACTATAAAAAAATACATTAAGAGTGCAAAAACAGCCAATCATGATGTGAGTGAAGTTTTTCGTTACTAATTTGGGAATAATCGCTCTGATATTCTATAAGAATCTCGGAAGCGATTTACAGAACTGAAATTAAAGACTTCTTAACGCTACATATCATCATTAGATTCTAATTTCGCTTTGGAATTTGAGGTCGCGTTTATCAGAGCTTTTTGGAGCCATCAGCCCTGCCAAAAAGGTTTTCAATGCCAGGTCATAGTCGATATGAATATAAACACGGTATATATACCTTTGCTTCAACGGGATTGGCAGCTAGTAAGCGACGGCTCGCACCCGCGACGCAGTCTGCGTCTCTCTCGCGGGCGTGCTCTGTGATCATTCTCTAGACTTGATTAGGTCTCGAAGCCCCTTCCAGCCGCCAACTCCGTTGAATCAAAGGATGAAAGTGGTAGGTTGTTTTAGAGCTTTTTTGGAATAAACCAAGAAGAATAGATTGTTCATATGAGACCGCTTTCGAGCAACAAAAGCGATGTGAGAATATTTCACTTATTATCAAAGGAGTAAGCTTGAAGGAAACATGGTTTGGGAGGGGGCTCTCATGTATTTATGAGCAGAAGGCACTTTCTTTCTAACGAATGCATGAAAAAAAGACTTCTCCAAAAATTTTCAAAAAACTTTACTGCTATTATTTCTCATCACAACATCAACATTATTAGACTGAATCGATGCAAGTAGAAGATCATATGAACTAATTTATCCTAGAAAGAGATCAAAAATAGAACTTCAAAACTAGGCTCAGACCATTCTCATGGAACATTTATTGCACCCATTATAAAAAAATTTTACGAGCTCTTTTCGAATAATTACCAAGTGACTACAGATGTTTGTAAGTGATGCATTCACTATATCCTGTTCACAGTGGCGTACCCAGGATTTCGGCTCGGAGGGGGGGGGGGGGGGGCGCGACAAAAATTTTTTTCTAAAGAAGGTGCGTGGCTTTAGCCACGCACTCCGAAAAAATTTTGGGGGTGCTTCCTAAAGTTTTTTCGGGTCCCCGACCCCTAAAATCTGGAAAAAGGGGGCGTGGCGTCAGCCACGCCCCCCGAAAAAAATTTTTTTGCAAGGCTAATTTGAATTTTTAAAAATTTTTAAAAATTATTTTAATTATTCACAAAAATAAACAAGTCACTTACACATTTTTATAACCCATATAAGTAACTTTCAAAAATTTCGCGACCCATTCTCGGGGGGGGGGGGCGCGAGCCCCCCCCCCCCCCCCGTCCGCCCCCCTCGGTACGCCACTGCCTGTTCAGAAACTCTCTGCAATGGCCAGTTGCTTTTCTATTATTTCAAAGCTCTGCTAAGAGGACATATAATTACAACAGCGTCAATGAAATTCGCTGAAACCTGCCTTCCTTACGAATAATTGGGGTAAGAAAAAAACAGTCACAGTGGAGACTTGAGTGAATAATGAGTAATGAGGTTATGCATACGAGATGTAAAAACCTCTATGATGCTTTTAAAACATTTACCAGGCCACTTTTGTTGAAAAACGGATTTGTTTTCAATGCTTATGAAGCCTAAACTTGGCAGAATGTTTCGTCGTGCAATATTCGAGACTCGTGTGCTGAATTCATGCATAAATGAACAAGCATGAATTTGACTGAAACTTACACCTATGCTCACAAAGTGTGCTTTTATTTGCATAGTTATTCAAAGCAGTCATACCTAGCAGCTATGCGCAAAAACATATCTGTCATATGCAGCTTGTAAGTTTACGGACATCTGCACAAAGTTAGGGCATGTGGAGCATCGTGCGGATCACACGATGTGAAAAAGCGAGTCATTAGTTGGAGTGGCCAAAAAATGCAAAAGTGATGACTCATAGAATGAGAGCCCTGATTCAAGTTATAGGATCCCGTTAGAGTTATAACTTTGATTCT